AGCAAGGTCGCTATTATCATTTGCCACTGCCAGGCAACGTACCGGAGCCAGCTGACCGCTCGTCTCGTGAAGTTCTTTCTCTCCTTATGAAAAGAAAAAGCGTACTTACTCATACTCACGAAGAGGAATCCAAGCTCATTCGAACTAGGAAACTGCTCCCTTTCTTGAGAAGTATGAGTATGAGTAGGTGAGTATTTGAGTAGGCTTTTCCTTTCTTGAGAAGTATGAGTATGAGTATGAGCTTTTCCCTTTCATACTTCTTCTTATCGGCTCCGAGTTCGATTCCCTTGGCTTGGTTTTTCGGCTCTACCTGGAGAGTCTTTTTCATCTATGCTTGGCTTACGAAGCAGTGTTTTACCAGCTGAAAGGGGTGCTCGCAGTCCCCTTGAAGTGGTTGCACATGATCACGCAGAGCCACGAGTTGTTCGAAGAGATTAAGAGAAGACCTACATGAGTTTTGCTCTAGTAGAAGTAGCTCCCTGCACTTTCGCTTACCTCAAGGTTTGTCCAGAGCTGCCAGTGTCACAGAAACACTGTCAGACCACGTCTCTACGGTCACTATGAAAGGTGATAACAGGGACATTTGCATGCATTTTCTTACCGCTTTTTATGCCTCTCTCCCTTAGGTGGGGAAAGAGGCATATTAACAAGCGGGGGAACCCGCGAGCACCAAAAACCCATCTCTAAGGAGAGTTTGGACTGTTTCTTCGAGCCCACCTTACTCGCTGTACGTCTCCTCTCCTTTTCGCTGTACTTCCACAACAGACGGAACGATGAGTATCGCGTTTCCTTTGCGGCCATGAACGGGTTTGCGATTTTGCTGCGCGCAGTCTTTCTCTTGCGCCAGGATGCGCACAATACGGAAACTAACATCTTCTCGCACTGCAAAGAACAGCAAGCTGATACAACAGGTGCTATTTTTAAGGCAACCAAGAGATGAGTGAGAGCATCCTCAATTGTACTCGTAGCATTCTTGGCTATTATTTTCCCAAGAGGAAAAGACGCTCCCAAGGTATGCAACACGAGGATGGCAAGGGTGAAGCTCTAATGCAAACAACAACTTCTCTCGTCCGGGTGTCATGAAGTTGGGAGCGGACGGGACAAGTCGAGTTCCAAATCCACCTGCGGTCACCGCGTCTGGGAAAGCCGCTCTGGCTCGTTTGCACCGCCGCGCACTGCTGTTTAGCGAAGTTGTTGGTCTTCTCTCGAACGCCGTGTTGTTTTCGAAGGGAGGCGCTTTGAATATCGGGCAAGACGCGGCTGGTAAGAGTAAGAGTATACTAAGTACTACACCAAAAGCAAAACCTGGAACTTCACGGACTACGGAGGAGACAGTCCCAGCTTCGAGTACTACCTTTGAATCTTTGCTTTCTCTGCAAGAGATTGCACATTTTGTCAGTGTTGCTTGCGGTTTCCGTTCTGATGCCCAAGCAAGTGCTCAGACCTCGCGGTTTTTGGCCATTTGCTGTTTTTTCAGCTACGTGAGTCAGAAGGCAGGGGAAAGGGAGCGGGAAAGCCGCCGTAGAAACAGAAGAGCGTCCTCCACCGGAGATGAAAAAGAACAAGCGGCAAGAAACGCTCGCCGTTTCTTTGATTTTGATCGCATCGAATTCGCCAAGTTCCAGGTTCAGTGGCACTTGGGTGTGGGGACTCGTCGTTTTCTAGAATGCATCTACTTGAAGAAGGACGTTTTGCAGTGGAGGCCGAGGAGGAAGTCAGGACAGCAGCGTGGGAATGTTAAGGCGGGTTTCCACGACATTGCATTTTGCTCTTGGTGGTGGACCCTTGACTATTTCCAAGGATCCTTGACTATTTCCAAGAAGAAGATGCTCATGCAAGGTTTCCAAAAAAAAATTGCCTAAGAATGCCTTGACTACTCAAATGTATGAGGGATTCTCCAAAGAATCTATGCCATGTCGGAACCTCAACATCTAAGAATGATCTCGACGGGAGTCCCTCTTCGGCAAGCACGTCGTCTTTTAGCAGCTACACAAGCAGTTCCTGGGAGTCGGAGGATAGCTCAGGCTCTTTACACTATCATCCACGACAGCATCGACATGGCATCCACAGTGGAAAGAGATTAAGGCTCTGTTTTTAGACTGTAAGTGTATCTCATACTTTTACAGGTTCACTCTTATATCTAAAATAAACAAAACACTAATGGTGGTTCCCCTTTTGATCTTGAGATGAAACATTAACATCTTCTTTCACGCCCTTTTGCTTTTGAAGTGGAAAACAACACGTGGCCACAGAGAAGATGGGACTCTCTAGATGGGAATTAGAGGAAAAAGCTCTAAAAAGAGCCGCAGAGGAAGCCGAGCGGCAGCGACTGGAAGCCGAGCGGCAGCGACTACAAGCCGAGCGTGAGGAGGCGGAGCGAGTTGCTTCAGCGGCGGCCGCCGCGCAGGAGGAAAGAATGCGACTAGAGCAGCAAGCTGCAGCTCAGCAAGCGATGCTTCTTTCGGAGGAGCAAGCAAGACAGCGCGCCGCAGAGGAAGAGCGTCAGCGACAAGCGGCCCTCGACTATAAGCGGAAAAAATTGGCCGAACAAGCTGCTGCGAAGAAAGCAAAAAGCCGACCAGCACGTAAAAAAGCGCCAGCTCCTGCCAAAAAAAGCAGCGTAGTTCGCGACGTTGTGGGTTTCTTCGGGAGGCTTTTCCCCTCTCGGTCGAGTTCGCCCAAATCAAAGTTCGGATCGAAGAGTCCTCCTCCAGCAAGCAAAGCAAGTTCGCCCAAATCAAAGTCCGGATCGAAGAGTCCTCCTCCAGCAAGCAAAGCAGGATCGAAGGTCAAATCCCGTGCAGCTCCACCGGCCAGACCTCCCAGTGGAAAAGCGGGCGGCGCATTGGCAAAGGCTAAGGTGGGCAAGGCAGGCGCACCAAAGGCAAAGCCTAAAGCTAAGCAGAGATCCACGACACTTCATTATCCAGAACGAGTGGAGCAGGAATCAGGAGGTCACACGCCATGGAATGAAGATGGCGAGGATATACAACTGGAGCAGGAATCAGGAGGTCACACGTCATGGAATGAAGATGGCGAGGATATAGCTGTTGAAGATGGCGAGGATATACAACTAGCGGTGGATGATCATGATTTAGTAGATTTTGTCCGCGAAGTAGACCACCCTGGTGGGATTTCTTCAAGTTCTAGTGATGAGAGTATATCTCCGAGACGACCCATGTTGACTTCTACCAGATCTGCTGGAGCTGGACAGATGCCTGAGCTTGGTTCCAGTTCCTACACAACTTCTACTAAGCGAAAGGGAGGACAGATGCCTGAGCTTGGTTCCAGTTTCTACCCAACTTCTACGAAGCGAAAGGAAGAGCTCGCTTCTACACAAGAAGCAGGCTTCCTGTTCTACCCGGATTCACCTCCAGCACAACCGCAGGCTCAGGTCGTTGCAGAAGTAGCGCAAGCGGAGCAAGAGCTAGCATTTTTGGAACAGCAGTTTGCTCTGCACGGTCAGCAACGAGCACAGCTAGAACAAGCTGCTCTGACGCCAGAAGTCCAGGAGAACGGAGAGCAATTGGCTCTGCTGCAGAGGCAGTTTGAAGAAGTGACACTAGCGATGCAGCAGATGGAGGCTAGGGCTGCGGAGTTGCAACAATTTCTAGCTGCGCAGCAGCAGCAGCGATCGGCGATGGTTCAGGAGGAGCAGGCACGAGTGCAGCAGCCATCTATGGAGCAAGTAGCAGAGCAACAACCATCTGTGGAGCAAGTAGCAGAAGAACAGTCACCTGGAGAAGATCCTGGAGTGGGAGGTGCGGCAGTGCCTCTCGGTAATCAGATAGCAGCAGCAGGAGTAACAGAGGCGGGAGCGTATAGTCCAGCTTTAGCCGCGGGCGAGCGTGCAGTAGTCGGAGTGGAAGGATTTACGCCTGTCGCACCTCCGGAAGGAAAGAATATGCCGATGAGCGAAGAGGGCGCAGAAGAGCAGACACGAGATGGTCAACAAGCCGCAAAGACAGATGCCGTCCTTGATGATGAAACAGGAGTATCAAAGACGGAAGATGGTGCTGAGCAAAATGTAGGTTATAATCCGAACGATCAACCTCAGGACAATATGCGTGCTCTTCTGGAACAAGATGCGAAGTCGCGAGGCTTTTTTACTCTAGCGGAGATCGTCACAGGCCTCCTGAACATGTCACCGGAAGATTAAGGCTGGTTTTCATCCCCTTAGATGAAAGAGTGGGTTCATCCCCTTACAGATGAAAGAGTGGGTTCATCCCCTTAGATGGGGAAATTACGATCGGTAACTAATGAAACCCTAACAGGGGAAAGTGGGGAAGGCACTCAACCTGCATGCATGACAAACTAGCGCTAAGAAGGGCTGCTCGCTCCACGCATCGGTCCCATGATAGACGAACGCGACGATCCCGAGGACACGCGCAGCGCCGCACGCCGCCACACGCGCTTGAAGCTGCTAGCGATTGAGGATAGTGAAGACTTCGCCCTCATCGATGCAACCAGCAGTCTGAGCTTTATTCGTGAGAAAGCTTCTAGAGGTAGAAGTAGGAATGATCATGATCATTCTACGAAAGAACATGGAGGCAGTTGTCCAACTCGGAAAAGAAGAAAGCGCAATGATGCAGTAAATGGTGGTGTCGAGAACAGCTACTTCGTAAAGTTGGTCGAGAAGCGACTTCACGCTCTGAAGCGAGGACGCGGAGCCTTTCCTTCTACTGCTGCTCGAGGAGATCATCGGCGGCGAAGTAGGAAGTCATCTTCAGCGTACATTTCTGCTTCTGGGAACGATTCCGATTCTGCGTCATGGGACGATGAAGAGAACTCTTCCAGCGACGATTCACACAGAGAAGATAAAGCTAAGAAGGGTGGAACTTCAGGGGCAGGTGAGATCGGAGGAGCTGTTCTCGACTTCATAGGCGGCTTTTTCAGTGCGGGCAAGAAAGATGGTGGCCAAGAAGAGGGGCAAAGAAGAAGAGGAACAGGAGACTCGTCCGAGAAGGACGATCATAGTGGTGGTGGTACGGGTACGGATAAGAGGACACGACGCTCCGGTTTCGTACAACATCGGGAAAGCGGTCAAGATCGCTCTCCTGGCAGTGACGCTGAGTTGATGAACGCATTGCACAACAAGCGTCAAAAAGCAGGTCGAACGCGCATGTCACGCATAGAAAGGAAGCTAGATGCGCTTCTCAGTGTCATTGGAGGAGGTGATAGTGCAACAGCAGACGCTCGAGAGACCCCTTCTGAAGCTGTTTTCTATCGGGATACTCCCGCAGAAGATAGAAGAGAGGATTATGTCGACGTTAGTAGGGATCTAATCGACGTTAGTAGGGATCCCTTCGATGAAGATTATGGTCCTCGTCAGCAGAAGATTATCCTGATGCAAAGGGCAGACGCAACTCCAGCACGACGTAGTATCGGTGTCAGTGTTGAGGGCGTGCCGAGCGGTCTTCGAGAGAGAGGCAACTACAGGGATGGAAGAGGTGTAGGAGAAAACGGAGGTGTAGGAGAAAACGCCAACTCTCCTGCGTTTGGTGGAGCAGATGTGCTACAGGGACAACAACTCCTATCGCAGCAGCAGGTGGGAGGTGGGTTCGCACCACCACCTCGTGCCACTTCGGAGAGTCCTCAGGGTCCTGCTGTTGTTCAGCGCTCTCCTGTAAGTCAGCAGCCACAGTTTGGACGTCCACATGTACTCGGATTTACGCCTGTTGAGCCTGCTGCAGTAGCCGTAGAGAACAAAGGGTATGCTAATGGTAATGCCGCTACGAAGAAGGGTAAAGGCAAAGGGTTGGCCGCCACAGAGAAGGGTGGTAAGGTGAAAGGGATGGGGAAGAAAAAGGGCGGGCCTGCTAAAGCAAAAGAATGACTTGTCCCTTAAACTATGTGAGAGAAAAGATAAAGAAGTGAAAACAGAACTTGTTTTTGAGTATTCTTGAATGCTTCTTCAATTTGCAGCACATTGTGTTCGGCGGCATGCATCTACTTAAACAGACACTATCGGTCTTTGGATCATCTTGCTCACATCATTACCATGAGAGAACAGATCCTAAGAGTTTATAGTATCTACTGAAGATCCAGATCCTCGACAGCAGCGCCTGCGCCATTAATTCGCGTCTGGTTCTCGCATGTGTATGTTCCAACTTGCAACTCTAACCCTCATCTAGTACTATCCTGTCTTATGAATGTAGTAGTAGAGGGACATAGCTATAACGTCGACGTGAACTTCTAGAATTCAGTAGGGTTCGTGCTTTCTCTTGTTCATTCCTTAGCTAAATATCGTTTGGTAGAATTCAGTAGGGTTCGTTGTCAAAGATGGAGCTTGCTCACCCTGTGAACGACTCCGGAGAATTCGGAAGCAACACTTTTGTTACGGCTTTGACCTGGCGCCCTACACCCTACTATGCACAACTCCTGTTGATTAAGCGCATCATAATCAACAGGAGTTGTGCATAGTAGTGGATAACCAAGTTTCCGTGGAAAACCAAGTATCAGAACAAGATGCCACCTCACTCTCCTGTCATGATCATCACTCAAGACTACAGTTTTACTACAAGTCCCAACAGCACCTGCGAGAAACTGCTCTCGTCGTAGCTAGTTCTAATTCCCACTACAGCGCTGGCGCGTTGTTGACGAATGACAAGGTGACGATGGACTTGTCCCAAGGGGGCCCCATGACTTTCGATTTCATGGCTGCGAAGCACTCTAAAAAAAACTCCAATTATGCGTCCAAGGAAAAATCTAGCAATAAAGGAGGCGCTTCTTCGCGAGACATCGGAAAATCGTCTCTCACGATATGGATGATGTTTTTTCTTCTCTCTAGATCAGACCATCGCGGCTCCCTATGTTAAGGCTACTTTCTTATACTACTTATACTAGAACTGAAAAGTTCTTTATAATGGGAATAGAAGGGTAGCCGTGAAGATGGTCTGCCTAGATGGGAAATAAAACGCCCTTCATATACAAACGCAGGCGTGAGTACGATCAAGTCTGCAGATGGTAGTGACGAGGATGAAGGAAATGGAGCGTCAAAAGACGGTGAAGAAAAGCAGAAAGATGCACGTCGTGCAGCCTTCAGTCGCTTGGCTCAGGAATTGAACGACGATGGAGACGAAGAGGATGATGGCCTCCAGAACGGTGCCGACCATGAACCAGATGGAGGAGTTGGAGTGGAGGTTCATCACTCTGGTGCTGATCATGCTGGGTCAGGAAACGACGGGGAAGACGACTTGGATGCTGCTGAGGATCGATGTGGAGTCAATACCACGATCGACTTCAACAACACTGTTGACGTGGGTGGTTCATCTAGACCGCCTCAGCGCCGGGATCTAGATGAATATGGCCGCTGCGCGAGCACGACGGGGATGAATAAGTTAGAGGGTTTGCCGGAGGTGGAAGATGGCGATGGTCTCGTCACCGTGGACTCGTTTCAGCACGAAGCCTGCGGTTCGGTCCGATTGCAGGCGAATAGAGCGAATTCGGATCGAGGAAAGACCCGTCAGGTGGTGGTCGAGGTTACGCGTTTACACGATGTTTTGGAGCACTTTCACGGTGCAGCTGGGGATGTTGATGAGGTTACGCGTTTACTGGAGAATTCAGATGGACGTGAGGTAGGAGGACATCAGAAGATCAAACTCGAAGATTCTAGTTCTTCTAGCAAGGGTGGAAGAGGTGTTGATCGTGATCGTCTCTTAGAAACGAGTGGTACGATGGGGACTGACGCTGTATTTGTGACGACTAATAGTCAAGATCAAGAAGAGCACGACGAGCTACACCTCCAGGATGGCCCAAAGCTTGGGCGCGTGAGCACGCATCACGACGAGGAACAGTCTGGCACCGAACAGGAGGACTTCTGTGATTAAGGCTTGTGGTATGATTTTCATTCTTTGTCCGAAGTAGCTCTCAGTGTCTTCATTTTGTTGCTTCGTGCGGTTCTACTGAAAAAGGGAACCTCTAAGCCAAGTTCCTTCGTGCGGTTCTACTGAAAAAGTGAACCTCTAAGCCAAGTTCCTTCGTGCGGTTCTACTGAAAAAGTGAACCTCTAAGCCAAGTTCCTTCGTGCGCCGGTTCTACTGAAAAAGGGAACCTCTAAGCCAAGTTCCTTCGTGCGCCGGTTCTACTGAAAAAGGGAACCTCTAAGCCAAGAGGAACTAGGATGTTCTTCACGACAGTAGCTCTAATGTGACGACGCTCGCGCAACGGAGGACAGTCGATTCAGTTGTCGAAGCCGAGTGCGAGGAGACCTTTCCACGACGCCAGCGACCGCGAACCGACGCAATGCTGTCATGTTATTGGCCTCCGAAGCGGAAACCAGTGACCACAGCGACTCTGCTGACGACGAGCACTCTCCCAGAAGAGGAAACATGCGCAAGCGCGTCTGGCTCACTCGCGGCCCTAGCTACACCAATGGAGAGGAGGACTCCACGACTGAGGAGAATCTCTTGTCACTGAATCATGCTGATTCTAAGGTCATGGATGGTTTTGGCGATGAGACACTGCGTTTGATGGAGCAGGAAGACGGCCTCTCTGCTGGTTCAGGTTTAGACGGACGAGGTCGTATGAAGAACCACAGTAATTGTAACGAAGTTGAAGGCTCTGGCTCTATTAATTGTGCGGCTTTGGCAAAATGTGCAATCGGACAAGCCGTTGGCACTACGTTGTTCGCGTCGCAGGCTTTGGCGGCTGTCTCAGTACGAACCGGGAGACGCATTCTCGAAAGCGTGAGAGAACGCAATAAGCAGTCGGTCTTGGAAGAGGAAAGCTCGAGCGATGTTATGCGCGGCTTCTTATAAGGTTTTGGTCAATTTTAGAATCAGATGTAGAATGAGATGTAGCTGAAATAATCTTCTAGGTACAAGGGTCTCAAAAACACAGTCTTTTTCTTACTTCCAAATCCAGTATCGTTTCATGTTTCAGAGAGATCAAGTACTAAAAGTTAGTTTTTTGTCTAACCAACGTGAGTCAGGCAGTTACTTCCAATAAATCTAACGTCAATGAGCATCCTGTCAGCTTCTCTGTCAGGCTCTCTGTCAACAGAACAATACTGTGGGGAGAAGGGTGACGGACTCGAGGTTCCCGTGAGTGCTCGGAGTGTTGTAGCCGCTGAGAAGCAAGAAAAAAATCCAAAAAGTTGTTATTTTGAATAAATCTAACGTCCATGAGCATCCAGGAAGCAAGAAAAAAACGTGGATTGGGTCTGCTGGCGCAGCTTGCCAGAATACGGTAAGCCGTTTGAAAACCTCCGTCAGCGAACGTGCTAAGGCGGTCATCGGGTGTTCCAACGATAGTGCCGAGCGATGGATTAGCGATAAAAAACAGAAGGTTTAAGGCCCACACACCTAGTCCTCCCGAGGAAGATACCCCTGCTGCACTAGCAAGAGGAGCACCAAACGGAGCGAACCCACAAGTGACAAACTCAGTGAAATAGTTTGCAATCAGCTTCTCAGCTATTCCTCTTTGTGACTGATCTTCTTCAGTTGTCTACTCTCCTCACTAATGATTCGTACCTTCATCTTCAGTTGTCTTGTTACTCTTGTTACCTCCAGCATAGTAAGTTTATTCCTTCTTGGATTTAGACGGTAGTACTAATGAGATTTTGATGAAAGGCCCTGAACCTTCATCTTCTAAGACTATGATCCATCTTGAAAGAGTAGGTGACGTCTTAGTAGTAGTCCTGTAGTGTCTTTCACGTTGCGCCTGTCATCTTCTCTTCTGAGGGTGCAGAGCATCGGATAGTCTAGGATGTTGATGATGATGATGATGATGATGATGATGAGCGCTAAAAGGTACGCCGGTTTGGGGATCGCGTGCCACGTGCTGCAGAGATCGCGGAGTCGTGCAAAGCTGCTGTCTTCAAAGCACGTAGTCAACTGACGACTGATGTTCCACAAAAGGGCGAGACGGCGAGTAGCAGCAAGAACGGCCACGGTGATGAGGAGGTGGTGACTCAGGACACGGCGGTTGCTCTTCAGGGTACTAGGCACGTAGTCTCCGGAACAGAAAATGACCACGTGGAAAACGACAATCAGGATCAGGGCGTCGATAGAACAACAGAAAATGAGCACGTGGAAAACGACAATCAGGATCAGGGCGTCGATAGAACCGCGAGAAGCTCAGGCGAGATGAAAAATGACGACGAGATGCGCGACGTAGAAGCTCCGTTGCTGGAAAAGCAAGAACCAGCAGGGCGTTTAGAGCGTCTACGCGCCAGAGCACACCAGTCTGCAGACGTCATTAACGGGATCGGGCAAGTGTTCCAGGCAAAGGTTCGTGAGGTCATTAACTATGAAGGAGAACAACATTGATAGATTTGTTGATGTCGACTTCGTGAAGTTATTAACTATGAAGGAGAACCACATTGATTTGTTGATATCGACATAACATGAACATTGATTTGTTGTGATATCGACAGAACATGAACATGATAAGGGTGATGAGAACGACATGTTTTTTGTTGGAAACGACATAACATGATAAGGGTGATGAGAACTATCACTTTGTTGGAAAGGCATTTCAAGCTGGTCACCGAGCTCCAGGACAGGGATTTTAGCGACGCAGCAAGAGTGATACTCGGAATGACGAAGGGCAAGGCCCAGTTCGGGCAATACAGACATTGCTTGATGATATCGAGACGACCTAGTGGTAGTCAGCATATGAAGATTGATCATTTGGTTTCACTGACTGTTGATGAAGATAATGACGAGGTTTGAACTAATGTTGAAAGACTGTTAATAACTAGGCTTTATGGATGAAGCTGGTTTTCTTAATACATCACGAAGTTTGAAAGTTCGATAGTGATCATCATGAACTTAATATTATCAGATACTACTCCCTACATACTATTACCATGCTATCCATCACACCGAAGTTGAACATCATTACCTCTACTACGGGTACAGAGCAGGTACATGAATAAAAGTCATGTTTTTCAGTCTAAAAAATGCGTTTCCAACATTTTCTCTTTAGTAGACGTGCTTACAAGAAGAAATAGACGTGCTTACAAGAAGAAACATTAGCCGATAGAGATAGCTCATTTCACAACATGTGCATAGTTTTCAATTTTGTTTTTCTCTTGATCACACCTAGTACTTATGGAAATGTAGTAGACACACTTCAGCCATAGAAGACAGAGGCAAATGGACGACGGATGCGACTTGAAGATCGAAATCCTCAAGGTACAAGAAAGAAGGTCGTAGGACACTCATGAGGTGATACCAAAATGCAGGACATGACATATGCCGAAATAAACAGGATGAACATGTTGATATTGTCCGTTTTCTTTCTGGAGCCACCTTGTACGAGTTTCTCAGAAACAACATGAATATACTGCACATGACTGTTGAGTTTCCGAAAGCGATTCTTAACTGAGTTCTTTTCCGATACACATGGCCGCTTGTTCTTAGAAGAGGGAAGACTGAGCCTTGCTGTCACAAGATTGTCGTAAATGGTCGGAAAAAAAAGATGAGGACAGGTGAGATTGACAAAGATACAAATAAACATTGATTTTCTAGACGTTTCCCTCTAGAACAGGTACAGGAAATCGGTGTTCTCGTTGCATGCATATTGGGTTTTTCTGTCCTGATCTTTTTATGATGAAAGAGTTAAAGATTCTCCTCAGTCATCCTCGATATTGTGAGTAAGGAAGATATTAAATCTATGTATACAATGTCATCACTTAGAAGTATTCATGAACTACAACGTCTGTAGCCCGTTTGTCGAAAATATGATCATACATAAATCTCAAGGATAATTTGTTGAACAACTCCGGTCGCACTATCGCTTGTAATGATTGTAGACTTGGAGGCAGGCACCGTCGCCCGCACAGAGGAGCCGAACTCGGGTGACAGCTGCTGCGGTAAGAAAACTGTTGCCAGTACGCTGGATCACGATTTCGACCACGATCATCTAGAGGACAAAAATACCCAACATTAAGGCTCAATTTTCATTCCTCATCGGGGTTGGTCACTGAGATCGAAGCGGGCCTCTCCTTCGAGAAAAGGGGAAAACAAAGGGAAAACAAGTAGAGGAGTACTATGGGGCCCTTCCCGTTCAGATTCAGTGCGCACTGAGTGTCGACCTTTAACAACAAGATAATACCCACACCTTCGCCTCCTGCTCTACAAGTACAGCACCGCTACCCTCGAAAAAAATGGGCCAACTACACACCCCGTCATCTTCTACCTGGCCGTCTCGATTAGCCTGGGCCGTTCGTGGCGCAATGAGCATAGCGCAAAGCACGTATCGTTTTTTTGCTTCTGCGGTCACCAGGCAACAGCTCGGTCGCGGTCAAGGCGCGTCTCTACCTGTGAACATGCTTCGTGGCAGCAAAGAGGCGATCGGGCAGGCGAAAACGGTCGTCATACACTGGCTTCGTCGCGGTTACTCCTTCACAAAAGAGAACCCCGTCATCGTCGTGACAGTTGCTGTAGTTTTGCTTGTCTTGGTCGCTTTCCTCTGGATATGGACCGCGATTTTCAACGCTTTGTTATCCGGAACCGGCACCACGATCTTGTACTTTTAAGGGTACACCTTTAAGGTGCTTTTCTTACCGCTTTTCATGCCTTCCTTAAGGGAGACATAGAACATGAATGAATGAATGAATGAATGAATGAATAAGGGGGACCGCGAACATGAATAAATGAATGAATGAATGAGACAGGCCTAAAAAGCTGGATAAACGAGCACCAATACCAAGAACCTACCGCTAATACTTGTTTTTACTGGTGCTGTTTGTGCGTTTGGTGATTCGAGTGATTGTCTTTCCTGGGAGCACCTTTTTGTGGAGGAAAAAGCTAGAGAGTACGTACCGCGCAGAACTAGCGCTTACGTACATGGATGCCATCGTCCAATTGGAACACTGTTTCCTATGGTCTAGAAATGGTTGGTTCTAGAGAAAATAATTACTAGAAATGGTTCTAGAGTCTATGAGCATATTATAACTACTACTGGTTGTTCCTCTATGAGCATATTATAATTGTGTCGATTATTTCAGTATAGATACTCTCTTACATTAGATTTACTCATCTCTTACACTATAGATACTACTTCTCTCTTCCACTATAGGTCCTACTTCCATTAGGTCCTACTTTCTTCCATTAGGTCCTACTCTCTTACATTAGGTCCTACTTCCATTAGGTACTAGTTCTGTCTTACATTAGATGCTCTCCTACACTGGATACTACTCTCTTACATTAGATACTCTCTTACATTAGGTCCTACTCTCTTACATTAGATGCTATTTCTCTCTTCCATTAGGTCCTACTCTCTTCCATTAGGTACTGCTTCTCTCTTCCATTAGGTACTGAATAAGCATGCACTCTCTTGGCTCATGACTACACCCCGCGAGTGGGTACATCAATCGATCAATACATTGTCGATGGTTTCTAGCTCTAAGTTTTGTATCCCTATCTGGCCTCACTAGTGGCATTCCGAAAAGGTGGAACCTGGAACATGCGATGACAGGTTACGACCTCGTTTTCCGGCTAGACCAAAACTTCAGGATGCAGCGCAGAGATCCGGAGGTCACGCCCCTCACTCCAGAGCAGATACAATTAGAAACGTGGTTGCGACGCTGCGTGAGCATCTTCGGGTTTAAGGCTCCTTCCTGGTGGATGGTTCATCGTAGGCACCTTAACGAATAGATTCAAATCATAGATGAAGTGACTCAGTGTAAGTACTATAATGAAGATCGCCAGGAACATTTATAGCTCTACTACTATAAGCTTTTCATTTTCTTGGATCTTCAAATCGTAGAGGACATTGAGATGAACAGCAAGATTGTATTTTTAGGGAATCATTAGACATACACTAGTTAGTGGTTCAAGTTGATCTCCTAAATAAGCAAAGAACTAGTGGCTGTTCCTACATACACTAAAAAAACTTCTAAAACATCGCTGCAAGTATCTGCGTCTGCCCCAGGCAGTGTTACTCGTGATGTTCACCCCTTTGGCGAGTGGGTTGCCTTGATCCGCACTATCACCGCACGTCACGGCTCAAGACCCGTAGACGGTCATCACTTCTGCCAGAGCACAGCTGCTGAGGTATCTTCTGCTGCCATATGCTCTTCTTCTGCAATGGCTGGTACTAGTACTACTGCTCCAGTTTTGCCAGAAATGGTCAAGACGTTGAGGAATATCGCGCGGCTCTTCAAGGACCTCCATGAAAGTCCAGATATTAAGGCTTCTTCACCTATTCTAACCTTCTTTCATCTGCTTGAGAGTAGACAATATCTGGCAAAGGGGTTTTCAAAGGGAAAAGGCACGACTGCCAGGAAAAGGCACGACTCAAGATCCGGGATTAGATGGCGTGATCTTCTAACGAGTGCACCAAAGAGACGGTGGCACGATTCTTCGCTCACCAAACTTTAGGATCGCTTGACCAAGTACGCGCAGACCTGATGATAAAGAAAGGAGGCAGGCAGTTCTGGGTGGCAGTTCATTCATCTTCGTCCAGTACTGTATCGTCATCACTTGTGGATGGGGGAGGAGGATATCATCGCCGAGATCAAACCACACTTCAGTCGCAGATTCATCCCCAGAGGCAAGCAAAATTTTTGAGGAAGTTTTGTTCGGACAAGATGGAGCAGTTTCCTGCTACTGCTTGGTTTGCGAAGCAGATGCTCGATATTGGGAGAAGTATTGGGAGAAGTATTGGCATGAAATTGTGCCCCTCAAGGATGGCTCCGGATCACCTTGACTGCATTTTCTTACCCCATCCCAGCGCCTTCGGCACAATCTCAAGAGAGCCGGCTTACTGTACATCCCCGAACGCGTTGCGGGATATCATCGCCGCGAATAACCAGGTCCAGGCTGCGAGTTCGAGCGATACTGCTTCTTCCGAGAAGAACGATCGTACTCGTAGTAATGCTTCTTCACAGGAAGAGCATGTCGTAGTAATTTTCTGTCAGCCGAATGCTGGATATTACGAGAGCCAAGCCTACCAAGCCGACTGGGTAGATTTCTACCATCATCAAGGCTGCTCAGTGGTTATGTTTAACTATCGTGGTTATGCGCGGTCCACTGGGAGCCCAAGTCCAGCGAAGGTGCGCGAAGATGGTCTTGCGGTATATCAGTTTCTTCGACGACTGTCTACAACCGCTATTGCTGGTGATGGAGGTGCCACCAGCAGTACCACGAAACCCTCCTTCCGTATTGCAGTCCACGGTCGTAGCATCGGTAGTGTTTGCGCAACAGGCGTCGCGGCTGCGGTCGAAGAGGAAATAACAGGCGAGTTTTCGTCCTCTGACAGCAATAAAGGCACTGCAGCGGAGGTCTCCATAAGTGCTTCGTCATCCTCGATTTTTGCGTCTTCAGCTTCTCCACTGGCTTTTCTCACCGTAGACAGAGGCTTTGCGACGTTACAGCGAACTGCTGAGCTCAGTTTTGGAAGTTGGTTATGGCTCGTTCTTTTTTTTTAGTGCTACTCAATCACAGCAAGAAAGTAGCATGAAAAAAGTGGTTATCTAAAGCAAAGATAGCGTCAGGATCTTGACCGAGGAGCGCCCAGGGACGTCTTGCTGCTTTACGAAAACTTTACACTATGTATAGGAGTATGCAGAGTCGTCGTGAAGGCTTGTTTTGTGCACAACATTTTTTTTCTAATCAGTGCTAAATGGGGTCTCTTGTTGAATATGTACGATGCTCGCAACGCTAGTCGATATTTGCGGGTGACCTCGTGCAGAAAAGTCTTGATCGTTGATCCCCACGACGAGATTATTCCAGATTTAGCTAGTTTACGGTCTGGAGCTGCGCTCGGTTTACTTTTCGGAGATCCAGAAGGTGCCTCCTTCAAGACACTAGCAGGAGGAACGAGGAGTGGTGGAGCTATTTCTGGTGGTAGTGGTAATACTATCGGGTCGTCACATATTAGTGGAAGAGGAGGCGTCGAAGTAGTAAACAGCATATCGAAGAAGACACTGCAGATGATGAACAACTCCGAAGATTCTAACTACGACATCAAGGGACGAGGAGGAGGTGGGAGTCGAGAGTTTGACGTAGTGTCAACGGCAACCGGAGGGTCTGCCACTATTGATTCTAGTAGTCTAGTCGCTGACGAGTCTGACGTTGCCAGTGTCGCTAGTAGTTCGGCGCCTCTAGTACATAACACCACCTCCAGTACAACAAGTACCTCCGGAGTAGAACAACTAGACTCTTCATCTTCACCAATCGATGTCGACGATTTTGAGGGTGAAGCTGAGTTTCAACGAAATGCAAAGACATTCGTGTCGGATTACCATTGGCTATTCAGGTTGGTGGACCTGATCTACCAGGACGACGATGAGTACAAGGCTAAGGCTACTTTGTCAAATCACTATCTCCAATGGGTACCCCTCAGAAGTCAAGAGGAAATTAAAGGGAACGGAGGAGGCACTTCACTCAAACAGGGATAGTGATTTGCATAGCTCTAACAAAGCCCCTCCTCGAGATGGAGGTGGACACCAGTCGATGACTTCTGCAACCGTTTTCGGGGGACGCAGGTTAGAACCTTTCGCAGGAGACAGTGGAGCAAATGCAGAAAACACTACTGGCGCTTCTGGAGCGGCGTCGTGGTCGGAATTGGCTACGGAACTCGCTTTCGGGGAAACTGATGTCGCGTGGCTTGAGAAGCACAAAGGTTTCGTGCGTCGCCTCTTTGTATCGTCTGCGCTCCTACCGCAGGTTCGCAGCACGCTGGACTTGCTGTCAAGAGAGTTCAACATTGGAGGGAGCAGTATCAATGACGTTCTTTCTCTAGCGGACTATGGGAAGTACGTGGATTACGAGCAAAACCTCCGACAGTTCCTTGCGAACATGGTGTGTTGGGGACCACTGCCGCAGACTGATGGCTTCCTCTCGCAATTGTTATGGCAGAACTTTCACTCTTACTCTTTTCATCCGCTTAGAGCTGTTTTCCTCCTGCGAGGGTACACGCGTGGACACCGACTGCGGGAGGGGGAACCGAACAACAAGACACAGCACAGGGAGGCGCGTGCGGTGGCGACGGGTCGGGCGGTGATTCTTCTTGGGCAGACGCTGAAGAGGAATGGCCAGAAATCGAGGACCCTGGGCGGGCTCCGAGGGTGATGCAGAGGCAGGGCCTGATGGCATGGAACCCAGCCGATGAGTATCGGAAACACTTTGAGACGTGCCCAATGAAGGAGCTCGCAAAGGAGTGGATCGCCCTGGTTGCCCAAAAGCAAGCCCAGGAGGGTGCCGAAAAAAAGGACAGCAAGGCCCCCCAGCATGAAGACAAGGAGAAGGAGCAGCCAGCCCAGGAGGAAGACACGCGCTTAGCTCAATTTGGTGAAAAGTGAGAGGGCCAAGGGGTCGCGACTTGGCTGCGCCCTTGCTTCGTTCGCGCTGGTCACCACCTCAAGAGCGAGGGCGAGCGCAGTCTTAAAGAGGGCCGATGGGCAGCCCGACAGCTTACGCCGTTGCTAGCGTTTTTGGGTGTGCTGAGGAAAGGACGAGGAGGGAGGACGCGCCGCAGAGTGTGGCACCCGGATCGATTTACGCAAGAGATACGCAGGTGAATCCGCTCACCTCAGGCGACCAACGGCGTGACGGGTGAGAACGGCCGAGAGGATGTGCCGCGGCAAGCTGTGAAGGCCGCTGGTGTGCATAGATAGCGCGGCGGGGCTGGGGAGTGTGTTGCAATGGCGCCCATGAGGCCCGGGGGCTGGGCTTGTTTAAGTGGGTGGGCTTGCATGAAGATGCCAGGCTGAAGAACGTCCGCGAGCCCTCGGCAGGCTTGCAGATTCTGGGGCCAGAGCATGCGGCACTCTGCTGACGAGCAAAAGAAACAGCATGCGGGAGGGGGTTCATGAATGGGGGCGCAAGTTGCAGAAGATGGCGCAACACCTCCCGCAGAATGGGCGCGCAAAATGAAGACCCAGCGCCGCGGGGAGTGCGGGCCACACCAGGGGGCGAGGGCCATTTTTATGATGAGGGGCGGCGGCCGGCGTGCGGTGCCCCCGGGGTTGTGATTGGCGCCCAATGCCATTGCGCACACTTGAAAGAAAGGGCAGCGAGCCAGACTTCGCGGCACGCACCTGGGTCGCGCCGCGGGGTGTAGGGTGGGTGTGCCTTGCGTTGTGTGTGGGTCAATCTGTGCTTGTGTGTTTTGTCGTCGTCAGAGAGTTCAAGCGTGGCCGCCTCGGGATTAGAGAGGCAGGCGCGCAGGCAGCGACTTTGTGTTGTTCATCTTGTAACTGTCTCTAGATGAGAGGCAGCGGGTGTGCCCGTGTGATTGTCTTCTCTTTCTTGTTTTCCTTCCATCTTCCGTAGTTCTTCCTCCTTTCATATCTAGAAACAAGTGGATCAGCGGCTTCGCTTAGCGCTATGGACATTGCTGCAGTGGAGTGGTTTACTTATGGCTATCAGGGGAATTCGCGGATGTTCAAAGAGCGACTACAACGACCGAGTATGAACGTAGTGCAGCAGTATCATCGAGCGCTGGCTTTGCCTTACTTACAGCGCGCTCGCAGAATCGTGCTGGAGGCTACAAGCCGCGTGTTACAGGAACGCAGCGCAAGCACCCTAGCTGCAGCTACACTTGAAGCTGGCGCTGTTGAGGATGCTTCAGCCGTGCCTTCCAGGCTCGGGAACCAAGGAAAAGGCGGCGCATCGCCGCCACTCTCTCCATCCTCCGCAACCACAGCGATCAACGGAGCCATCTGCGCTCGACTAAAGCGGCTTGATCTTTTCTTCTCAATGGCCGCGAGGTTTCATTTGCGCATGTTTATGGAGAAAAAATGTTTTTTACTAGTAGTTCTGAAGTTAGAAAGTACAGGTAGAAGTACGTTGTTCATCAGTAGCGTAATGGAAGTTGATAGCATGTTATGGGCATAGTGCGATGAGTAGAGGGTTATTATAACGAGAAGTTTCAAGAGAGATCATAATGAGAAGTTTCAATAGAGGGTCACAATAAGAAGGTTCGTAACACTATACTTCCATGCTTTCATCACATCCAAGCACACGCAGACAGAAGATTTTGCGAGGCGCCTTGGGTACGTCGTTCACGTTGATTGCGGTCACAATGGCGCGCTTGCACCCTGCGATCAGGAGCACCTTGCCTTGTATTTTGCGGATCTCTACGATAAGAGAGCGTGAACAAGATGACTGACATAGACTCAGCTTGTAGAAGAAGACTTCTATTATCACAGACTTTCTGGAGCCATGGCCCCTGCGTGTCGCAAGCCAGAAATCTCTTAATCTTAGTCTTAACCGAGTATTGAAATTGACATGTATGTTGAAATTAACGTGTTGTTGTTGAATGAATACCTTTGTTCCAAGAGCATGCTCATTTTGCATCGTCATTATAGAATCAATCTAGCCAGGAAAGGCATGAGCGGACGCTGTGGAAGACATGGCCAGGAGGTCAAATATCTTTGATTTTTACAACTTTCAAGCTCTAATTCCTGTTCGTGCCTCCATGACAACATGGCGGGCGTGTCTTCTGCACCATATTTAGTAGGACTCGGGCGGTACGCGCATCGGTTCAGAGTGTTTTGAATCTGTTGCCTGAACACACGGTACGTGGTATTCTTTTTTTGTGGGGAAAATACAAGTACTGATCTTATAATTATAAGCAAAAACTACTGTTCATCGCTCCTGAAACACGCGGAAAGCATAGAAAGAAAAATAATCATCATGTTCTCTGACAACTATATAAAAATATTTTAAGACTTCTTGGTGCAAGAACACCCAACGTCGGTAATGGCAAGTGGCTTAGATTTACTTGACCGTAGAACCCCTACCTAGTTGTGAATAGAAGCCCTGCTGGCTGTGAAACTGAATCCGAGCAATGTGGATCTTCTTCATAATCGAGGAGTGAATTATTGTCATCATGATAAAGTTTTCATACACATGGCTAAAAAATTAGAGTAGGTGCTGCGCTATAGTGTACGATTATAGAGAACCAAAAAAATGTCGGAACAAGGAGAGGTGTCACACTTGCCAAGAACAGTGCAGAGTGGTGCGCTGCTTGGAGATGCCGGAATTGCCGACGGTGAACACGCAGTTGCTGACGAGAGCACTACTGAAAAGACCACAGATCAGAGGACCACGAAATCGAAGTCTAGGAGTGCATCACATTCTGGAATAGAGCAGAAGAGCCCCTCCAAAACCACAGAGGCTGGAATAGAGCAGGAGGGTAGTTTCAACAGAACTGCACATCACGGTGCGAGCACCTCCTCCAAGACTACACAGGCTGCGAGCAAGGCCCAAAGCAGGACAAGCAGGTTGGCAATACAGAAGCTTCGAGACAAAAGGACGGATGGTCGTCGACTGAGAAAGTTGAAAAAGAGCAGTTGTACTATCCCAGGAGGTGTTTCAGTTTCTGCTATCCCAGGAGGAAACGCGCAAGTTAATGCGCAAGCGTTGAGGATATATGCGGAAAAGCTATGTGGGACGAACAAGAAAGACGTGATGGAGGACGATGACGAAGACGAGGGAGATGTCATGCAAAATGAAGAATCCCAATTCTACAAGAAGGCAGTGCCCGGTTTAGGAGGAACTGTAGATGAACATCAGCGGCTGAGTTACCAGGTGGGCGATAGTTCTGTAGATGAACATCAGCAGCTGAGTTATCAGGTGGGCGATAGTTCGTCGTCTTCATCTTCTTCATCTTCATCAGCCAATACAAAGAAAAGGGCTACGACGTCTGACAAGACCGATCTGAGGACGTCGACTGTGGCGGGTGGAAGTAGCTCATCATCTGGCAATTACTCTCCTGTTCCATCAAGTTCAAGTGCTGCGTCAGCTCCATCAAGTTCAAGTGCTGTCGCAACTACAGCTCTGGGTTTGGGTACTGAGGAAGCTGCGATGAGCAACTACTCTTTTAGGAAACTTGCTGGCCCTGCTACTGTGTCAGCGACCACCTTGTCTAAGGCGGCGAGTGCGGTAAGCAACGCAAGTGTGGTCGTAAAGAAATCTGGCACTCAGCAGGTGAGCCGTGAGGAGATGAAGAAAGACGACGCGCTAGGATCAGTTTTAAGAAAAATTCCGGATCACATCTCAGCAAATATACGGCAAGCCGGTTTCGTCAGGGCAATGGGCGCAGTCCAACAGGACCAGAACTTTGTTCCTTACCCATATGGGTCGCAGTACATTAAGGCTCAGCTTTCAATGGTCATCATTTAGATTGGAGTCACTGAGATCGACGAGGCGACCCCTTCTTGAGAGAACCAACAGGGGAAAGAAACGAAGGGAAAGGGGAGAGCTTTGAAGGGGGTCCCTTCCGTTCAGAGTCATGATGACCATGGAAGGCTGAGCTTTAAGTACAGCACTAGCTTTCCTCCTGCATACAACAGCCGCCATGTCGACCACAACCGCCAACATTTTGATCAGCAAGGAAGTTCTTCTCGGCCCACGAACAGAAACAGAACCTGGGAGGAACTGGCTTGTAGACGATTGATAAGGTGGCTTCGCTACGACATGCGTAAACTTTTCAAATGCAATCAAAGTAATTGGGTACCCCTACGTGCCTTCCAAGCGATCAGCCAGTACTTTATGGCGGAGAATGTGTTTTTTCTGAAAATACTGTTCCCAAGGAAAAGTCCTCTGTAGAAAGGGAAAGACACCTCCATGGACCATTTACAGTTTTAGTTCCAGTCTAAGCATTGCCAACATAACGGACGCAACCTTGCTTTTGATTTCACCGACGAAGAACTGGCACACATTCTAGACCTCTGTGCGAAGCGACACCTCGAAAAAACTTCTTACAGGGGAGAAATCTTTATCCGCTCACGATTCCGAAATAAGCCTGGGGAACGGAAGCCAATAGATTCTTATGAATATGTCACAACAAGATTTTTGAATCGCAACGAAGATGCTTCGATCTCTAGCCCATTGCCACTGGAAGCTCATCTCTAAATGTTTTTTGTGCACGTCCATATTGATAGATGTAAAAGTCGTTTCATCCGAGACACACTGCTGGAACTGTTTTGTCCCGCCATTAGGCTGTTAGTACTAAATGGGGCACCATGATGATGAACAGACCTCACTTTTCTTGAAGACACATAAGAAACTTGTTGCTAGAAGCTCGCATCGTCCAAGCTAGCTTCTCTGCTTTCATTACCCTGGAAATGCGGAGATCGATTTCGAGAACTATTGGAAAGGCGCCAAGGTGGATGCGCTAGTGCGGGAGTACTACGCCTCGCTTGTTGGGGTGGCATCGAGAAGTGGCCCTACTGCTAGTGCTAGTTCATCCTCCAGTTCGAGTATTTTGAATACTATCCAAGGCGCGACGAACCACAACGCTAGCAGTAGCAGTACTAGGAGGACGAGGCATACGAAGATGTCGCGAGGCGCCAGTTTCGACAGTTGTAAAAGTGGTTCTTCTGATGTTGCTGGAGCTCTCGTAGGGGAGGGGCGTAGCAGTAACAGAAAACACGAACACCATCTGCAAGCTACAACTACTTCGAGCACTTCTTCTGTTTACGATGCGTTTGGAACGTCCTCCAGGTCAGCTAGGGCTAGGGCTACTAGGACTAGGACTACGAGGACTGCTAGTGTTACTATAGATTTAAGATCTAGTTGTAGGTCTCGATCTAGAAGCGGTTTGTTGCGAAGGAACGCTCGACGCAGAAGAAGCAATAGTTAAGGGTTTCCACATTGCATCCTGCACTACCATTCCTGACCTGCTTCCCAATAGGAAAGAAGTCAACGATGTTCTGAAGAATGCAATATTAGCGCAGCCACTAAAATAGTGGCGCTCCCTCAGCTGGTGCTCTGTCAGCTGGTAATATGACCATTGGGGAAATGAAGCAGATTCAAAAGACGCTGGAGGTTGCCACAAAAGGAGACTACAAGTCTAAAAAAGCTTTGATGTTGAGTATCATGAGGAGTATGACGAGTGAAGAGTACCTCCAGATGCTGAAGGACTTCTATATTGTGGATGCTGGTGGAGGCGAAAACTTGGGTCTCCACCTTAGTAGTTTACTCAGTGAAGGTCTAAGCACTAGTTCTCCGACGTCGATAGAAGGTACTGGAGGCCTGGTACCAGCAACGAGGAATTCATCGACGGGTCGTGATGTGTCGTCCGGTGGGGTGTCGTCTTGTGGCCCCTTACTGGTGGCAGGTCATGCAACGACTTCGAGTTCGAGTACAGGCGTTCGTGATGAAGCGCTACCTGCCACTGGTGGTAGTCGTGCTATACACTCACTATCAAGTAGCAGGAGCCCACGAGAAGCTGTAGATGAGAGAAGACCAGCAGCTTTAAGGGTTACCAAATTGCATTCTTCACTACCAGCCTTGACTTCTTCTCCAGTAGGAAAAGGGTCAGGGATGATCTGAAGAATGCAAAAATGTCGCAACCTCTTCCTCTAACAGCTGCTGCCAGAGGACAAGGACCTTCCTGCACTAGTCAAGAACCACTCGGAATAGATCCAGCCTCTACAAACGGGCAGGACTTGAATCTTTTGAACTTCGTCGACCATTGTCTTGGGCCGACTTCGTTAGTGGCTAGAAAGAGGCCAGCTCAAGACCATATTGATGTTCTCGAGACGAAAGTTAGTACGAGAAATGGACGATTTTCTAGGAAGCGGGGAGGCGTGAAGCACAGGCGTCGGGACGAGATGCGTCGCGACGTCGAGACGAGAAACTTTAAAAGTAGTTCTAAAGATATTAGATTATCAGATGCTGTGGTTGCTCCGCAGCACTCTCCGCAGCACTCTCCGGTAGAAGGAGACCAGCTCCAGGCATCCTCTGTTATTTGCGCGCCGCCTCCACCCAACTGGCGAACTCGAAGGAATGACCACCACGACTATTTTGGACCAGATCTTGACGCTCCTCAATTACATCCATCGACGTCTTCGTCTAGTTTTCCTACTGGAAGCAATGACCGCAACGAGTTTAGAAGGACTGGTAGAACGATGGGCACTACGACCACTGGCGAAAGAAGTTACTACACCGAAAGGGTTACTACACCGATTTGTGCTAGTGGATCGTCATATTGCATGTGGGACGACGATGGGACCTGGCAAGACGACGGGGAGTGGGACGACGGTGGCTGGAAAGTGGACTACGTCTCTTCCTCATGGGCACATTATACCACTGTTGGAGGAGGGCAGCATGGAGTCGAAGGTAGAGGAGGGCAGCATGGTGGAGGCTACAAGTACACTTACGACAACTCTGGAGTCGAAGATACGCATGGTGGAGGCTACAAGTACACTTACGACAACTCTGGAGTCGAAGATACAACTAGTACAAAGATACTAGTAGGAGCGGAGCAGAACACTGCTATTTCGCAACACAGGGCTTCAAACGAAGTGAGTCTGATTTCTGCCAAAGCGTCGTCTACTTCCTCTGCCTCCTCCTTAGCCTCTTCTACCAACAAGGTTCGAAGCCATACAGTGGGTGTAGGTCCAAGATTGTCTCCACCAAATCCGCTACAGCAAGAGCCACAGACTCTCGCCCTCTTGTACCCTTGCCTTAGCACCAAAGATGCTTCCTCCTACAGCACTTATTCAAAGCCAGTAGTTTCGGAGCAGGAGAGAAGCGAAAACGCATGTAGTTCTTCAGAGGCCTATACTTCTGCTTTAGAAGAACAGACACAGAAGAACGGAAGGAAGGAACGCAAGGAACGCTTGAGTAGTTGGATAGCGTGGGACGAGTCGTGGGGTGATGGATGGGAGGACGACGGCAGTTGGACCCTGGTAGGCACGGAAACTGAGGCTGCCCCTGTGATGGGAGTGCCTTCAGGAGACGGCCGGATCGTCCTGGGGGTTCTTGATGAGGAAGAAAATGCGTCTCGCGTTGTGAAAACAGTTGTAACAGAGAATACTCTCGTAAAAAGCGGCTCCGGTGAACTTGGTGCCGAAGACGTCAAGAAGATTCAAATCGCGGTTGCTCGAAGCCTAAGCGAAAACTTGGCTCCTAATCCTCCTGAGCCTGATCCTGCGTTAGCGGGTGTTAAGGAAAGTGATGCTGCTGCATTGGAAGCAGTACTAGTGGACTTTGGTGCTGCGCCTGTCGACCCACGACCGGGAGCAGCGCCTGTCGACCCACGACCGGGAGCAGCGCCTGTCGACCCACGACCGGGAGCATTGGTGGCTGTCGACCCACGACCGGGAGCATCGCCTGTCGACCCACGACCGGGAGCAGCGCCTGTCGACCCACGACCGGGAGCAGCGCCTGTCGACCCACGACCTGGAGCATTGGTGGCTGATCCAAGACCGGGAGCATTGGTGGCTGATCCCCGAAGGGCGGGAGTAGACATGAAAAATGCCGAAGGCGCTGGCGATGCATCGGCCGAAACTGGTGGCAATTTGGTGATCTTAACCTCGATCGACGAGGATGGCCTCAAGATCTCATACACGGAGAAGCAAATACTCCCAGCTGAGGCGTCACTGAAACAGGCCTCGGCGACCCCGGCTATAGAAGAAGTACCAAAAGCGGAGGGCGAGGCGGAGACGAGTTCACCTTCTGCTGGTGAAAAAGTAGTATTGCCGGCTTCAAGAAATCCGATAGAGCAGATACAACCTGTGGAAACAAGGCCAGGCTGTTTGCCGACTACAACTGCAGTAGTAACAGACCAAAAAGTGTTTGTGGAGAAGGCCGCTGAGTCCTCACCTGGAGTAGTAACAGACCAAAAAGTGTTTGTGGAGAAGACACCGCAAGCAGGCTCTTCTACTATAAGTAAGACCAGCAGTTTTGCTTTCTCAAAACAACCTCCGTCGACGTCTAAGCTTGAGATATCGGGGAGGACTAAGACACCTGGCTCATCGACCAAGACACCAGGCTCATCAGACAGAAGAGCCGGAGACAATAGTCATGCTGATTCACCAGCATCGTCTTCATCTACTGGGCAGGAGGTAGCAGAAGTGGGTGTTGTAGTCGAAGAGACGGAGGTTAATGAAGTTGCTAGCGCCCATTCTCCAGTTTTGCGTTCGCCGACCTTTGCCTGAGCAGATACGGGTACTTTTATCTTACGTGTGAAACGGGAATGGCATGACTTCTTTATTGTAGGCTCAAGATAATTAAACGGTGCTGCCCACTGTGATAGTGCAATATTTCCACCAATCGAAGAGGATGATCGACAAACATCAAAATGTTGACATATTCTCTCTAATATCAAATACGTTCAGGTACTCCGACTTACCACCTGAAGCGAGATACTCTACGACGAATCCGACATTTTGATGCAGACCTGGCGATGCGTTAAACGATTCTCGCGCAGAAACCATTGATTTTTACTCCTTCTTATTTCTTCAAACTACAAGCAATTTGTTCCTTCTTAATTCTTAATTTCATTTTTTTGCTCATGATTGCTCCCTAAGTCGTATCAGTAACGACAAAAACATAAACACTCGTTCTTTACATATAGCTTTTTCAGCTTTGACGTTCATATCTTCCCTCCTCTAGCAAGAACAGTGAGGGCCAATGTGCTACACACACTTTTCAGATGTCACTGACTCTCTATTCTTTGAAAATGGCGATGTTGATGTTGATGAATCAATAAAACTGATATTCTTCAACGTGATTGATATTCATTTTTTACCTCCCCTATTCACTTTCAAACAAAAGCAATGGTCTGATTCCCGTGATGGCCAGGCTACCTTTCGTTTTCGTAGTATGGAATCCTATTTCGGATTGGTACTGTGGATGTGCACTGTTCTTCTCGCGCAGACTTCTCTCTTTCCGATGTGCATCTGCGAAGAAACGATCAGCATTTGGCCAAGGAAAGTGGTGGCATCATGTTGGACATTCGGAAGTATGGATCGACTTTCTTAGGTTGTCCCTTGGCATATTCATATTGAACAGACGCCCGATTGTGCTTTCACTTAAATAGTTGAATTTCGATGTTGGGACGATTAAGAACTGTTTTATCCATTCTTGTTTTCATTGCCGGTCAACAGCCACTTGTTGGAGCTCGATCTTGTGTCGCTGAGAAGGATCCACAACCTAACCTAACCACAGTATATCCATAAATTAGATTCATCTTCATTTTGATTTTATTGGCTTAAATAATAATCGTAGTGGTTGAATAATAATCTGATCAGCCAAAAATAATCTTAGCCAATTATTCGTATCTGAATAGTGAATTCTGATTCTGAAGGAAAATGGAGGGCGAGGTCGAAAATCCGAGTTTTGATTCGGAAGAGGGTGTGGATGTCCTCCTGATATTCCGCGTCTTGCTGTTTTCTGCTTCACTTTATGCGTTTGTGTTGACTCCTTTCCCAATTATAGATACTAGGAAAGGAAGCAAGAATCAACATATTGTGAAGAATGCAATATCGTGTTGACTCCTTTCCCAATTATAGATACTAGGAAAGGAAGCAAGGATCCTGTTCTTGTGGAGAATGCAATTTATCATATGTTGAAGAATACTTGACGCAACCTCTAATCACTGTTGGTCTGCCTGAAGTGGCGACGGGTGTTGTTGGATTATTTTGCTACCCCACCACCTCCACCACGCGCTGTGCAACGACCAAGAAAGACGACCAACTTGGTACGCTGAAAGGAGGTGTCTTTCGTGTCACGACTGCTGTATGTAGCTGTAAAGAGGACGAGGTGGTGGAATTTTTGCGAGATGGACGAATGATATCGACCTTGTACACGATAAAGAGGAGGTGGTGGAAAAATGAAACGAGGGGGCACGGCGTGACAGATTAGCGCGTGCAGGAGACAAGAGTGCGTAAAAATGCGATATCCCTGCACGGATTTCAATGCGATCACGTCGAAATCTCAAGAAACTGGGATGTGATCTTGCCTACAACTAGAGTGGTTCCTTCAACTGCGACTCCTTAACATCGCAGGAAATCAACGTATAAAGTCGACGTATCACTGCTGCGGGGGACTATGACATTACAACGAACACAACTATTCTTCTACACAACTAGAACAATTCTAGTTGTGAAAAAACTCACTTCTGCACAACCACGCGAGAGGACGACAAAGTTGTAAGAGAAAAAGCGGCAGAGCACCAGAAGAAATATCAAGAAACTCCATCTACAACAAGCACCCAGTGGCAATTGGTCCTTTGGTCGAAGACATTTTTGAAGTTGAAATCTGACGCTAGCCATATTCTACGAAATCTGACGCTAGCCATCGTCTACATCAACAAGCATCGAATTTCACGGTAGAAGCAAGCGAACCATCATGATCCCACCAACGGATGCGGCTTTGAACAAACTGTCGCTGGAGTATTCCTATGAGGACATATTGCAAGCCACAGGACACTTCTCCCCTAAATGCCAACTGGGTCAGGGAACCTACGGTTTCGTGTTCAAGGGGAATTTAAATTATGGCAAATATGATTGCTACAGAGTTGTATGAGTATGCAAGTAGACACTTATTATAGCTACTACGCAAGAGGTACCATGACATGACATGACAAGTATAGAAGACCGACCACCTCCCTTCCTGACAAGACTTTATTCGCAGAATATGCAAAAGAATCACACTTGCTGGGTGACAAGGTGGGTTCTCCCAATCAACTGCCTTATATATAAGTTTGATCTCTAATCCCCAGATGGCACCGAGGTCGCCATTAAAGTTTTGAACCAACCGAAAGAAAGCGGCTTTAAGGAAGAAGTGGAAGTGCTGAGTAAGTTCCGACATCCGAATTTGGTGATTTTAATGGGCTTCGCGAGAGGAATTGCAAAAGAACGCTGCCTGATATATGAGTTGCTGGAAACTGACGTGTGCTCACGGTATAATTTTACCTCTTTAGTTTTGATTGCTGGAAACGGACGTTTGCTCACGTCGGTATTTTTCAGAATGCTTTTTCGTGAGAAAGAACATACTTAAACCAAACCCAACTCTGACTCTGTAAAATATGCTTAGACTTTTGCTTTTGCAATCCTCTACTTGGAGGTTAAAAACCTACCACTTCGAATTCTACCACTCCACGACAGTCTCTCCGATACCACACGAGCGCCGTTATCCGTTGCACAGCGTCTGTCTATCCTCTTAGACTGCGCTCTTGGTCTCTCGCACCTGCACAATGCGCGTCCGCAGGTTTTTCATCGGGATATCAAGAGTCAAAACATCCTGTTAGACAGAAATGGCACGGCGAAAATGGCAGATTTCGGTTTGGCATTACTCGCCATGGCCGGGAACAAATCGACTGACGGAGGTATCAAGGTGGAGCATACGAGCGGGACTATAGGCTATGCAGATCCGCTGTACATCAACAGCTCTATTGTTAAGAGTACAAGAAAACTCCCATTTTCAGAGGCATCTTGTTCCCGTTTTTTAAAGGGAAAAGGAGATGACCCAAGATGTTGCTGAGGATGGATTTCCATTAGCTCTAATATTGTCACAGAGAAGTCCGAGGTCTACTCCTTTGGGATGGTTGTTTTGGAGATCCTGACTGCTCGCCCTCCAGCTTTGCAAATGCCCGATGGCCGCATAGAGTATCAATTTAACTCTGTTATGCGAACTCCCAGTCTTCTGCCGCAAATGCTGGATCGAGGCTCGTCACGCACTCCTTCGGTCGATTGGCCAGATTGGCTGGTGCCGGAAATCGGAAATTTCGCATTGTTATGGCCCGATGCGATTCGTTTTCAAGGGTCATTCATCTCTTCGGAGGTTTCCTCCGTAATACAGGATTCCGAAGAAATGGAGGGAACAAGGAATCAACTCAAAAATTCTATTGAGCTCTTCTAACCTGGAGCTGTGTCTCACAGTCGGAGTCAGCGAGACCGCGGTTTGTCGAAATAGTCCAGAAACTCCGACACTGGTCCGCGAGGGCCTCCTCAAAGACGTCAGGGGAAGCAGCTGCCGCAGCCGAGATCGAGAAGCAGCGTCAGGAGCAGCTTCGGCGTAGAGAAGCGGAACTGAAGCAGCAGGGAGAGCAGATGAAGCGAGAAAGATTATGGCTGCAGTAAACCGATCTCATGGAGGGATATCTTTTGGCTATAATAGTAGAAGAATTACTTCGTTCTTGGCAAAAATACAATGAAAGAGGAATACTTATAGCTGAATAAAGTACTAGATGTAGTTCTTTCACAAGACGGACCTGAGGAAAGCACTCCACTCCACTTCCTCCTCTTAGACAAAACTTACTAGTAGCTTGGTCCTCGTGTAAGTTTCTAATCAGAGAGCGCGCACGTATACTTACTACTACTACCTTGGTCGTCTAATCAGCGAGCGCGCACGTATACTTACTACTACTGCCTTGGTCGTGTTTCTAATCAGCGAGCGCGCACGTATACTTACTACTACTACCTTGGTCGTGTTTCTAATCAGAGAGCGCGCACGTATACTTACTACTACTACCTTGGTCGTGTTTCTAATCAGAGAGCGCGCGAAGTCGGATTGGATGCAGCGGGAGGAACAGCAGAGGAGAATGATGGAGGACACGCTGAGGGCACAAGAACGCAACATGTCATTGGCAATGGAGCAGCAGAAGAGGCAGATGGAGCAACAGAGACAGGAGATGGAGCGAGACTTCGCCAGAAAGTTAGAACTGGAGAAACTGCGTATGGAAAAAGAGGTACGCGAAAGACTGCGAAGGGAGCAGAAGGAAGCAGCAGATAATGTTGTTACGGCTCCAGTACGACCCTAATCCAAATCTATCTTCTGACGCATCTCGGAGCCAGTCCGCTATGAGTTCAAAGATGAAGTTGGGACAGGTGTACGTCTAATAGCGTGGGAGCTGCTCCTCTAGCCCCCGCAAAGCGTGTCGGTGTGAAAGAAGTCGCGGCTGATGACAGTGACCTGATTGCGCGACTGGAGTTGACACCAGAGCAAGAAAATCATAATGCGGCAGGGAGAAGAAACAGTTCTTCTGCAGCCAGAGGATTTCAGTTGGCACCGAACAACGGAGGCTTTCCTCCTGCCACGCAGTATAATAGCTACTCACAATCTAGAAGTTCAGGAAGCAGCGACAAAATAAGTCCTCTAAAAGCTCCTGGAGTGAGTGGAGGAAGTAACACTACGTACTACTTAAGGCTCCCGCTAATCCATCTCTATGTGGACCCCTGAAGCATATGCAACGGGAAAACCACGCGCATACCCTACAGGGATGGATGAGGGGTCGCTCTAACCTGCAGCGGCATTAATCATTTTGAAAACAGCACGACTACGCCAGTGAAGCAAACCATAGCAGATAAAGTTGCGCGAAGTACCCCGGGGGGTGGAGCCGCACTAGAGCTTGCGTCAGGGGTTAAAATGTACGTCGGAGAGGATATTTTGCGCGACGACTTCGATGTGCCGGTCGGCGTGAAGCGCGTGGACGCAGGCAAGAACTCGGTCGCGACCGCGCGCACCTCCACGTCCTCGTCGACCATCAATAGCACCGAGAGTCTCCCTGGTGCCCGTGCTGAGAACTTGCAGGCGAACTTGCTGCACGCTGACTTAACGCAGGCAGCGCGAAAAGCAGCTAATCTTAGTAGTGGTGTAGCTGGAGACCAACATGCCTCTGGGGAGCGTAGAGTGCAACTTGTGGATTCTGGTTTGATGTCGCCTAGTGGAGCTACAAGTTCTAGTGGGGCTCCCGTACCCGCGAGAAGTTCAGCACCGCCTTTTGTTGCCGCACCTGGAGTCTCTACAGGTATGACGACTACAGGGACAGCACCACCCCTTTCAGGAGGCCAGCAGAATCAGAAGAATAGCGTTTTGCCTTTACTTTCCGTGACAAACCCGTTTCGCTTCGCGCCGTCTCTTCAGCAGCATATACAACAGGGCGGCGCAGCACCAGATCCAAGACAGCAACAGCATTTAGCACAGATGCATGGCGTTTCATCCGGTACAACGTATGCTGCCAACTATTAAGGCCTCAAGAAATTCTTCATCTTAGCCAGGATCGTGGAGTTCCGAGAGCCATCACCTGACAAGTCCACATCAATGGCTCCAGCATTTACTCTTCACATGTTTTTGAATTATAGCATTTATCAAATCTCTATCTTTCACTGATTACTTGTAGTTTAAGTTCTAAAACACCTACAAACTTCCGAATGAGCAAGTGGACAGCGGCACAGGAGCGTCTAGCACAGGCGTGAATTGGCAGTCGGGAATGATCGACTTTGACGCCCACGCGAGACAACGACGGAAGAGCGCAGGAAGTGCCCCGACGAACCCGTTTGCGATGCCTCCAGGTGAGGTCGCTGTGGGGCCTGCAGAAGTAGAGAGAGTTGCAGTCGATGGTCGTCGTCGTAATAGCAGTAAAGAAGAAAAGCAAGGAGCCGGTGTAGGTGGAGGCCTTAAACAGGCTGAGGCTTCTAGAAGTAGTGTAGAGGCGAAGAGCAACGACGAAAGACCTGGGAAGCTTAGTGTTGTGGTAACCTCCAAAGAAAAAGCACCAGTGTCCACCAGCTCCAGCAATGCAGGCGGGGATCTGAATCCAGGAAGTGCAGGCCTTGGAAACAGCGAAGAAAATGGCTCCTCCTCTTCAAGCGCGGGACCATCTTCGACTGCCCATGCGCCAAAGGGTAAGGTGTATGCCGGCAGTGCGCAGTCTCTTTTTCCGCAACCGAAGAAAAAGCGCGTGGGAACATCGGGGTCGTCAGGAGCCGGCGGCACAGGCGCTCTCAAGGGGGTAAGACGTTGCCTATCTGGGCCGTGTAAGTTTTTTCTTTTCTCTCTACTTTGTTCCCTGCGTGCCTCCGTGACAAGCGTCAGGACATAGGTCTGGGGCCGTGGGTCGCCGGCGGTACAGCGCTGCCTAGCTGACAGTGACGGCGTGTCCCTTCTTAGCAGAAGGGGCGCGCCGCCGTCTGCGGGTCGGGTGCATTGCTTGACTACCTCGCGTCGCATAAAAAGGGGCCCCGCGATGCGGAGGCCATGGCGCCTTTCCGCTCATTCCTGGCGCCGCGCACCCCCTCGGCCTCGCCTGGGGTGACAGACTCCCGCAGAACAGGGGGAGGAAGCTGCGCAGAGCGGGAGACCGGCGCCGGCCCAAGCAATGCACGAAGCAAAACCCAGGGGCAGGAGAGCGGCCCACTGTCTAGTGTTGGCTCGGAAAAAGGGGGGCAAACTGCTCGGCCAGGCAGCGCGCTGGCAAACGCTTACCACCTGCGCCAGCTGACTTCAGGAGAAGCGTGCGGGGGGTTGTTCTTGTCGGGACAACAGGGCCCGGCGCGGGTGTATGGCTTTGCGTGATAGATTCGCGGGCCGCTTGTGTGTTCGTTCGGCCGCGTCTGATTAGAGAGAGAGGCGCCTGGCATAAGTCTCCTCCAGAAGGGGCCGCGTCGCCACTCGGGGGCGCGTTGCTTGGTAGCCATCTGCAGCGCTAGGCGCAGGCACACAACCGAGCGCGCGTGCTTCTGCCCAGACCGGCTGACGCCTGCCCTTCGGGGGATGATGGCCTGGCGGTCGGCTGGTCGATCATGGCGGCGGAGACGAAACGAAGAAACTTAAATGTGGCGCACGCTGCCGCTACCTACCAGGGCAGAGCCTAGACATTGACGGCGCTGCGCGACGACGACGCTCCTGGGGTGGAAAAAGTGCCCAGATGATGAACCCAAGCCACACCGCCGCCAGCTTTGAGGCGTATGCACAAAAGGCGCACGCCGCGGAAGCTGCGCCATTCTCGAGCCCACACCTGCGGCGTGTCATCTGGTTGATTTCGGAACGCGGCACAAACGTCGACCAGGCCGCTGCACTTGCAGCGGATGAGGCGAGGGCTGGCTTGTGCTGTCGTTGCGTGGGTGGTTCGTCATCATGGTGCCAAACCATGAGGGGCAGGCACTGGCGCGGCGTGCCTTTGCTTTCTGACTTGTTTCTTGACTTGTGTGCGACTGAACGGGGGGCAGGGTGGATTTTTCTCAGCGTTAGGGGAGGCGGGGTGCATAGGACCACCTTGGAGAAACTCCGCGCAGCTGGACACAAGGCGGCGGCGATGAACTCGCTACGTTTAGAAGTGAAGGCATTCGCGGGCCACATGCGTGAAGTCGCTGCGCCGGGCTTCTCGGCTGCGGTGAGTGAGTACCATCCAGAAACGACCACGGGCAAAGCAGCTGGGGAACCCCTTGCAGATGCTCAGCTCTCGGAGATATTCGGCACTCAGCTTGAAGGGGTGACGGGTCTGCGCGTGGCCGGCGCTGGTGAAGGATTGCAGTACGTTGCTCCTGAGGCTGAGGCAGCCGCTCAGATTAGACAGGAAGCCGAGGAGCAGAAGCATGACGCGAGAAGCCGAGGAGCAGAAGCATGACGTGAGAAGCCGAGAAGCAGAGGCATGACGTGAGGCCGGTCCGCTGCGGGATGGCTCTAGCTATGGTGGCGCCAGTCGTGCGCGTTGGAATGATTACAGGCGGGGCCGCAGCTGCTCTCAAGTAAGTGAGCACTGCCAGCAGCAGTAGTGACGTGGCCGCGCGCTGGCTTGTGACTGACGGCGTGAAGTGTTTGGCGATACCTTCTCACACGGTGAAGGAATACAAACCGGAAGACCGTGGCGCACGAACGGCTCGTGAACTTGCTGCGGGCAAATCTCTCGCCAAATTTCAACGCCCTCGCTTTCCCTAGTCGGATGCCCCCGCCCACTTATCGGATTCCGAAGCTATGGACGGGCGAACTATAATAGACCTCACCTAGAAAGTTAGGCGCCCGCAACTTATGCAACAGCTCCCCCTTCAGTATCCAGCTCGCCACCGCCTTCCCCTGGGGTGCAAGGCATGTGGCTGCAATTCAAACAGCCAGCACGCGCGTGGCACATGGAAGCGCTTGAGCTTGAACGCAGGCAGGGGTCGGCCTTGTACCATGGTACACGCCGGCGCCAGAACTGGCTCGGTGCGTGCGGAGTATGTTGCGCTTTTCCCTTCCAGCGCAGCGGCCAGGTTCTATTTGTTTCCATCCATCGGTCTGGGGCATATTCACTCGCAAAACTCTCAAAGCAAGCGCACAACTTGGGCGAGAGCACGCGCCCCGGCGCTCGCGCCACCCGTGCGCCACCTAGGTGCATGCGGCGGGCTGGCTCTGGGTGGGGTGTTGGCGTAGATGCTGCAGGCATGTGCCTGGAAAGAGAACGCAACCCGCAGGCGGGGGCGGGGGTGTTGGTTCGGGGAGCGGGGGAAGGCCTTGGGCGGTGTGAGCGGCTTGCCCTTTTGGGTATGCGCTTGCGCCTCTCTTGCGTTTTCGATTGGGGACTTTGGGGGAGTACGAACAAACTGGACCGTGATGTATACTTGGTAGTTATCAGTTGCTTATGGCTTTCGGTTTTTTTTTAGGTCGAGTGCAGTACTTGTCACCCACTGCGTCCTAGTCCCTAGAATTGTTTGATTGCGCACTCACCGCCAGATGTTTCGCAATGGTATCGAGGAGCATGGTCCAGGAAAGGAGCCTGCAACCGGAGAAGAGCCACCGCCGGAGTCTCCTGGTAATTCACGTTGGCTTGTTGTTTCTCTTTGAACGTCTGAGCAAAAGTGTTTGTAATCTCACGACTGAACTCCAAGATTTACAGAAGCCACTCCAACATTGTATTTTTTGGTGTTCCTTTGTAGTTTTTAGCATTCTCGAAAATAACGAAATATATACAGATGAAATTCGGTATCAGCAAGAACTTTTGCGAGCGACGGAAGCTAGCCTTGCTTCGATGAGTTCTCTGGAGAGGTTTCGCCATGATGTCAAGCGTGTTGCAATATCACAAGCTGAAAAGATATGGCTCCTCCATTGGTTTTGCGAAAACCTCCTCAGCTCGTAGTTGCACTAAGTGGGTGGGCCCGCCCATAGTTGTACCACAACATTAATAATGAGAATCAATCAAGAACCTTTATCAGGACGCTGCAACAAGTACCAATCGGGACAGTCACTCCCATTAACACTTCTACCTGTACTTTTACTACCTATTTTTTCCACAAGAATCCTAAATCATGAATCAACCATCGTTTTCGTGACGAGCCCTTCTAAAAATGCGGGAGCTTGTCAGAGCCAAGTATCCAAAAGACATGGAGCGTCTTGGCGCACTAGGCTTCGCGGAAGAACAGGCTGCTTGGGCGTTAATGCAAACAGAGGATCTGGATGAAGCTGTATCACTTATCTGCGATAGCAAAAGTTAAGGCTACCGCTGGAGCATCCTCACAACAATGTTTGTGTTGTCCCTGGCTCTTTTTCTCCTTCTTGAAAATGGAGCCATGGATGCACTCAGGGATGCGACCGCGGTAGCTCTAAAAAAGATCTTCTTTCGACCTCTGAGTATGACTGTCGGCATCGTGGAGGTTCAGACACTGTACAACTTCAATATCTTCTATACGGAGATCACACCTCTCGTACGTTGCTGAATAAAAGGCTTGTTCAAAGTAATATTCCTCTTATTTACGACACAGCAGTAGAGTTATCTATCATAGCTACTTACTTTTTTCAAAATCGTCAAGGACTTCTATTCGTACTTTATACAGGCAATCACTCGTAGTCCCGACAGTCGCATCATTGAGTCCGAATATGTTGTATTACAGACAAGAGCTACTTCGTTCCTGATGTATATTTTTACGTTTGGTGTCATAGTCATTATGGCGTGTATCTAGACGCGTCCTCCGTTGAGGTTCACCTATGGTTTACATTTTTTCAGTTTCTCTTAAAAGATGAATGAAAAATTAACTTTCTTGATCGGCACAACCAAGAAGACGACTGTATAATCGGCACAATAAGACAGCAGTCGTCTTTGTATACAGGAGATTTGGAAGAAAAAACTACACGACGAGTCCAAAGTTCTAGGCCGTGCTGTAACTCAAAATAATTTTGCTAGCAGACGCAAACCGGTTCTGCAGACCTGCTTTTTTATTCTGGTTCTACCTCTCAGATTGCTGATTCTGTTTGTTGGGAAATTAGACAAGAACTCGACTATTGTATGAGAACAATCGACTTTTGTAATTTCAGATAGATTCTCAGAGAAGAAATAGAAGTCGTGGGACCTGCTAGTGAAAAAGCAGGTGCAATCCTCCTCAGAGAGTAGGTGCAATCCTCCTCAGAGAGTAGGTGCAATCCTCCTCAGAGAGAGTAGGTGCAGAGAGTAAGTGCAACCCTCCTCAGGGAGTTCTGATACTCCGAAAGCATAAGTATCCCGCGAATATGTTGTGCAAGCAAACAGGAGGTGAAGATGCACATTTCTGCCGCAATTGAAGATGCACATTTGATTTCTTCATCTAGGAGGGAGATGTCTAAGGGTAGATGTAGAATGGAGGGATGAAGAAGTGTACTATATGAAGATATGGAGGGTTTCCTCATCTAGTGCAATTGCACTAGATGTTGAAGATCATAGAGCTATTAGTATTACTTTTGGTTCAAAATGAGATGCACTAGATGAAGATTATCGGTTCAAAATGAGAGTCAGAGTCGCGAGTAGAATGGAGGGCTTGTGTACATTTCTTCATCGCTCCAAAGTGGTCATTAAAAGAGAAAGAGCTCACTCAGGAGCATCTATAGAAGTGCAATAACAACAACAACAACTTCACATTTATATCTCTGCTGCGTGAAGAAAATATATCACTAACTTGTGACGCTGTTCTTTCAAAGAAACTGCAGTCAATTGCTCAATGTTATATCAAGCAAATTCTTAGGCTATAATATGGACTGACTGTAGCTGTACCGGAGCCGAACGAACAAGCGATCAAGAGTGTTGCAAGAATTTGTCAGACCATGGCGTAGTGGCGTAAGGACTCCTGCAGCTGTGCCGTAGGGACTCCTGCAGTCCGACCATGATCATGGTGCTACCCACTTCGTCAAGCAAAGGTACAACAAAGTAGACATCTTACTGTTATCTCGTATGGTACAGTCACTGCGTAGCCCTGTCAGTATGTACTGTTACTGAAAGATAACAAAAGCATGAGTGGATCTTCACCCGGTCGCGGCAATCTTGTCCCTGCAGGCGGAGGTCGCGGACGTCGGAGATCCTCTGGAGGAGGTCCGGCAGAAGACGAGCTAAACTCTTCTCTAAAGCTTGCAGAAGAGAAAGTCGAATCCGCGCTGTCCGAACTGGACCTGCTTTTACATCAAAGCGAATTGGAAAGCCTGGCGACTACGGAAACCAAGCGACTAAGACGTGAGAAGGAGGAAGAATTCCGCAAGCTGCAGGCGGATGTGCGGCAAGTCGTGGATGAAGGAGGAGTCAGCGCGCTGTGCAATTAGGAATCAAGAGTAGAACACTGGTGGTGATTTTTATTTAGAGAGTCATATGAATTATAGCGATTTTTTTGATACATACTAGCTTTCATTTCATCTTCAACGAAAGACGGAAACAAGATAGTTGTACTGATTTCGTCACTTCTTATTGTACGTGGTGCGCGAACTTTTAAATTAAGAGTACTTTTAAGTCTCGCGGCGGATTTTCAGTGGCGCGCCAGCTGGATCTCCTGATGGAAGTGAGGATGGAGCGAGGCCTATGGAAGGTATTGGGAGATAATACGCAGGTAGATCATCAGGTTTAAGGAGTCAGAAGGTGGTAGACGTAGGTAGGCCATCATGATGATGATGATGATGGTGATGATGCTCATATGTTACGTTTCGCCAGTCATGATCAATACCAATTATAGGTTGTCTATCGAACACTTAATTTTGACACTACTAAATCGCTTATAAATGTAGTTTGACCACTATCTATCATCTATCATGTATGTGCTACAACTATCGCAGCTTCGATCCGCGAGTTGGTTGCAAATGTTCAGAAATGGACACAGCGTGAACACGAAAAGAAGCTAGAGGATATCTCTGCAGCAGGTGACGGAGCAGATTTGGAGGCGCGGAGAAATTTTCTGCGGGAATTGAGTATCGATCGAAGAAAGCGTGGGCAAGAGATAGCGTTTGGGAGAGGAAAAAACGAGGAAAGCGTAAAGGAGACTATCGAAAGGAAACTATTTCCTCCTAGTAGTAGTACGAGTGGTGTAGGTGGAGGTGGAAGCTCAAGTTCGACTAGTGCAGCGAAAGCACCACCTAATAGTTCCTCAACTGCTGCAGCGAGAGCGACTGGGAGTGCTGCGGCTACACCGAAGACCAGTGGAGTGACACCGAAGACCAGTGGAGTGACACCGAAGACCAGTGGAGTGACACCGAAGGCCAGAGGGTCCAGTGCGGCATCGACGCCTAAGGCAACACCGAAGGCAGCAGAGGCTAGTGGCACACCTACGTCAGCAAAAGGCGGAACAGCTTCGGCGGGTGCTAAAGCTTCTGCAGCAAAAGCTACAACACCTAGCACGATAAAGACGACTTCGTTTGATCTCGACACCCTTATTCCACCTCGCGATGCAATACGCGCTGTGCTTACGAGAGAGCAACAAGAAGGTCGTATCGAGAATAGTAGACGGGATGACATTTTCTTCTTCGATTCCGATGATGAAGAAAGAATAGTGAAGCTCTCAGACGTCCAGCTTCGGCAACACGTGCCTCCTGTGGCGGCAACTGAAGCGTTTGAGGCAGTCGCGAAGAGTGTCGGAGTGGTGGTTGCGCCAAATACTGCGTCTGCCAATGCTTCCTCATCTTCGTCTAGGGCAGGGTCGAAAACACCACAAGCTGCAGGTAGTAAGACCGGAAATGCACCAGGTGTAGGGACTGCACATCAAAAGCAGACAACGACAAGTACAGGTACAAGCAATAGTGCTACTTCTGCGTCTGCTAACCGGGATAAAGCAGCTTCATCTAGTTCCAGTACAGCAGACGCACACGCGCGAGCATCCGAGGGAGCAGAAGTAGATGATTATTCTTGGCATCGTATTCGCGAGGTGTCTAGCAAATTAGGAAAAATAGGTCGCGAGGAGATCGCGAAGAACGCAGGGCAGCTTGCGCACGAATGGCGGGAATTTTACCACGAATGGGATCAAGAAGTGATGAGGGTTCCCAGTCGGAGGCTTCTTGTGTACCCCATTGTGGAGCCAGAGCCGACTTGTGCGAATATGGCAGCAAGAGCGCCAGCTGCAAGTCTCGGAAATGAGATCAAAGGAGGACGAGGGAGTGGAAGCTCTAGCCGCGGTCAGGAGTCTCCGACTATGAGTCCTCCACATGCGACAGCCGCTACTGGAACGGGCTCCGTTGGAAGCCCAGGAAGTCCTGGCTTCATGCAGCAAACGATCAATCTAAACGAAGGCGGGGAAGACGATGGCCCAGGTACCCCGAGGCCAGCAGCGGAAGAAGCTTCTATTAAGGCTCAGCTGTCTTGTATTTAAGCGTAGGTTAAAGGGGCTTGTTTTGTTATAGGTTAAATTAAGGCTCAACTTTCAATGGTCACCATTGAGATTGGGGTCACTGAGATCGAAGAGGCGACCCCTTCTTGAGAGAACCAACAGGGGAAATAAACGAAGGGAAAGGGGAGAGCTTTGAAGGGGGTCTCTTCCGTTCAGAGTCATGATGACCATTGAAGGCTGAGCTTTAATCCTATTACGTCTGCGGGCATCTCGTCATCCATGAGAGTTAAGGGTTGCAAGTTCTCGACCTATCTATGTATAACCAGCATAAATTCCTGACGCTTTCAAGAAAAAAGGGCACAGCAATTGCTACATCTTCTTGGCTAGTTCATCAAGATCAACTTGAACCTGCCTAATAGTAGGAAGCGGCCACCGCCTGTCTCGACGGGAGCTCCTTTAGAAGATTCGATTCTCCGGAAGGGAATGCACAAGTTCGTACGGGAAGAAATAGTTTGCAAACGCCTCCTCGATTGCACGATCGCTTATGAAAAAATGACAGAAATACAAACAGGCTCGGATGTAGTTCGTAGTCCCGAATACTTAGTCCTGTATAAGTACTTTAGTTCGGACGTAGTCCCGTATACTTACAACATTTAATAGAAATACAACTACCTAGGGGAATAAATTGTTTCGGCAATCCTGGATGTTGGTCCAATGGAGTTGGTCCGTATCCACAATAGATGAACTAGAACGTGGAAATCCTGTTTATTTTACACGTAGAAAGAGAAGTCCAATGCTCGAAGTTCTTATTGAATTTCATCGTACTTTATCGAAATTGATTCTCCGCGTTCATGATCGAGATGCGTTGAGCAAAACTCCTTCAGCCGCTGAAGTCGAGGAAAAGCAGAAGATGCTCATCGCGCGAATAGAACGCGAGGCAGGTGCGGCGAAGGCGAAGGCGGCAGGCATGGACCAGGATACGGGTCAGGATGCCGATAGCGGCAGCTTTTACCAAGTTGGGCGGTCGAAAGTGGTAGATGCCGAGGCCAAAGTCGCCATTGCGTCTCTGATCCGCGAGTGCGTGCGAGAAGCTATTTGGGGAGTCTCACAGGAGGTTTTCACCTTCGCTCAAGAAGTAGAGCGCAAAATACCCGAATACCTGCTCGTGACGTCAGCACTACAATTATGTTCATCTAGTACGTCAAGTAGCGGCCCATCTCCAACCACAGAATCTTACTTTTAGCTGTTTTCCGTGTGCGTAAGATGTACTGAATGCAAAAGATTTTTCTTCAATACTCGGACATCAAGGGGAACAACTTCTAACTACTATAAAAGATGTAGATGCAAATAAATGAATGCAAAAAATTTCTAAAAGATGGGCTCTTCAGAAGCAAGTAGACCACCTCTTCTAATGCAAGTTTTCAGTACAGAAAACAATAATTTCTGTCAAGTTGCACCTTTGGATCCAATTAAGTATGAGCAGTGTGCTTCGGTCCTTTCGCAGATGAGCGCGGATGAGCGGCGGCGTAAATTCGTTCCCTTTCCAAGGCTGAACTTCGGGTCTGGGGATGGGATAGACCCTTTGCTGTTCGGCACAGAGCAGCAAGGCGACACGACACAGCAGAGTGGGAACAATATTAAGGGGCTAGATAGAGCATATGTAACTAGATAGAGCAGATGTAAGGGTTTCGACATTGCATTCTTCACTACAACCATCCTTCACTCGTTTTCCAGTAGGAAAAGGGTCAAGGATGTTCTGAAGCATGTCTAATTCCATAGCCTCTAACAATAGTCCGAATAATCGTGGCGACGCTGGTGCGCAAGGCGCAGGTGCTGCAACCGATGCGGCCGGCTCCACGGACGGAGCTTCGACTGCGGGTGCATCGACTGCAGTGACTAAAATTAAGGGTTAACCAATTCCATCCTCCACAACCATCTCACACTCTCTTTCTAGTAGGAAAGAGGTGGGGGATGTGCTGAAGAATGTAATGTGGTAACCTTTAATAAAAGGAGACAGGACGACGATGAACGCTCCGAGGAATCAGAGGAAGAGGAGATCGATGCTATACCTCTGCGAGTCGCTGATGTTCTTAAGGCAACCAAGATGGCATCCTCAGCATCCTTCTTATCCTCTTTCTTGAAGGTTCGTCCAAGGTTCGCCCAATGGAAAAAGAAGGTTCAGGCTCCAAGGACGTGACTTTCAAGGAAGATTCGAGCCGATTGTAGCTCTAACGTTCCTTTCTATCGCGTTTTGAACGAGAAAAACACAGTTTCCAAGCGCCATCGAGCAGCCGGGAATCAGTCGCCGACCGCAGCGGGTCTCACCGGGAATCAGTCGCCGACCGCAGCGGGTCTCACTCAGATTAGGACTCAATCGGTGAATTATCAACTCATCTCTTATTTCCGAGGGGAGTGTACTATCTTTGACAGGTGGGTGTTTTCAAGATTATGATGAAAAAAAGAAAACAAAAAACGATCCGCTTTGATGCGCTTCCAGATGGTTAAGTATTTACTTATGTAGTTGATTGTAGTTGTAGTAAGGTCTAATCAGAGTGCTCCTCTGACCGCCGGATCACAGACAGCGCAGAATGTATCCGCGCCAGTCGTTCCCGCCTTTGATTCAGACACCCCGATGAGTGCGTCAACTGCCGCGCCGATGCCTCCTGGGCTCCATTTTGCCATGAAGCAGGCGGAGTTGGCTCCACGGAGTAGCCTGCGGCTAAAAGCCGCGGTCGACGATGGAGGCGGTGGTGCCGGAAATGAGCAGGCGGGAGATTCCTCCAGTAGTAGAGGACTCCAAGGTGCAGGTAGTCCAGGAGGTGCTAGTCGAAGAGAAGCAGGGTTACCAAAGCCGCTCACCTTTGATCCACGCGCGCACCCGAGTTGGTTATCGGAGCGCCGCAACATTGCGCGAAATCGCGATGCGCAGTCAAAAGAGCCTATCGTCGAATTCTGTTGTCTCAACCGCAATAAGCGCGACAGCTACGTGGGCGCAGGGCGAATCTCCGGCTTCATCAGTGGATGCACCGCGCGCTACACGCGCGCACTGGGCTTCGTCCTGGTCATATGCACCGAGCGTGGCTACCTCGGGGACAATTTTCTCTACGTCTTACGGTTATCGCAAAAGTGGACAACCGGCGGCGTCGGCGCCGCGCTCGCGCCGATCGCAGCAGCGTCTTTGGGAGACATGCAAGCGATAAAACGTGTCAAAGGTCAAGGACCGGGTGGGAGAGGTTGGTCGAAGAAACGAAGACCACCAAAAGGGGCTAGCTTATCCTTACGGCGAATGTTAGTAGGATGTATCTACTTATACAAACCTCTTCCCAACGACATCCTTCAAAACGACATCCTTCAAAAGTAAAGAGACCTCCACAACAAGGAATGTGCCGTACAGTTTAGTTCTGAAAATACTTAAGAGGAAGAACTGCGGAGACGAAATTTCAGCTCCTCAAGCTAGTCCTCTTACTCTAATCTCCTCCGGCAGTGACCCAGATGAGGCGGCAGATGCGGCAGCCGAGGAGAAGATACCCGTAGACTTTGCCAATTTCTGGGATACGAAGTTCGTAGTTCAGAGAGAGTCAGTGTCGGAAAAACGGTGGAAAGATCCGCAGATATCTGCAGATGGGACGACCGTGTTGGCTATAGAAAACAACACCTTCCAAGTGATGACGGCCCTGAACGTCGTGCCAAAAGACGAAATACCAAGCAACAGAAGTGTATTGTTATAATATCTTCAGCAGACTGTTCTTCTTGGTGTGAGTGAGTCTTCTTCTATCTTGGTGTGAGTGAGTCTTGATTGAATCATTGAGATGAGCTGCGTTATGAATTAGTATCATTTTATGTTTTTTCGTAAGAAAAGGTATAATAATGGTATATGAATTAGTATCATTTTTTGTTTTTTCGTATTGGTATTTGAATTGTTACTGTTGTTATCAAATTCGTTGTCACACAGTATGCGCCTGTCCACTGTGCCCTGAGCGTGGAGCCGAAGTATTATAGGCGGAAGGGGCAGGAGGATTACCCGGTGGAGCGTCTCGTGCCGCAAAGGATATGCCCCTTCTCTCATCTTTCTCTCCTGGGCTCGAATGACTCGAGTCTAGTAGGGTTATCAGACGGCAGCTTGCTGAAGTTGAACCACAGTCGTCATTCTCGAGTCCTCCCGGACGCTACCGACTTCGGAACACCTGGCGTCGATCGGCTGCCGCTCTACTTAGGGCTATTGTCAAAGATGGTCTATTTTCAAATGAGAAGATAATTTCTCCCAACATCTACTACTGAATTGATGAGAGCCTTTCTCCGCCTCTCTAATCTACTGGGAGCAGCCGAAGTTGAAATACGGAAACGAGCGGAGACAGCAGGAGTACGAACAGCAGCATGAGGGTACCTGGCATGCACTGTGTGGTAAAGAGTATTTTGAGCGTCACGATTCCGACATTGTGGCACTGGGTTGTACGCAGACGGACACACTGATCTGGTCCCTCGATGCAAAAAACCTCATCTGTCTATGGCGCTACAGCGAGAAAAACCGGACCGGGTTCGGCTCCTTTCGACCGTTGGCGGCTTGGCGCTTGCTACTCAAGGACGTGGTATTCTTATGGGTAGGTTAAAGGTGCTTTTGTTGCCGTTTGTTATGGCTCTCCTAAGGGGGACAGCCATAACAAGCGGGATAAACGAACACCAAAAACCTACCGCTAATATTCAATTTCGCGCCCATGCACGAAATGCCGCCAGACGCAGACCAATACACCGAGTCTGCGGATTTGGACGTACAGGGCGCAAACGAACACTTTCTCTACCCTTTCTGTTATGGCTCTACAACTTGGGAAAGCACTTGTATGTATAGACAGTTTCAGAAATCTTTCACTTGATTCAACACAGGAGTCCTTTTTCAAGCTATACTACGGCTCTTTAACTGTAACTGAGTCGCTTTTAGGTGAGGATTTAGACATGATCTTCAAAGATTATTATGGAATTTCAACGCTGGTTCTCGTTCTAACCCTGCATGTTAGAGGAGGAGGAGTTTATTTTTCCAGCAGCAAACAACACTCTGTTTCGTGTGAATGCTTCGGATTTTTCAAAAAAGCGCGTTCCGGTAGTTGGGCTGAAGAAAAGCGGACAGGGTGGCGTCACTCGGGGTGGCGCGGCTCCTACCATGCTTTTGAGTGAGCTAGATGGAGGCTCGAGTGACGAAATGATGGAGGGCAGTGGAGGTGGACGACCGTTTGATTAAGGCTACCGCAGGAGCATCCTCAGAACTATGTATCCTTGGCGCTTTTTCTACTTGAAAAAGCAGCCGGGGATGCTTTCAGGGATGCGACCGCGGTAGCTCTATTTTGATGCAGATGGCCAAGGCGATACAGAGGATCTTCAAGATGGATTCGGCATGCCCGTGGCTTCTCGCGGCAGTCGTCGTGTAACCTTTGACGTCGTGGATCCCGGAGACCTTCACGACCACACGGGTCAAAGTTCATCAGCGGCTTCCGATCGCGTGCCCGACATTCACGGCGTGCGCTTTCCTGACGTACAACTGGGAGAATTCGCTGAGGAGCATCTGTACGGCTTGAAAGTGCCATTGTTGTCGAAGTTTCCCGGGTACGCGAAGAAACTGAGGTTAAGGGTCGATCGTGGACATAATTTAATTCCCTGAAATCTGACACACGGCAAAATAAAGCTCGAGATGCCCTGAAATCTCAAATCTGACACACTGCATCCCTGTGATGAAGGGCATCGTATATTTCGTTTCCCAACTACAACTCTTGATAAGAATATTCTGGAAGGAGAGGTCGTCTAATGAGGGCAACGGAAGGCGCAATAATGGACTTCGCTTTCTTTGGGAAGACGGCTGCTGTACTATACCGTGTGCAGAAAGGAACTTTTCGTTATGACCCTTTGGTTGATGATCGTTCTGACCCTTTGGTTGATGAGTAAGTTGTTGTAGCTTTTCTTGGTTCTTTGCTCCTGGAATGGCTCATGATGTTGTTACAAGTCCAACATGGAGAAGGAAATACTCATACGCTGACGTCATTTGGAGACTTTTACTGCAACGAACTACAGCCGTGTACTATTCGAATAATAATAGACTTAAGAAAGATGAAAACGCCGTTGAGCAGAAAGTGGCCCTCGTCTTCTAATTTTGCATTCTAGTTTTTTCGAGTGAGACGGAACTTCCACCTACTGTCAGTGCAGAGTTCTCCACGGTTGCAGGAAAGCGGGTTCCGAGTCACGCCAAGAAGGCAGGAACGAAAAGTCCGCAGAGTCGTGGCGCCTCGCCACGTCCGTCCACCGTTGAAGTGCCCGCGCAGGTTGCTGCAACCGGTAAACAACAGGGCATGTTTGGCGGGATGTTCTCAGCGATTACAGCACCTGTAGTCACTGGAGCACGGCCCTCCTCAGGGTCGAAACCAACAACAGCAACAGCGAAGGCACTGCCAGGTGCCGGTCAGCCGTTTCATCGTCAGCCAACGTTTGGAGAGTGCAGCGCTTACGCCACTCAAATGCCTGAGAAGGTACTTTTTAACAAGTTTTGTACTTCTAGTAGGGGAACAAGTCTCACTCGATTTTTGATAGTGCTTGCTAGTAGGGGAACAAGTTGATTGTACTTCTAGTAGGGGAACAAGTTTCACTTAGTGTACTTGCTACTCCTTGGAGGTGATGTATTCCTTGCTGTAATATAGTTCCATGATGTAAAAAAGTCCTTAATGTATTCCTTTTATTAGGCTAGCATTACTAAATGGGACATGATGATGACGAACATTACTAAATGGGAAATGATGATGATGATGATGACCTTTCACCAGGGCTCCAAGGCCTACCGCATTTTGTTTGAGGAAGAAGTTTCGGAGGGCGACACCGACGCAGAGGACCTTGGATATTTTACTGCCGCTGCACGACCTGGTGAGGTGGAGGAGCCATCTTCTGACTCGGGCTCTTCGGTTAAGGCTACTCAGTGTGGAAGGATCTACCGTAGCAACTAGGCTCTTTTTGTACAGTTGAAATCAGAGTGCCAGGTCTGTTGTAGATTAGGTAGATCTCTACCTGAAAAATAGAGCCAGCTTGAACTGAGGGAAGCGATGATCGCGGAAGCTCTAACTCGGATGAAGACGAAGCACCAGGAGGTTTGGGTGAGGCCGCTAATGCAGATGCGATGTCTGCTTCTAGCGGTGTTGCGAGTGGAAGTCCCACTGCAAGTCCGACCTCTCCGGACGGATCTCCGAGGACACAGTTATGGTGACCATATAACGCTACTAATCTATCGTTTCTGCTACGTCGATGTGGGTCGTCCCTCGTGAAGCACCATGTCACAAAGTCAGTGACACTGTCTTCAGATGAACTCGGGGTCTCCACATCAATTATAATTACATATTTATAAATCAACATCGGGGACGAGGACAGAAGTACGCATGCGGAAAGAAGTATGCTGTAGGTAGCACAGGGACGATGGATCACTGGGAGTACTAGTAGAGCTCCTCTAAGACATGCATCTGCCTCGCCTGCAGGAGGACCCTCTAGTAACGCGGCCGCGGTTGTGCGGCCCCTCCGTCCGGTTGTGCGGGCGGCGCCGACACGTGCCGTAGTGCGGAGTCGACGCAAGCAGCAGATCAAGGCACCAATTGCCTCGCTTCCAAAGCTGAATTAGGACACTTTCTACTCTGCTAGTTAGAAAAAGAGTACTCATAGTTAAGATTGTGTCATGTACTCATAGTTAAGTTAGAAATAGAGGGTATGCGTAATAGAAATAGAGTCTCAGCAACCCTGATGCTAGCATTGAAAAGCTCCTCTGTAATATGATGTGCATGATGATGCGGATGCTACCAGCGTGTTTCAATCTCTTTACCTAACCTATCAACTACATCTGAACAGTATCGATCATCGTGCTTACGACCGTAATTCTATCTACGTTAATAAGATCAACATCTGAACAGTATCGATCATCGTACTTACGACCGTGATTCTATCTACGTTAATAAGGAATCTTCTTCTACCTTCTAATTCGAGATTCAGCTTCCGTCGAAAGAGCGGGAGGCTGTATTTCGGGAATATAATGTGGGTGCCAACGTGGATTCGCGTCCACGAATGGCCCTTTTCAATTATGGTCTCTATTTAAAATGTCCACCATCTATCCCGGCATCTTGATATCCACCTTTTACCCTGTAATACTTATTCTATAATGAAAGTAGACGAGGGCATGATAGGGGTCAAGCTCAAGAAGATGAGGGGACCGAGATGGATAAAACTCACGCCATTCGTCCTCCAAAGTCTGTCAGGAACTGTTTCACCCTGTCGATGTTGGTTAATTTGAGGACCATTTGTGAAAAAAATAAATGATGATACTCTAATTCAAGACGTACCTGTACGTAGTCGACGAAGTGCACATATTCGTCTTCAGCACGAAAACGGGCCAGCAACTTGTAAAATGGCGCCATAACATCTTGGATGCTGACCTGGAGTTAGGGCTCACATTTTTTTGTGGGGCGTTAGATTCTTTTACCTCTTACGATGACTGTATAGCGCAGGCTTTAGGATTAGGAATCAATAAGGTCTTCTTTTATAAGCAGATACGTCTTGTTCCTCTTCAAGACGTGTTGTACTTATCCATTTTACATCTCATCGTACATCATCTGCAACACCTATTCATATTTGAGAAGTTGCATCTAATCCACGCAGGTAGCAACGCACAGGAACAGAACCCCGATGACGATAATGGGTTACTCCCCAACATCGTTACGGTGCAGATCTTCAACGTTGGTCTCAAAGCACGACTGGCGCTTTTGATTGCGACTAATCACGTAGTGAAATTGTATTGGGTGCCAGGACCTTGATGTGCCTGCCTATAGGCCTGTAGTACTATATGGGACACGGTGATGATGATTGATCCGTTCACTAGAATGATCTTGTACTTATAAGGGTTTCCGAGAGTAGCATCATGCAGAATGTTAATTCTTGACATATTTTCTAGTCGGAAAAAGGATAAGGATGACTCACTAGAAGACGGCTGTGGATGACAGTACTACCTTTTTTTTTTGCTTTTTGAGTGAGTTCTTTTAGTTTCATGAGTTTCGCCAGTTAGTTGCTGCATTATAAAGATGTTTCTATTCTGCGGACGCAATATCGATGTGTCGATTTTTGGTATTCTTCACTGCTCAACACGTTTACTGTACAACTGATCGTACTTAAATTTTGTTGAGTTTGTACATATTAACTAAAAGGTCTAATAGCTTCCGTAATCAATCTAAATCCTTGTTGACTCTGTGATGCGCGGTTTTGCATTGTCCCTGTTTTAGGTGCAACTTCATTGGTTGCTTTTCCCACAGTCATTTGATAAATTCTCTAAGGGCCCACCACAGCTTACATCAATGCGTTGCCTTCTGGACGGATCGCTGGGTCGTAGCACGTTAACCATTAGGCAGAATATTCCGCTTGGTTCGCCTGAGCAGATGATATAGCACAATGACCGGCTCATAAGCGATGGGCATGGTCATTCCAGGAATCATAAACACTGAGACTTACTTCATCAGGTAGGAGAGGCACTGAGCGACCGATTGATCTGAGCGACCGATTGATCTGAGCGACCGATTGATCTGAGCGACCGATTGAGTTGGAAGAGGAGTCCCTGAGTTGGGATGAATGATTGTCAATAAAACAGCTGATTAAGCTGCTAAATATGTGACACGAATGTGGGATGAATGAGTGATTGGGAGGACGCCTTTGAAAACTGCAACTTGAAACCGCCGAATCAAAACCGCAAAAGTAGGGTGGAAATGGATGATGAGTTGACGCTGCCGCATCTGTTCTGCGTTCTTGTGTAGCGCATCTATCGGCCATGCAGCCTAGCGGGGAGCACCGGGCGTGATAGATCAGAAGATTTTTGTAGTTGGGGATTGTTTAAGCGTGACACGTGCGAGACCTGGCGACGGAGGACTGAACCCTAATCCTAATCCTAATCCCTAATCCTAAATGAGTGATTGGGGCGACTTCGAAAACTGCAACTTGAAACCGCAAAATCGAAACCGCTAAATGTCTATTTCTCTCTTACTTTCTTCTACAACTAGCAAAGGAATCTCTAGGAACTAGCGAAGGAACTCTAGTGCTATCGGTCGGAACGGGAGTGCTATCATTCGGAACTTCCTCGCAGTAGAGGTTGACTCCCGCGAACTTGGGACGATATGACGCTTCCCAGCTGGTTGCTGGTAGTCATTTTCTTGTAGCGTCTTCTTCATCTTCTTGTAGCCTCTTGTTGGCGGAAGGCAGCACTCCAGTTCCGACCGATAGCACTCCATACTCTCTTACTTTCTTCTACAACTAGCAAAGGAACTCTAGTGCTATCGGTCGGAACTGGAGTGCTATCGGTCGGGACTGGAGTGCTGCCGTCCGCCAACCCTAAACTCAGAGGCAAGAAGGGCAGAGGAAGAGGAAGTACAGGAGCAGGAAGGACATGAGCAGGAAAATAGTCCTAGCACAGCACTTGAGTTCAGACCGATAGCACTCCAGTTCCGAATGATAGCACTCCAGACCCGCCAACCCTAAACTGCCACGGCTAGTAGAGAGCAACCACCAGCGCCACTCAAACCAAGTATCTGGGCTGAATCTGAGCTGCATCGTAGCGGGTCGCTCGCTGCGTAAGTAGTAGATTCACATCGGACGGGAGGTGATCTCATGAGATAAGTTGGTAGTACAAGAATGTGAATTACAACGAAAGACTAGAGGAGAGACGAAATGCTGACTGTCGTATATTTTTTGGACTAGACACACACGCACACACGGAAAAAATGCGAGATCTTGTGGTTGTTACTCTCTCTACAACTTCTGGCAACTTCTTTGGCCTCCTGCATGCAAGGGCGAACTCTACATCTTCTTCGGTCGTTAATACGAGAAAAAGAGGATCTTTTTCTCTCCGAGGTAGATCATCGGGTTTCGTGACGAATGATCAACCGCAAGACGCCGGCCCTGATGCGGCAACGCCAACATCCCCGCACCATGCTCGTTTTAGAGGAGGCGCGGGCCCTCGACCGTCCGTCTACAACGCGAGAAGAGGACACGACCAGGAGGCTTCTACGTCCGTAGTAGAGGAAGTAGTCGAGAAGAATTCTAACTCTGGGACGAGGAACAAGTTGCGAGGTTCAAGATATGCTTCTTCACCACCGAAGGAAGATGCTGCCAGAGAGGAGGATAGCGAGCGCCAGAACGCGTTCATCCGCGTACACCAGAACGTCTATGAACCTCAACAAACGTTTCTCCAAGAAGAGGGACGAGATCAAGATGAGGTCGAAAACAACCTCGCCTTAAGGCTCACGCTAATCCGTCTTCTGATCCATCTGCTGAAGCCTGTCCCATAAGGGGAAAATAGGGCTGAAGCATCTTAGACCTGTTCCATAAGGGGAGATGGATCCCGCTGAGATGAATCCCGCGACACATTATTAGGGTGAGCTCTAATCGACGGGGGAGTGGACGCAACAACTCCCTCCAGCACCGTGCTGCAGAAAAGATTGGCAGAGACAACAGGTGCCTAGAGAATCTGAATTCTTCCCTATGAGAATTTGAATTTAGTTATGCTACGGTCTGAGTGACATACTGGTAAAGATGAGCATAATCAGTATCTTCAACCAAACCCTCGTCCAGGAATACGATTCACCCAGGATCATGGTCAAGACTCTCAGAATCAGTTAAGGCTCAGTACATAGTCCTGATAGTGGTCCTACCTGCTGTCTCCTTCTCCCTGCTGTCTCCTTCTTAGGACAACAATACAGGAGAATAAATACAGGGAACAAGAAGGAAATTGTTTTGAGCTCTAACGCAGGCCGCCCATCACTCTGACACCCCCTTTAACCCGCAGGCCGCAGATGGAGGTGATCAGGTAGTAGCTAGAGATGATGCGGCAGCGAGAGGTGCCACTATTATGTCTGAGTAGCACTCATAAAACTCACATATCAAGGCGCGAGACACTTCATAAATCTCACCTCCAAGAATGGGGGTCATTTCAAGGAAAATGCTGAATTGTCTATGTATATAGAGTATAAGTATTAATATTAACAACCGGTTAGGTTTCCCTCTACCCGTAGACTTATCCCTTCAAGCAATATTAATATGACTATTTGAGCTCTAATCCTTGCAACGGTGGAGAGGAGTCTGGGGGCCAAGAAGCTGGTAATGGCTTTTCGTTGCCGTTGCTTTTTTATGGTCAGCTTTCATTCATCTTTCTCGGTATCTTGGTACCCTGTTGCCTTGTATTCTCATGAAGTGCATCAAAGGGGCCAAGATGAGGGGACTGAGGTGCACCGTGGCGCACGCTAAGGGAAGGCGGTCGCAGGTGGTGGCGGCGTGCTGCTGTTACTATTGTGCGTTGCTTGTTTGGGGTCGAGAGCAGCATCACCTGAAACCGCGACAGCACTTAGGGCTTTTGGTTTTTCTGTCCTTAATGGCTCGCGCAAAGAGGATCGAGATCATGAGATCTCACGAAGCGCGCTGTAGACGGAAGTAGTAGCGTAGTGGTCTTTTCTACCCCTGGAGTGGGTACATTCATTCACCCACTACCGTTTGTCGTGGCTCTCACTCGTAACCGTGAGGGGAAGTACAAAGAGCATAACTACAAACAGGGACATTCTTCACATATAAGTAAAAACTTATACTTATAATATTGGAAACTTCCGTAACCGTATTGGTGTTTAATGAGTTGCGTCATCGAGATCGAGGTTCTCTTAAACCTAAGGGGGAGCGAAGAGCATAACAAACCAGGAACTCACTCACGGAAGGGGGAGACAGAGCATAACTAAGTACAAACCGGAACGAACCAAAAGCCCTAGTACCTCTAAGCAGCGACTTTCGCCAGAGGGCGTCCGGCTTCTTGGTTCAGCGCGAGCTACGCCGCAAGACGAGAAGAAGAAGAAGAAGAAGCTGAGCACAGAAAAAGATGAAGCAACGCCTGTTCAAGGCGAGAAGAAGAAGCTGAGCACAGAAAAAGACGCAACGCCTGTTCAAGGCGAGAAGAAGAAGGTGAGCACAGGAAAAGAAGCAAAGCCTGTTCAAGGCGAGAAGGAGAAAAGTAATTATGGTCTCTTGGAAATGGAAGTCGACCTATCTTGTTCTAAAAGCATATTTAGAGGAAAAGCCACCTATAGGCTTGACTTCTGTGTAAGATTTGCTTCAGACTTCACCAGAGAGGGCTAGACATGAAGGGTATGACCATGACCATGGCCATATCTACGACCTTTTTCAAGGGGGAAAAGGCTAGATATGCGAGCTGGGGAGGTCAACTTCCAACCGCTAAAAGAAGGGGGAGAAGAAAAAGTCTGCGGATGTGGAACCTGGCAGCTTTACTTTTTAAGTGACACTTGACCACAATGAGACATTTTGATTTTTTGTGATTAAGTACTGCAAGGAAGAAGCACAAGACACTTTTTTTGATAGTCTACAGATGCTGGTTTTAGAAATGTACTACTCGTCTCTTTTTAGTGATTAATAATAAGCGCGCTGGTAGTCGTAGTCGCTGTCGCACTACTTCAAAATACGAAGTAGAAGGTAACTGTTGAGAGAGTAATTTCCTATTCTAAAAGGTTGCGGTTGCGGATGACAAGGACAAAGACGAAAAAAAGGACAAGAAGGAGAAGGGGAAAAAAAGTGATGGGAAGTTCCCTACCTTTGGCGGGTTACCTGCCTTTGGCGGGTTACCTGCCTTTGGCGGGGTGCCTACCTTTGGAGCACAATTAAGGCTCAAAAAAAATATATTGCTCCTTAGTTATGTCCCTCCACAGCAAACCAAACTGTTAAAACATGGATTGAGTGTTCAAAACTTTGCTATCTAGAGACTCAGACTTTGAAAGAGTCCTAGGCATACCTCATTATCGAGAGTACTTCTATTTCATTCGTTGATTTTCTCGTTACGGCTCTAGCTACTGGAACTTATAGCATAAGGATATCGCTTCAGGGAAATGCGCCAAGTAAATAAGAAGTTATGATTATTTTGCGCGCCTCGATGTGAAGACTCCATAACCTAAAAACCTAACGTCCGCAACAACAGCTTTAGAACTTTGAGGATGCAGTGAGCTTTTCAATTGTGATGAATAAGGACATGAAAATCTTCGAGTAAGATGTTAAAAGTGTTATTCGCGCTCTACCTGTGTCTCTAATGTCAGCGCCGAGTCAGAAAATGTCGCCGGCCTCCAAATTATGAATCATTTTAGGCATAAGCATAAAGACCATCCGGCCAGTACTAAAGTCAACAGCTTAAAGACTCACGAGCATCATGACCAAGGAAACAACAGGGGCAAGAAGATCAACACGACAGCAGCACCAAGATCACCAGCATCATCATCACCATCACCATCAAGATCAAAGCCTAAAGGCCCTTAAGGTCTTTAGCGTGTGAAGCAAGTGACTACTTAGATGGTGGAAGTAGATGGTCGCGATCTCGTTAGCCTAGTCGGATGGAGGGCGTTAAGCCTGGGGGATCTTCAAGAAATTGCAACAACAGAAGCCAACTACTTTGTCTTCCCATTTTTATCCTGTGCTTGTGCATATTAGCACTATTCACAGGACAGGGGCGACATCGCGGAGGATGATGAAGCACATCATCAAGAACCGTAGCCATTTGGCTCCCTTAAGTTTTATCTAATTTTGCCGTTCACCTGGCCGAATCAGAAAAAGAAAATATCGAGTGAGGGCGAAAGGGGGACTTCTGACCAGCGACCTACTCTTAAGGATTGGAAGTTGGCCTCTCGCTCTCATCTATGAGCATAGACCTGTGAATTAGTTTTCAAGTAGAAAAGAAGGCACAGGAACAAGAAAGATTGATCGGGCAACTTTCAACCCCTAACGCTAGTACTAGTACAACTACCACCGGAGATCATGATGACAAGCGACAACCTCCACCTAGTGCTGGAGATGACAAGAGATTTACAGAACCTGTGCTGTTTTTCACGGAGGGCCGAGAAGAATCTCCAAGAGCCGAGGCACAAGCAAAAAGAAGAAGGAGAAGAAACGGTTCGGAAGAAAGAAGAAAGTCTGGGACAAGAAGTTAAGGGTCGTTTCGCCCGCATTGTATTCTGCACTTGCGTCCTTGACTTTTTGCAAGAAGTCGAAGAGACGTCAGGGATGTTCTGAAGAATGCAAAAATGTGGAAAGCCCTAAAGAAGAAGGTCTGGCAGTAGAAGAAAGTCGGGCAGCAGAAGAAAGTCGATGAGTCGTATTATCTCCCAGGAGCAGCTTACTAGTATTATGGGTGTAGGGAATTCATCTCCAAAGTCATCTGGAAGAAAATACCAAGAGGAAAAAGGGGCCCAGATGATCCCCGAGATCAATTTCCGACACCTCTAATAGTAGCAGAAATAGTAGCGCCCATGATAACTCAGACTCCTGCTTGTCCAACTCTAGAGGAAACTCCGTATCTGATACAACTACTCCGAAAGAAACCTTTAGGGGAGAAAAGGATGAAAGAAAAGGGAAAACTGATACTCGCTCCGCGACTAGTAGAGCCAACGAGTCGAAGTCCTCACCGAAATTGCAGAAGTCCGCAAAAGGACCACGTGACGATGCTAAGCCTCAAAAGACCGTCTCAAGAGGCTCAGGCTCTCCGTCTCAAGAGGCTCTTCGCTCTAATATTAAGGCTATCTTGATCGGGGGAACTTGGAGGGGGTCGCGGCTATCAACTATCAAGGAATTTTAACGCGACCCCCCTTCCATTACCCCCCAGAACAAGGAAGCTCTAATTATAAAGAGCTCTCGGAGAACATGAACAGCTTGCCACCATCCAATTACGCTTTACACTTGCCACTACTGCTCGAAGAACTCTGACATATTAAAGACACAAATAGTGATATAAGCCCTAACCGGTTAGTTTTACCTCTAGCGTATAGCCCTTCCAACAACATATAGTGATATAAGCAAGTAGTGTTATATTCTTTCAAGGTAGTTCTTTTTTAATAGGGATCATTTTGGCTCGTCTACCCCATTTCTTTAATTGTACTAATTCAAAAAAATTAGGTTCTACCCGCCCATTTCTCTACTTGTCTAAGCGAATAGAAAGGCACGAAGGCGACTCGCCAAGAGTCGAAAAGAGACACCGAGTTCTGCGACGCGAATGCGACAGCCAGGGCAAGGAGATAGCTCGATTTCGACTACTGGCAACCCTCCAGCGACCCTCTGCGACACTAGTGCGACGTGATTTTTGTCCTGTAGGGAAGTATACTTCTGGAGTGATGCTGGAGGTTACACTCAGTGGAGGCTCAGTGAATCATCGTAGTACATATGGACTACTATTGTCACATGGAGGAGATGGCCTTCGCGGAGGACGTAGTGAAAAGTGTACAGGCCAACGCCTAAACCACTAAGCCAACTGCTAATATCAATCAAACTACCGGGGCCTTCTATCTCTCTCATGTCTATCTTCTACGAGAAATAGTCTGTTGTATTTTTTTTAGCTCCTCCAAGGTCTTTTCTAGTTCGCTCAACATCATTTGATTGCTGATGCTATTCGCCTTCTACTGCGGTCACGAGCGGCTACATGAGAAGCGCACAAGATGTCCTTTAAATATAGCGGCTACATGAGATTGAGAAACGCACAAAGTTTGCTCCTCTGTTGATCAGCCGTCCTTTAAATAAGGCTCAAAGTAATTCATTTTCAAGGGTGATTTTCTTCTGTTTCCTTCTTGGGAATTTGAAGAAGTGAACTGAAGAAATGAATGGTTTTGAGCTCTAATTTAAATATTGACTCTTACTTCTTGCTGACGTGTCTTCGGTCCCACTTGATGCATCGGTCCCACGTGTCTGTCTCTATCGCATCGGATATCAATGGCTCAGACGCTCAATTTGCGAACTCAAAGGGTAAGATCGTCAGCTGTGTCACATTGAAGAAAACTGCGTCTACTATGTAAGAATAGTCGTGTACTATAGCAGTAGTAGTAGGGGTAGTAGTAGCAGTAGTAGTAGTAGCAGCAGGAGTAGTAGCGGCAGTAGTAGCCTCAGCGTCCTCCAGATTCTCGGGCGCGAAGGGAGCAGGCACCTTACTAAAAAATACACGAAACAGCCCGACCTTACGAGTTGTGCGCCCCTCGCCTAGTAGAGTAGCCGTAGTGGCAGTAGTAGTAGTAGCAGTAGCGTGCTGCTAGTATGTAAGTAGTGAACTGTAGCACAGCTGTAGGAGTACTATGTGCTGTATGGATTGCCTTTATCGGTGTAAAAGTGTGTATGGACGGTGCCCTTTCTCGGTCAGTCGCATGTCAAAAGTCGGTATCCTTCCTTGCTCCTGATTGAAGTCGGCTCCTTTGTCCTGGATCGATCCCATTTGCGTCACACCCTTTTACACTCTTACACACCGTTATTTGCACCCTTAAATACGCTCTTGGTTTTCCCTCGTAATTCTCTCCTCATGATCTTCTGGTATCGCTGTTCATTTTCACTTAGAGTAGAGAATGTGGCTGTTCTGGTATACGCGTGAGAAGAAAAAGAAGGAGATGAGGAGAGTAATCCAAGTCAACACGAGTCTCGATTAAATTTTCAAGTAGGGTTTTGGTGAGTAGTTGAATGGGAAGCAGCATGTAGTCCTATGGAAAAAAAAATACTTTGGTATACACGACTTAGAGTAGGAACAAAAATACAAGAAAAGTTAGTAAGTGTTCTAGTATGACTGATGTCCTAGTAGCGAACCTAAGAATGAAGATTATCTTATGTGCTCGCTGTTGTCAGTGATGGCACTTAAAAAAGAATAGAATGACCGGTCTTACTCCTTTCATCCACTCTATGGTAACCGTTGTTGTGCTTACGGAGTTGTTGTACTTACGGCGCTGCTCCTGTAGAAGTCAGAAGCACGAATCCAGAGGAGGCGCCAGAAGTAGTTTGAAGTCTAGTTGTTGAACCCTAGTTGTTTGATCGTGGCGATTGAACTCTGTACTTACTTGTTTCTTCTGAAGGACATTTTGACTCATTGTAGTGACCGGTTAGCTTGTTCTGAGTTCAGAGCGACCACACATCTAGACTCACATCTTCGTCGATTGTTTCGTTCAACATCATCTAGACTGCTCTTTTTATCCTCCAACATCACATCTTCATGTCCACCTCTCGATAGGCGTTGTCCATCTGCCCAATTGAGCGGTTAGGACCACACCACGAGACCTACGCGCGCAAACGCCAAGTACCACAGCACCACGAGACCTGATGCGCAAACGCCAAGTACCACCTTCGGGTGGTACATAGTCTAAGCTGCTGGACGAGCAGGATAGCTGTCAGTGTCCACTCTCAACAGTGAGAACTGAGCTTTCCTTTCTTCAACTGCCGCATCGTCAACCCGCATCGCCACGACTACCAGAATCGCCACGACTAGGAGAGGACGCGGTGTCCATCAGCTAGGTTTGACACTAAGCGGCAGCGCCGCGACTACCATCATCTTCTCGGTCGTCTGCGAGGACACGACTTCGATCCATCATCTTCTAGGTCGTTTTCGTTTTGAAGGAGTTTCGAAATATGATCATGATAACCTACCTGCACACACCTGAAGTGAAGGGACCCTCACGGTTCCGCGAGCTGTGGTGGCGCAAGGTTCGACGTCGGAAGAACAGTGCTATGCGACAAGTGGTTCGTTGGAAGAATGCTGCGATTCGACGAGTGATCCTTTATGGGCAGTCACTAACACTATCACTCGTGTGGTGATCAACACTATCGTGGTTGTGACTTAGAATCAGGCTCCTAAATTTTTGTTCCTCCTCTTACTTGGTAGTAGAAGAAAAAGTTGAGTTGTAGCGGCCAGGAGAAGATCCCTAGGGAAGCAGAGGCCATTGTAGTTGGATCTCTCATCAACCAAGGTTCATGCCTGCAACCATTTTCTTTTTGCAACCACGGATGGATAGTGAAGTCGACTGAGGAGCACTATCTTTTAATTATTGTACCAATTGTGCTTGTCGTGCTGCACCACGACTCTCTTTCCTTGGCTACAACTCTTCGTGCATGCAAAAGCGACAGGAGCGCAGGCGAAAGCGACAGTGGAGAAAGCGACAGTGGAGGAAACCCCGTTAAGGCTAAAGGTACACATGGTTACGCATGCAGTAGGAGGAGTGAACTTTTGACAATTCAGTCCTTTTCACGACCCTGCTCTATTCAAAGAATCGACATATTATAGACTTCTTGGATCGCTTTATCATAGTTCTAGACAGAAGATGTGGTGAGTTTGTTTCCCTATTGTATATAAAGAGAGCTCTTCAAAAAGAAGGTACTACAGAATAAGTAGTTGAAACGCCTCGATACGTTATATAGGACGACCTCAACCAGCTCTAATATGAAGAAGCAAGCCAGAAGGCGCGGATCATCCAGATCGTCCGACAATCCCGACATCTTTTCGACGGCAGTCCTTTCTTAGGGTTACGGCTCAGCTTTCATTGGTCACTGAGGTTGGTCACTGAGATCGAAGGGGCGACCCCTTGAGAGAACAACAGGGGAAAACAGCGGGAGAATAAGTAGAGGGGTAAAGGGCCCTTTTCTTTCAGCATCAGTGACCAATGAACGTCGACGTTTAATAGGGGGACCATTACCCACGGCTTTTTTTGCTAGCTGCTACTTCCTTTCAGGAACTGTACATAATGTTGCTCCTCTTTATTTACTCATTAGTTGAAGAGGATTTTGATGCCTCTCTCCTTTGAAGAAGAATATGTCTTTTGTTGCATTTGTAGTTGCTACCTCCTTTGAAGAGCATTATAGTTGCAGACTATCTAATAAGTGTAGCATTTATTATTTCAGTTGAAGATTCTTAAAAAAGAAAACATAAGCACTTGAAGACAAGCTGGTTGCTCATCTGCATCGAGCAGTCACCTTGTGTGGCGGCAAAACGTAGATGCCCTATTCTATCCTGTTTTCGCCTATCCTATCCTGTTTTCGCCTATCCTATCCTGTTTTCTCCAATCCTATCCTGTTTTCTCCAATCCTATCCTATCCTATCCTATCCTATGATTGCGCAATTCTTGGTCATTCTGTTCGATACTGTTCCGGTCTTTTTGGATGGATAGCTTGACTCCGACGAAGGTAGGAGAGCGCATCTAAAGCGCGTCTGTGGCTTGAATCGCTCTAAAATTCGGCGGAGCAATACGACGGTCCATTAAGGCTTGTTTCTCTTTATCTCGTTGGTCCCTCTCTATTTCTAATTAGTTTTTTTGAGTTTTCTATAAACTAGTTCTCTAAACTTATGCCTTTCGTCTGACCTGCACCGTAAGAGAGGGAGAGTGAGATCCGTAAGAGTGGGGTCCACCTTAGCTGCTCCAACTTGAACTTCAAGCACACAACTTGACAGGGTAGTCGTGGTTTATAAGCTCTGAAAACACATACTTTATCTCGTTGGTCCTTCTCTATCGTTCTTCCCTCTCTACACTATGCTTGCGTACGTCGAAGTGTAGAGAAGGACCGCAAAGGCATACGGGGATTATTTTCCTTAGGATTTCTGTAATTTTCAGTTTTCCTTCTTATTTTCTTCAGGACTACTTTGTTGTATGCCCCTCCCGGTACACCTAGAAGTGTTTTACGCGATTTTCAAACTTAAACAACAACAATAACAACAGCTATCTGCTTCTTTTTCTTCTGCTTCTTCAGGAACTGTGGTGCCTAACGACCTAACCTCGTAAAGTATAATCGCGAAGCGAGTATCAGTTTTCCTTTTTCTTCTTCGTCTTTTCTCCTCTCTTTCTCTCTGGAAACCGTACAAAGCCACACTATTCGGCGATCATCATCATCATGCTGAACAGGAGGCACATTAGAATCTCTAAGAAGACTGCCCAAAGGCTCATAGGTTGCCAGGGTGTTGCACACGAATGCATAAGAAGATGACTTTGCCACTTCGATCTTTTTTTCTCTTTCATCCTAAATCTTAATTTTCTCTTCCCCAGTATATTTATATATATTATCAGAATCTCTAAGTCTAAGAACAGGAAGAGGCCAACCGATGTCGTTCGAGGCGCCGCTTCTTACGTGGCGCTGCGCAGAGGGAGGGAGACGTCGTTTGTCCAGTCTTAAGGATTGCAAATAAAGTCTATATATTCTACTTTTCGTTTTCTTCTAGTCAAGTGCTTCATTACAATCTATAAGGATCTATCCAGGTGGGTGAAGAGTATATTCATCGCAGTAATAAAAGATTATACCACCTAGTATTAAGGTGGATTCCTATCTTCAGGTAAAAGTCTGCCTATCTGTATGATTGGCCCCTCTCAATAGTTATATGAGTTGATTCTTTCATTCGTTTCTGTTTCCATTTAGCTCGGCTTTACTGGAATGTAGAACGCCTTTTGAAGGGGGAAGAAGAACACAGGATAGTCGTGAAAGTCTACATGCTTTTTATAGTATAACTAAGACCAATAAATAATGGGTCAAAACTACCCTCTAATTGCAGTAAATGAGACAAAAACACCAGTTGCACCAGAAGAAGAAGGAGGCATGACATCGCTGCTCGAGACGACAGTGGAGAACAACAAGGAGGTAGTGCCATTTCTCGACGAACAAGGTATGGATGATGTTGTTTCTCCTTTCAGACCATGATCGAGGCCAGTGCCCCTTGTCCCCTGTTGAAATAAGACTGTATTTCTATTTACAGTGAGTTGTTTATGATCTTGAATTACTAGTGACCTGTGCTGCGGAGGTACGAGATTCAACTGCAGAAGCTCCTGAAAATACTTTTTATTAGTCTACTCACACATCGACATCTGGGGAACAACTCTTACATACTACTAGTTGTTTGAAAGGGGGCCTGCCTCGATGGTCTGCGTCTAGAGGGGAGAAAAAACAACATCCATAGAAGGGGGCGACCTCTTTCCTGGCCAAGAAGACTCCTCTTTTCTGGAGAAGAAGGCCACAACAGAGCAGAGCAGGATGGAAATTGGAGCTGATACTCGACCGAAGCTCGCGACAGCGCGTGCAAGGGAAAAAGTTTTTGGTAAACGTGATGATGATGACAAGAAAAACGCAGCTAGTCCAGTAGATCATCCCGGAAGCTATGATGGGCCGGAAGCTAGAGGTACTAGACGTCACAGTCGTATTACGCCTTCGGAAGCGCCGGCCCTAGATGGTACTGCCAAGAAAGCGGCAGCGCGCCATAGCATTCAAAGAGGATCCGGGAGTGGCGAGGATTCAGATGAGAACTACGACATGGAAAAGTTCGAAACTCTATCGCCAGAAGACACCGCTCCAGCTTCAGATTCGGAACAAGATAGTTAAGCAGGCTTAAAGCAATTCACTACTAGGCATTGACTTGTCCCTGTTAGTGTCCTTCGTAGGGTTCGGATAAACATGCAAGCTCTTCCCGAAAGCATGGAGCTACAAAAAAAAAGGGCTCTTCCCTTTCGGATGAGCATGGCACTACAAAAAAAAGCGCACTTTTTTAGTTTTCTATTTGCTATCTCGTCTCTTTGTCTTCTCGAGAGAGCAACACAGGGAAACCGAAATGAACTGTTTTGAGCTCTAAGCCTCAGGAGAAACAAACAGTCAGCCAAAAGCGTCTGGCGCTTCTTCTGGTTCTGCTCAGGCTCCAGCGGGGAGTGTCGTAGTAGCTGCAACATCAGCTTCAGCACAAGCAAAGCCAGCTCAGAAACCAGCACCAGCTGAGGCACCACCAGCAGAAAAGCCAGCAGATGTAGAAGAATCATCGGCGTATGCCATGGAGTTCGAGGACAACGAAGGCGCAAAAAAAGAGCCGGGCGATGCAATTGGCAAAGAAGTTGTAGGTCTAGGTGTCGCAGATGGAGGTGGCGAACGACCGGCGGCAACTGCTCCTGGTCGTTTTCGCGATGGAGACAACAGCGCTCGGGATGACGATATGAGACCACACAAGGCAGCAAGTGTGGGAGACGAGGCAGCATTAAAGAAGGCAGATGAGAAAGGGCCTTTAACTGATGCAAAGACAGATGAAGCAGAAAAGCAAGCAGATGCGGAAGCAGGAAAGCAGACGGTGGCGTCAGCGGAAGCGGAAGCGGAAGAGAAGCGGGTAGCCGATGAAAAAGCAGCAAGTCGGGCAGCTGCAGCACAGAAGGCAACAAACGACGTAGCTGAGCCAGGACAAGCAGTATCATCAAGTAAGGATGATCGGGGAGCGGAGTCACCAAATGGCCATGCGAAGCAAGCAGAAAAGGATCCGCCGAAGACAGCAGACCTTGCAGCAGCAGGGCCACAAGATACGGCAGAAAGACAAGCAGCTAAGTCAGCAGAAGCAGCAAATGAGGATGGTCAGGGAAAGCAGTCAGATGAAGATCAGCATCGTGGGACACTGCAGTCACAGCCGGCAAATGAGGATGCGAAGCTAGTAGACCAGCGTCCTGAGGCAGCGCAGCCAGCAGATGACCACGAAAAAATGCTGGAAGAGCAGCAGGCAAGTGACCATGATACAGGACCGGCACAGCAGGCAGGTGACCAGGATGATGCAGCAACATCACTACAACAGCCAGAAGCAAGTAATGATGCTAGTACAACAAGAACATCTTCACTGAAAGAGCCGATTGCAGGCGTAGCCAACGGGGAGCCCTTGGCGCTTGGGTTGGTAGTTGGAGGTGGAGTCGGCGTGCTCTTGCTACTGTGTGGCTGCTGTTGTCTATGCTGCTTCTGCTCCAGAGGCACAGCGACCAATGTGACGACCGTCGCACCACCGCCCAAGGCGGAAGCATCGCCTGCAGAGGGCGCGACGAATAGTACAGTCGGTGCTGCACAACCGTCTACGGCCGCGGCAGGTGGTGTCCCGCTTCCGCCAGGTGGCCTCCCGCTACAGCCGCCACCTGGCCTCCCGCTACAGCCGCCACCTGGCCTCCCGCTACAGCCGCCAGATAGCTTCCCGCTACAGCCGCCAGATAGCTTCCCGCTACAGCCGCCAGGTGGCCTCCCGCTACAGCCGCCAGGTGGCCTCCCGCTACAGCCGCCAGGTGGCCTCCCGCTACAGCCGCCAGGTGGCCTCCCGCTACAGCCGCCAGGTGGCCTCCCGCTACAGCCGCCAGGTGGCCTCCCGCTACAGCCGCCAGGTGGCCTTCTGCTTTCGCCAAGTGGCCTCCCGCTACAGCCCAGTCCCTTTCTCACGCTTCCGACCAGCCCCGAATCTCCGCTTCCGGACAGCACCGGTAGGAAGAAGAAGACGAAAAAGACCGGCACCGGAGAGGAACAGCAGAAGAGCCCGAGGGCTAAGGCTAAGTCCGGCACCGGAGAGGAACAGCAGAAGAGGCCTAAGGCTAAGGCCAAGTCCGGCACCGGAGAGGAACAGCAGAAGAGCCCGAAGGCTAAGGCTAAGTCCGGCACCGGAGAGGAACAGCAGAAGAGGCCTAAGGCTAAGGCTAAGTCCGGCACCGGAGAGGAACAGCAGAAGAAGCCTAAGGCTAAAGCTAAGTCCGGCACCGGAGAGGAACAGCAGAAGAAGCCTGAGGCTAAGACTAAGTCCAGCACCGGAGGGGAACAGCAGAAGGGCCCTAAGGCTAAGGCTAAGTCCGGCACCGGAGAAGCAAAGCGTAAGACGTGGCTCCAGAAGAGCTACCAGTAGAAGAAACATCACGACCACGAGGGAGAAACTGCGGATGTAATAGACTGCAACATAGATCGGAACAAAACAAGGAGATTTATGGATTCGTCCACCAAGACCAACTCCCATAGCTAAAACCACCTAAAAGCACGAAAACGAACTGTCATCTTATCTTACTTACAATTACTTATACTAAATTAGCCTTCCTGTTTACGAAAATCAAAATGTCCAGTGAGAGTTCTGCTTGAAACAAGCACATGTCGAGGTTTACAATCATCTTTAGAACACGCTACAAAAAACGGGAGGGAAAAGCCTAAGGTCCAGTCAATCTAGTTTTTAGGTCTACTAGTTTAGATAGCCTAACGTGGCCCATGGAGATAATAACCTAACGTCCATTTTGTATAGGTCGCATAACATGAGTTTTTACAACATCCATAATGATTATAGGCTAGTACCTATAAATAAATACCCCACAAATGGGCACACTGCTAGGACTACTTCTACTAGTACTACTACTACTAATCTCTCCACGAAAGGAGCAAAGTAAGGTGGGGAGGTCGTTATGACCGTTACGGAGAATGAAGTTTAGGCGTTGGGGGACATTTCAGTTTAGGGAGACAGGCTAAAGACAGAGTTTTCTAGGTGTAACTACAGAATTCTCTAGGTGTAACTACAGAATTCTCTAGGGGTAACAAACTACAGAGTTTTCTAGGGAAGAAAGCTGGTGTTTCCACTCACTCTAGAGATTCGTCGTGGTTTATGTCGCGAATTCCAACCTTTTCTCAACTACATGAATTTTGTCATAAATCAACAACAACATAACTAAATTTCCGGCCCTGACAACTACGTGATTATCTAAATTTCAAGCCTTGACACTACCTATGCTATTTGTCGAGAAAGTAAGTAAGAGTGACTAGAGGCATCTACCTAGAACTACCTAGAACTACCGTCTGGACCATGCGCTCCAGTGAACGAGTGTGTTTGTTACACGTGCAAAGAATTCCACCAGGGCTTTGAAACAAGATTACACGTGCAAATAATTACAATGAGATTTTTGTGTTTGAAACAAGATTACACGTGCAAAAAATTACAATGAGATTTTTGTGTTTGAAACGAGATTTTTACACGTGCAAAGAATTACAATGAGATTTTTGTGTTTGAAACAAGATTTTTACACGTGCAAAGAATTACACCAGTAAGGCCATTTGGCTTTGAAAGAAGATTAGACGTGCAAATAAAGGTAGTGTTTGTCTTCACTTCATCTGTGCGTCCGAAATGTAATGACATTGATTTTCGTTGATTATTTACTATATTTTTAGTATCTAAATTTGACATAAAGGTTACTGCCGTTAGCCGAGACTTCGATGCATTCGCGATATTAGGAGTACACCCCCCGAATGGGTACACTACTACTACTACTACTATGCGCTCGCGTTGTATGCATTATGATGTATAATGCATCAGGCAGGAAGGACCGACTCTTTGATGTAGTATTCCTGCAGGAGAAAAATTACATACGACACCCTTGAACCAGAAGCAGCCAGATGATGTTTCCTCAAGAACTAAGAGGAAAGAACTTGTACATGGGATCCATGACTTGTGGTATTCGAGATGCAATGGAAAGGGAGTAATACAAGAGGAGAAATCTTACTTTGACTTTCATGTCTCTACGGTCCGTCGTCGGTCATAGGAGAGACTTCAATCGGATCATACAAGGTCGCCAAAGACTTTATTAACGAATGCTCGTCGGTATTCTTGCTTCGGATTGGAAAAGCGCGATCTGGAGTTTTGAGAGAGGTAAATCTACTTTTATCTAGTGAGTGGAGAGATTTAAAATGTGTATATCTATTGTCTAGTTTTCGGTGGTCGGACTTTTTCTCGTTGTCAACGTGACACTTGTCGAAAAAATGATGCCGGTAGTCGCAATTCATCTCTCTGGCATTCTCTATAGATAAGAAAATAGGTGCCTACTTACGCAATCATGCTCCCCAATCCCGTGAGGAGAACCCTGAATCATGAGTCATTAGTTACAGTCCTCGATCTAGAGACTGATACTCTAATATACCTTCACACTCTAGTATACCTTCAATTTTGGACGAGTCAATGAAAATTAGGTCGTTTTATCTATGTACAACCCCCATGATGGCCTACTTCTACAGATGTTAGAAGAGGAACAAAGCTAAAACTATGAGATGAGGTTCTTGCAAGTAGCTCCGTCCTTAGTTCGTATGCAAAAGGATCTAAGAAATGATGGATATTATTACCATCATGTGAGATATTAGAGATAGCATGCATGTAAGAAATAGCCTCAAAGGTGTTAGCATAACACATACAAGAGGATCCATGACATGTAAGATGTATAAGTAGAGAAAAATGGAGTTTCTGTCTAGTTTGTTCAGTCGTGATCCCGGTGGGCCGCATGCGGTTCGACGGATCGCGGAGGAGGAGGACTCAATTGAGGAAGAACTAGACGCAGAATTTCAGTTCGAAAGGGGCACCACGATGGGTACCGTCAGTGCTGCAGTCGAGGATTATACCAACAATTATGGAGATCGATGAATGAAGGGCGTGTAGACCCTTGAAGTTGTGTAGACCCTTGAAGCTGTGTAGACCCTTGAAGTTGTGTAGGCCCTTGAAGTCGTGTAGACCCTTGAAGTTGTGTAGGCCCTTGAAGTTGTGTAGACCGTTGAGCAGGTGTATTTTTGCAGTCCATCTTCACCGCGTAAACTGAAATAGTTCACGACTACCTAGGTCTCTATACCAATATGCTGTTCCGATTTAAGTAGCTGCGCTAAGACCAACAAGGTAGAAGTCCCCCTCCTTCTGCTACTCGTAAAAGAGGTCGTGGGCGTGGATGGACAAGCGCGGAGCAGCAGGCATCTGAGCAGCGCGCAAGGGACTTACAGGCTGAAGATCGACAACAGTTTCGCGAATACAGTCGTTACCTAGAAGTACAGAGATCCCCATTTGACGGAGCACATCATGATACTTAAGAAAGGTCTCAAGAAGAGGAAGACAATTCACTGAAGGACGATTTAGTGTACCATTAATGATTGATTGCACAACGAACAAGTTGTTGTATACAACATAAGTAGTTACATTCAGACTTTGTCTCTACGGGTGTTAGGAACGACAGTAACAGGGGCATACACATCATATGTCTGGCAACACAGAAGTAGAAGAGGAACCTTGTAGTATCTTCATCATTGGTAGTATCCACTCGGTTTCCACCGAATCCTATCCTATCCTATACCGAAGTAGTTTTTAGATTTCGGTTTGTGTTGATCGAACGCAGCAAGCTCCTCTAATTTAAGGGCACTTTTGATTTCGACCCAGCTTTGATCCAGCAATTTGCGAAGGAATGCGAGTCTCATGTTGCGACTCAGAAGAGGCGCCAGACCTCGCCACTGGATGCTCTGTTTCCCAAAATCCAGAGCTACTTCGCACTTCAGGAAGAGGCAAGTGGGTGGGAAACTAAGGGTCTGGACTTCCAAGGCCGTCCTCTCGTAGTCGATCGCAGGGCTCGACTCCGGCAAATGCTCAGCCCTAAGCCCCAAGGTGTTGACCAGTCAAAAAACGAACAAAGTCAAAAGCCGTTGTACAACTTGTACGACACCAAAGACGGTAGTGACTTCCACGTCGCGCCGGCGACTGAGCGACTGCACATCTTGGAGCAGAAGTTAGCAGGTCATGAAGCAGTCACAGCAGCACAGGAATTAGCTGGTCGAGATTTGCCAGCATTGCTCTCTCAATTGGAACGATGGGAGCGAGACCGCGTCTCGAAATTTGGCGCAGTCAGAGATGTGTCGATGACTCCTTACAAGAGATGTGTCGATGGCGCTTCTCAAGCAGGAGGTCCTTCTACTTCTTCGACGCATGAATTAAGGCAACTCAGACTGCATCCCTAGCCGCGTCATCCTTGGTCCACTTTTCAAGTAGAAAAAGGGGCCAGGGATGGTCTCAGGGATGCCACGCGGTAGCTCTAAGGCAAGAGGGGCCGCCAGAAGTCGCTGGCCCGCTTGTCCAAAATGTGGATACCGTGGGCCCCATTCCGATAGGGGGAGTGTCGCAGCTTCCGTTTCCGCTACGTGGCGTCCCAGGCGTGATCACGCCAAGAGTCAAGCCGCTCGATGAGGAAGATCAGGCTGTTAAGGTTTCGAGCTAATCCGCCTTCTGAAGCATCCTATTGTTTCCATCTATTGAAGCATCCTATTATTTCCATCTATTGAAGTATCCTATTGAAGCAGAATGCTTCTCAAGATGGATCAGTGAGAGCGCTAATGTTGCAGATGATATGTTGGCTTCTCGGGACCGCGGCCGTGGCGTACCAGGAAGGTCAGCAGAAGTATCAGGCAAAAAGCAGAAGCGTTTTCGACCCATCAAAAGTACAGAGGGCGAAGGATTTTCTGCCAGAATGTCGCAGGATCGCACACTGTTGGCGCACGATGTCGCTCTCCTCAAGTATTTGCGACAGCGCAAAAGGAAAGAGCTGCTTTATGGAGGATAGCCATGTTCGTTGTAGAGAATTATTTTCAGAATGAATGTTTCTTTTAGAAACAGGAAGATACGCGAGTAACTTACCACGCACAGTATTAATTTATCACTGTAGGTACTAGAAGTAAATCCTGGACGCAGCACTCTCGCTGTTGTCAACATATTACTGATATTATCTACTTTATCGAGAAGCGTAAAAATATTAAAGCAACGAGGAGCTGCTTTTCTTTCATTTCCAACGCGGCAAAGACCGGCACCTGACTAGTCGCTCGAAACCTCCAGATGCGCAGACCCTGTTGCAGAAGGATGGTTTGGATATGTCGTTAGCCACCATGAGCACTGCAGCGGAGCGCATGCATTCGCGCTTTCGAGAAACGACAGGGCAAATGACGCGTGCCAGCGAACGGAGGATGCTAGAATTAAGGCCTCCTGCAGTAGCAGTGTAATTCAAATTGTTCATCTCACTTTGTTACAAGCATCTTCTTTGTCCTCCTTGTTTTCTCTAAGGGAGAGAAAATACTACGGCAAAGACGGCAGTAGTTTTCGAGATGAGACGAGAGTATAAGCAGGCAGCTCTAAGAGAAGCGGCGTGGCGGGAGGGCAAGGTAACGCGTGCTATGCTTGCTGAGTTTGACGCACAACAGGCGCTGCTCCAGGAGCAGTCTCGTTTGCGCAGTGAGCTTGAGCAGGAACGACAGCAGGAGCAGGAAAGATTGTTCTTTACGGCTTACAAAATAATTCATTCATCTAAGAACTTTGGAGGTAAATTATAAATGATTCATTCTAAGAACACCCGACTAGGACTAAGACTTTCTGCGTCGTCCTTAGTTGTTAGCGGTTCCAAGAGCATTTACTATCTAGAAAATCTGGTCCGTCGGATTTGTCTCGGAGTCATCTAAGGATATGAGTTGTATAATAGAACAAGAATGTGAATGAGCAGTCATCCTGTTCGTGAGCTTCTCAACGACTTCTAAGTTCTGGCTACGTCGGCAGAACTATCGGGAGAAAATTCGACATTACTACAGACTTGCAACGACTGCTGGGACTGAAGAGAGGGTTGCGGCAAACAGTGCGACCGGAGGCGTTACGTATCTCGAGTCTCTGGTGATGGAATTGCGGAGCATGATGATGAGCAACTCTTTGCAGGCGGCTGCAGAAGATGAGGGCGAACAAGGAGACGAGGCGAAAGCGGTGCAAAATATCCTAGACAAAATCTATCCTAAAACTTTCGTGTCCGATGAACAGATCGATGAGGAGCTAAGACGTGCAGTGGCAGAATACGTAGAGGAGAAACGGGCAGAGGATTTTCGGCAGGATGAAGAGTCTATTTTTCAGAAATACGGCCTTCAGTCGAGTTCCGTGGGGAGTGTGCTCGGAGGCTTGTTTGCGTCGAACGCAGACCACGAAGATGCTACGGGCGGAAATGCTACAGCTCAATTGAGTCTTGAACATACTTCTAGTAAGGATCATCGTAGTCGTAGCCGTAGTCCTGCTCACGAGAACAGGACGGAAACGCTCCAAAGCTTCATCGAGAGAGGCGAAGCAGCTAATGCAGCAAGTAGCAGGAAGTTGCCAGGTACCAGAGAGAATTACTTTGACGTAGTGAATCAGGTGAGCCGCGATAAGGCTCGGAGCGCGTCTTCATCAGACCTGCTAGCGTACGAAAACTGGGCTGCACTGGTGGCGCAACAGCAGGAAGCGCTTGCGTCGTATGTCGGGGATGAGATGGTCCACGACTACATTCAGCGGAATATTCTCCCTCACTCTGAGTTCCCGACAGACTACCGACCGTCTGAAGCGGGTCGCCAGGATCTGTATACTACGGCGAAAGGCAGTGCGGATTATGGGGAAATACTTCTGACGAATAAGGTCGGTAAAACGAGTACTACGCAGGAGCAGTCACCAGGATCAGGATCAGCACTTCTAGAACAGAAGCTTACGCTAGCGGCAGTGATGGACCAGAAAGAGGAGCTAGAAAAGGAGGGCTTTGACCATGACGCGGCAAAAAAGCTGCTGCTGTGGCAACAACAGCTAGGGTTTCTAGTACCAGGAAAGTCTACGGTTGAGGAGATGAGGAGTCCACTTCACCATATTCCTGGTAGAGGAAGTTCGCCTGCGCTTGATCTTCAACAACTCGAAAATCTCTGCAAAGCAGGAGACAACTATAATGGGCAGAAGCCAGAAGAGTTATCTTCACCTAGTGGTGCAGTAGACAATTTACAACAAGGTCGTGGAAATATTATAGCACTGCTAGGACGAGATGGGAACATCAGCAAGGCAGGAGCTGTGAGTGATGCAGCTGTTGTTGACCCCGGCGCTGCTGCTCTAACAACAGAAGCAATCGTGCGCGACAAAGACAACGCTCCCTATCTGTATTCACTTTTAGGCTCACTCGTTGAACCGACAGTGCCAGTACCTAGCAGATCCTCTTCGTCGACGAACCCAGTACAAGCAGCAGTTCGCGGTGCGGAGTACTTGACCTGCTTGCGGTACCGTAAACCCTTTTCGGAGAAGGAACTGAACGCGTTACGAGATGGCAAAGCTTCAGCGCGGGAGAAAATAGGTGCCGTTTTTGGCTTTGTCCTGGATTGGACGCAGTTTCCGACAGTGCGCGTCAAAGAGCTTCATAAAGCCACAGTCTGGAATGCGAAGGCACGTGCGGCATTGTCTGTAGGCGATAGATTATTGCGAGTGTGCGACGAGCGCATTGTTAAGGCTGTGAGAAGAAATCCATCTTCCCCAATACATAGATACATAGCATTTCTCATTTGTGTGCTGTTTCGGTTCTTAGGGTGGGAAACGGAGGAAGCACCGGCAAGATGAGGAGGAAGATCCTTTGTTTGTTTCTAAGGGAACGGACCTATTTCTACAAAGGGATTTCTGGAGTTACTATATGGTTCTTCTATTCTAACATCGATGACGTCCGCTCGTGGAAAACCAAGGTGTTTACTAACGAGAAAGAGAAGGAGGCAGACACAGTAGCGCGCGACGCGGAGAGGGAAAGGCGCAAAGCGGAAAAGCGGATACTGGCGGCGCAAGCGGGTGGACCGCAACACCTAGTGGGTGGAACAGCTGAGGAGGAAGAGGTCGTAGACATGGATGGTTGGGTTCCCCCTTCGAGTGTGCCGCGTGATGCCAACGATGCTTTACTCCAGCGGATTTTGTGGCGACTTGAGGTGCGCCAGAACGCTGCGGCAGAGGTTGAGGAGACCGAAATACAGGAGGATCTCTTCGACGTTGCGAGCTTTGACTTTCTCAAATCAGGGAATGAGGCAGAATTCATCCAACTCGCAGTGCCAGTTGCTATGCCATTTGGCTTTTCTGTGACGGCACAACCGGGTCCGAATCCGCATTCGCAGTCTTCCGAAATCGTGAGTATTAGGAGTTTGACGACTACGAATCCTCTAGGACGAGGACGAGGAGCGCAAACAACTAGTACTTCTACTCTTGCCGAGCACGCTGGCTTACAGGGAGGCGACGAGATTCTCTTCCTGGGGAGTGAAGCTTTGCCCTGTACCGGTTACCTGACGCAGTTGACGGACAACCAGTTTGGGGAGGTGAGCGGCACACGTCGAGCTGCCGGTCGGGAACTTCACTTGCTGCTACGTCGTGCTGGAGGCGCAACAACTACTGGAGGAGGTTTTTCTGCGGACATTCGACACCGCACAGAAAATCTGGATTACCGTGGTTGGGCGCACGTCCTACGATTGCCCGAAAAGTGGGTGCAGACGTGGACTTCGCAGGATCGCAAGGTCTATGAACAGCGAATTTTGGATGCCCTTCCGTCTGCAGAGGGAGGCACGGTGGCATCAGATACCAAAAAAGGAGCAGGAGATGCGAAGACCAAGATAGATACGACCAAGGGGGGTGAGGGGAAGAGAACCTCAACAGGATCTGCGGATGGTGCAGCTACCAAACAGACCACTTCAAGTGCCCCAGCTCCGTACCTCCTACAGTACCTTGGCTCTTTGAAGGAAAAAGCGGAGCTTGCCAGTGCAGGGGTCACCGGATGGTCTCAGGGCACGGTGAAGAACTCGGTGCTTGAGGACAAAACCACAAGTGGCGAAGAGAAACTCCTTGAGTTGTTTGGTCTAACTCTTGACTGGACCAATTTCCCAATAGTACGCGTTGCAAAAGTCGTCGAAACTGTTCCGCGAACTGATGGAAAGCCTGGTGAAGGTATTTTTTGAGTAAGTACTTACTATTTTCTGGCAATATAAGTTTTTTTGGTAGATGAGTATACTGAGTTTTCAAGGGATTCCAATTTTTTAATCTACCCCAACATATTGACTTTTAATCTACCCCAACATAATAAATATTTTGATTTTTCTCCAGAGGGATCGAGGAGCGCAAAGCACAAGGTGAGTGTCGGGGATCGCTTGATTTTTGCTGTTTCTAGCAGAGACCGCGTTTCCAGCATTTTGAAGTGGTCTGGTGAAGATCCGAACGACGCAATTATCCAACGCATTGCGGAACGTGTGGAGAAAAAGGAGAAGAACGTGGCTTCCTTCGCCTTTCTCCGGCAAACAAAGGAGGCACAGTTTGCGCAGTACGTGCTTCCAGATGCGAAAGAGCCACCCAAAATAACGAAGGCGACCGTGAAAGGACAGAGTCTAGAAGTAATCGCGGGACTAGCATTCGTGCGCACCCCGGACGAAAAAAGCGAAGCCTGGAACGTTGGGGAAATCGGCGCCGTTGTCGCGGTAGAGAAGGGCTCTTGGGCAGACCAAAAAGGCTTGCGTGATGTAGTGGAAAAGAAAAAGTACAAGGTAAAACTGATTGCATTAGAAAGTGCGGGTAAAGCAGTTTTGCTGAGCGAAATGGCGGCAAAGTTGGAACCCGGGGGATCCGTAAAGAGCGTCGCGCGACTCCTCCTATCGGCGAAGCGGCCTCTCCACATGCTCTTCAAATGCGAGAATCATACCATTTTGCCTGCAAATATGCGGTCAAAGCTAGAAGTCGACGTCCGACGCACAGTCATTGAGCCTGGCGATCCGTTCTTCGAGTTTTTTCTAGATTTGCGAAAAGGAACCGACCTCGATGAAGATGCGCCGAACAAGAGTGATCCTGATAAAACCAGTAAGGGACGAGAAGGAGAACTACACGGCCAAGAGGCTGGTGGGGAAGGAGCTAGTACAACAACTAAAGGTGCAGCAACTGCAGAGAAAGGTGGAGGTGACTCAGGCAGCAAAGCAGCACCAAGCAAAGACAAGGAAGATGCAACAGGTTCTAAAGAGCGATCTAGCGGTAAAGATGGTTCCACAAATCGGGATAGTACGGAAAGTGCCGAACGTGCTTCCTCTAAAGACCGGAAAAGTAAAGTAGACCAGACTCCCTATTTGACGCAGTATCTTGCGAACACGAAGGACTTCAAAGATTTCGGACTAGTAGGATGGACGCAGAAAAATTTCGGAGCGTCCGATGACAAAGCCGTGACGCGACTTCTCAAGGGAGATAAGAACGACCAGAAGGTGGCTGCGATTCCAGGTGCTGAGCGATTTCGTCGTGTCTTTTCGTTTCAGATGGACTGGTCGAGTTACCCGATCGTGAAAGTCACCGCGGTTGACAGGCGCGCAGCGCTTGACAAGGACCCTGAGACCGGCGAGAAGGTGAAAAGCAAGGCAGCCAAGAACGGGTTACAAGTGGGAGATCGCCTTTTAGCGTGTGTCACTCTGCAAGACCGGGTTACGACCATCCCTGGTATTAAGACTTGCCGTAATTCATCTTAAGAGGCATCCCTGACACGTTTTCAAGGGGGAAATACGTCAAAGATGACTTCCAAGATGAATTGTTGTAAGCAAGCTCTAATAGTTGTATGTTGGAGGGAGAGAAGACGGGCTCCCCGGAAGAGGCAATAATGCGACGGATTTTGACACGAAAAGAGGAAAAGAAAGACCCGATCGCTGCCTTTCTGTTTTTGCGCGACAGCAAAGCGAACCAGTACTGTCAATTGGTGCTAGGGAAGCAGGAAGTTCCAGTTGGTGACAAGAATGCAGATGAGGTGAAAAAGATGGGCGATAATGAAGCAGGAGAATTGCTTAAGAGTGTTCTCGGTTTTACCATCGACGAAAAAGCAAGCGTTACGGGTGTTACAGGAGACGCCGATAGCGGTGGATCTCCTGGAGGAATGATGAGTCAAGGTTCTTGGGCAAAATGTGTCGGCTTGACTACTGGAATGGAATTTGTGGTGGTTGGCGATGTACTTGCGGCAAGGAAGCCCGCCGAGGCGCGAGCGGTCCTCGTAGCGAAGCGTCCGGTTCACGTCCTAGTGCGGTGTCGAGATGGAATCCCGGAAGCAATGCGTGCGCGAGAAGTGGACGTCGCGCGCTCGCTGCCATCGCACTGGGGAATAGCCACGGCCGGAAAAACGGCAACTAGTAAAGGCGGAGACGATGGCCCCGCCAGAGAAGATGCTGGCGCTGGAAAGGGAAAACCCACTGATGTGGAGGAGAAGGACGCACCAGCAGATGGGAAGGAAGACACGACGGGTGCAGATGGTGAAGCGGCACAGCCGTTGGCCTTCTATCCTGAACCGGCGAGCGACGAGGAGAAAGATCAATGTACGAAGGGGCCTAGTAAAAGTCATAGCGGCGAAGATGGCTTCGCAGATGAATCTTTCGATTGGCCATCTATCTCGCCTTCTACTTCTTCGCCATCGCATTCGAGGAGCCCACAGCTGGTCGTGAGTGACGTGCTTTTTTCTGTCGAAGAGCGGTATCCAGACCAGATGTTTCCTAACTATAGCGTTGGTGGATCTAGGTCTTCCTCCGGTATGCCTGTGATCAGGCCGCCTCAGATTGACGGATCTACATCCCCTTCTAGTATAATGAGACCGCCACAAGAAGTCTGTTTGAATCACGGCAACCCGCATTCTCTCTCTGGCGATCATGTTGATACAACTAGTTTGGCCTCTACGTGGTACTTCAACCGCTTCGATCTAGAGGGTGAGCACGGAGCCGCGCCAGAGGACATCAGATTTGACCACCTCGGCTCTTCCACATCGTCAGCAGAGGTTTTAATACGACCGGTTCGTCAGGAGCCGATAAACCGTTCTAGTAGTGAAGATGAGCCTTCTACTCGTCGTAAAGGACCACCTCTGGATCCCGAGCGACCGCGATTGCGCGGTGGTGGCCTGTTCGGCGGGCCCGCGAAACCGCCAAAAGCGAAGGCTAAGGTTGCAGCAAAAGGGAAGGCTGGCAAGGGTGCGAAGAAGGGCGCAGCTACAGGCGGTAAGAAGGGTGGCAAGAAGGGAGCGGCGGCTCCTGCTCGACGAGCTCTGGATTTGCAACAGATAGCGGCGATTCCGGTGGCGCAGAGGATGATGGTGCTGCAAGAGCAGTTGCAGGGTATCCAAGAAGCGGTCCAAGTTTTACAGAACACGCCAGCGGTGCCTCCAGGAAAGATTAAGGCTCTCATTTTAGTTCATCTTCACAAAGAAGATCAAGATTACAGTGAGTTGTCTCAATGTTCTTCTTGGATTCTGAGAGTATCTATTATGCTCCTAAAAAGGAGGGAATCGGAGTCATTGTCAGCGCTAAAAAGAAAGGGAAAGGAAAAGGAGCGGGCCTGACGGCTCAGCAGAAGCAGGCACAGCAGGCAGCGTTGGAAGAACAATTCGCTGTTCTTTTGCAGATGTTACGCGATGCGGAGGGGGAAGCTCTAGGATCCGGCCACGCGACAAATTTGGACCCGAAGCTTCTGCAGGGTCCGATCGACCACGGATTCGCCGTAGAGGAGAACGTGTTGAATCTGTTAAAAGAGGACATGATTGACGTGGCGCAGGGCGATGGAGGAGCAGATGATGATAGTATGCACGAAAGTTACGAGGCAGGTGACCTTCTGAGGCAATTGGGGGCACAACAAAATGGCGCTTTGAACTTGGCGAAGCGCGGGGCACCAGGCGGAGGAGGAGCAAAGAAGAAAAACGCAGTACAACGCTCCCTAGCACCGGGACAGGCTCGCAAAGGGGCAATGGAGTTAAGGCGTGCCCTGATATACCATCTTGAGAAACATGCTGTTAGACCCTACAATCTTCTAATTGGAGCAGAAGCCTGTTCGAGTTCGTTGGACAGAAGCATGTTCTTGGACTTGTGCCCAACATATAATTAATGGGAAAACAGCTCCCCTAACTGGGTAGATGACTTCCCCAAGATTTAAGTAGTAAGTAGATTAGATTTGGGTCGTGAGCTCAAACTCTCTAATGAAAGCAGGGAAGTCGGTCGGTGGGTTGCTGCGAGCTGGAGGAGGGCTCGCGGACATGTTGAATTCCAGCGAAGACGACGCGCCAGGTCTAGAGGCACAGAAAGCGGCTCAACAACTCGACCCGGCAGCGGCGAAAGTTAGGGTTATCACTAATCTTCTATCTCCGCAGTGGGGGATCTTCCCTCTAGCATATTGATTGTTCAAGGGAAGTAGAATTCAAGGGGGACTGCGATCAAACTAAGACCTATGGATTCAAGGGAAACTATTCCACGACAGAGATGTAATCCGATTGCAGATAGCTCTAAGAAGGCGGCAGAGTTGGTTCGGCGCAAAGCAGAGCGGAATAACATGTTGGGAGACGTGCTTGGGGCCGAAGGTGAGGCAGATTCTCCAGGCGAGGTTGAAGAGGGCGCCGACGACGCGACTGGTGAAAAAGATGCCGGTGAGGAAGGGAAGGGTGAGGCTACAACTAGGTCGAGTAGTGCTGACAAGAAAAGCGCAGTAAAGAAACGTCCAGTTGTTCGGGTTGAACAAGTGTTTCTGCATACCCGACCGACCATTCTGCCCTATTTGACACACCTTTTTCCGGAGTTCAACAAGGCATGCAAAAACTACAAGCGCGTTCCGATGCGCACACTCGCAGAACAAGACGAAGAGATGGGACTGCTCCGCTACGCGCAGTTCGACATACCTGACACGTCGGTTTTGAGTGATAAAACGCTCACAGCAGCGCAGAAGATGAAGGCCATTCTGGGATTCAACCTGGACTGGTCAGAGTTTCCTCTTGTGCGTGTGGTCGAGGACGCAGAGACTCCGAAGGAATTTCTTGCGCGTAATCGTGACAAAACCTCCATAGGCGGACGCGCGACAACTTGTTTCGTCGACGACCCTGTTCCCGACAGTAGCAGTAGTAAAAAGCGATCCTCTAGAACATCCTCTAGTACCAAAAATAGGCAGTCCTCCTCAGAGGTCGTGCTGAGAATGCCGCCAGCAGCGAAATACGGCCTCAAGGCTGGCGATATCATGCTTGCTGCTATGGGCGAGCGAACGCCTAACTTGCCCAAAGGCTGGGAGAAGCTCGGAGACCAGCAATCGCGTCACGCAGACGAAGCCTTGCTGTACCACATCGTGCAGCAGTATCGGGAACAGCTGAACGACATCGATGAGCTAGAGTTTTCTGCGCAGTCGCGGGAGAATTTAGGCGGGACAGCTGATCCAGGAGGTGGAGTACCCGATTTCATTGAGCGCGGAGACCCCGAAACAAGGTTTTACAGACCGATTGCTGATTTTCTGTTCCTAAGGAGGTCGCACGAGCAAAACTATCTACAGGTGCAGCTGGAGTTGAAGAGTATGCTTGATCCAAAGCGGAAAGCCGCGGAAAAGATTCTAGTCGAGAAGATGCAGCAGCCAGTGCCAGGTAAAGACTATGCCTGGCATAGCGTCATTGGGATGGTGTTTCATCCGACCTCGAGTCCAATCCATCCGAAGGCGCGTGCTAATATTAAGGTTACAGAAGAAGTAGATCAGATGCATTCCGTTGCTTCAACACACTATGGATTCTTGTCCTCTTGTTATTATAAGTAGGAGAAAGGGTAAGGGATGCCAATACGAATACGGTCAGGGATGCAACTTCTATCATAGCTCTAATGATGAGAACAACAACGAAGGAGATGGCTTGCAAGCTAGCACCAGGAGTGTTGACGATCTGATTCTTTCCCAGCGAGAGGAGGAACTCCCTCACGTGACAGGTGCACGCGTTGTGCGTGTACTGCCGAACTCGTGGGCCTCCAAACGACACTTAAATCGTGATGACATCATGCTTCTAAGGCTTGTTACAGTAGTTCATCTTAGATTTTTAAGAAGCATCTTGATCTTTGGCCCCTTTGTTTTGTAAGGGTCAACTCAATTATGAAGGACAACTCAGGGTCAGGGAGAACTTCCACCCAGTACCTTGTATAAGGAAAAGGCACGGCAAAAATGCTTCTGTTTCCAGATGAATTACGGACAGTTGGTTCTAATGCTTATCGTGAACAAAGATCTGGTTGGCTATGATCCGCAGAACAGAACGTGCAAATACGTGAAGGACCTGGTGAGTTCTCGTCTCGATGCCAAGACGTTTCCGAAGCAGCTACTATTCTTTCGTCCAGGGGTGCCCTTTTTGGAGCGGCAGTGGCTGCAAACCAGTGTTGAGGTGCGAAAGGGCGTGAAGGGCTTGCCCGAGCCCTGGGCTGCGTATCAGCGAAAGTCTCTCTTGCGGTACCAACAGCCTGTGCCGGTGATGGACTTGGTGAAGATCTACCAGGAGCGCGACCGCCGCCAGCTCGTTCCAGAGGAAGAGTTAGCATTGGGGCCGCAGCCGGCAGATGAATTGCGACTGGAGTTGAGGGCTGTAGAAAAGCGCCTCGAGAAAGCGGCTGCCAAGGAATTGACACACAAAGACCTCAGAGCCTATGCAGCTGGGACAGCGGACAGTCTAGATCGTCTTGCGGAGCTCGAGAAGCAGGCGAAAAAAGTTGTAGATGCGGCGGTCGAGGAGAACTGGGCTTACCACGAAGCGAAACGCATGACCGAAGCTTACTTAGAGCAATTGCAGACACCAGGAGAGGCGTTTTCACCAGCTGCAGGCGGCCGTGGAAATATGACCTCTTCACCACAAAGGGTCCACTCACCTGACCACGCAAGTGGCCCTGGAAGTCCTGACTCCCTACTTGTACTACATGACGCCGAAGACGAACTGAAAAAGGTGCGACGGGAGTCTCGAGAGATTCGTAGGCGATCGGCGTCGATGTGGAACAAGTCGCCGGAGAGAATTTTCCCCCTACTTCACGCAGAGGCGATGCATGATGTGGGACTGGCGCTTCTGCCAGACGGCCAAGACGACGCGGAAGTAGTCGCTGCCGCTCGGCAAAAGCTAGTCCTCGAGCGAAGCGAAATGGAAACCAATCTGAGTGCGCAAATGGCTAACAAACTACCGGCTTCTAGTACTAGCACTAAGTCTAAGCAGGGCAATAAAACTGCTCGTGCAAGTCGTGCTCCTCGTGCATCAATAAAAAGTAGTAAGTCCTCACAGATGATGTATTACTCAGAAAATTCCGAGCCAGGCGATGAGGATGTTGTTTCGGAATCGGGCGAAGACGAAGAGGACGTAGACCTGGACGAGAAGGAGCAGGAACGCAAGAGAAGCGTGAGTCCTATGTACTATTTTCCGGAAAAAGTAGACTCAGGACCAACAAAGTCTAGTTCATCTTCTGAGGCTGCGAAACAAGGTAAATCCTCGTCCTCAACAACAGTGAGTCCAACTACAGTAAAGCCAGGACAAGTTGTTGTTGGAAATGGAAACATCGATGGCCCTACAACTGTTAACCCAAGAAGCACTGTTGACGGGGCTTCGATCAGACACGGTCACCACGAACACCACACTGAGGCAGTGACAAAGACCGCTGTGGATCGTCGTGATGCTGTGAAGAAGGAGGTGCGTGCTATCGTAGATGCGACGGTTGCTGACGGAGCATTGATCGAAAGTTTACAGAAGAAGTTGCGGGAGCGTTCCGGCAGCGTGCCTGACCTTGGGAGGCATCCATCACGCGCTCGCGAGGTTTTTTTCCGGCTCCAGCATGCACAACTAAACGGACGACTAGCACTGCGGTCGAACTTAGAGGATGTGGTGAAGTTTTTGACGATTTTGGCAGCGCTCGGCACTGAGGATTTCTCAAGGCTGCCAGGAGAGACAGTCCGCTTCGCTAACACTACTGTTAAGGCCGGCTTTAAGTAGGTGTTTCCGTTACCGTTTGTTATGGCTCTCCTAAGGAAGAACAGCATAACGAACAGGGAAGAACGGAAACACCAAGACCCTACTCTAATACTAAGGGCGGCGGCCTTTTTGGTACGATAGACGATTACAGCGAGGCGAAGGAGTTGCGCGAAATCGAGCGTCACTTGCTCGCTCACGGAGCCTCCAAACGGAAGAGAGGCTTCGGGAATGATGACGCCAACGAGGAGAATGAGGACGACTTGGATGACTTTGACGACACAGCGCCTGTGTACCGAAGTGTGCGCGTTCTCCAGGCTCGGCCGGCTCCAAAGGAGCAGCGACCTGGCAAGACTTCTACTTCTAAAGGCTCTAAAGGAGAAAGTCCCACTAATAAAGTAGATGGCAAAACCAAAGTAGACTCACCAACATCTCCACCATCTTCACCTTCCGGCGCTAAACCACGTAAAAACAAAGGCCCACCAATGTCGTTTTTTCCCGAGCCTGCGTCTCCTAGCAGTCGCGACAAGAAATCCAAGGATGCTAGGGATAGGAAATCCTCAAAAGACCGGGACAAGAAGGACAAGGACAAAAAGTCTTCTTCATCGAAGAGTAGCTCAGCTTATGGCCAGCTTTTATTCACCTCGCTCAGCATCTTGGTACCCTTTGCTTCCCATCATAAGTACACCCGTTGCTTCCCATCATAAGTACACCCTTTGCTTCCCATGTTGGCACCCTACTTAGCCTTTTTAAGGGTACTAAAAAGGGTACTAAAATAAAAGGTGCCAAGAGGACCGGGATGAATGAAAGTACTCGCTAATAAGTGCAGAAGAACAAGAACGCAGGCTACTACATGGTCGTCGGAGATATGAAGTTTAAGACGAAAGAGGAGTTCGAGGCTGCGAGGAAAGCGTTTAAGCGGAAGAAAGCGAGGGAGAAGTTCTACGAGGATCCAGAGAACTCGATCGACTTCGACGTTCTAATGCTTTACATCGCCATGGTCTCGGATTGCATGAAGCTCTTTCTGCAAGAGCAGCTAGTTGGTCACTGGGTAATTGAGGCTTCGTTGAACTTGTACGATTTGCTGCGGAATCAGCGGGAGATCTCGGCACAGCATTTGTTTCTAGGGATGCTTCTGGACGTTCTAGACTGTATGGACGGTTACTATGCGGACGTAAACCTTTTTGGCGGAGACTCTTCATCTTCTGTTAAAAAAGAAGCGAACAAGCAAAAAAATCAGAATGCGTCTTCACCGACTAGTAGAAATGTCGATGCTAAAAATGGGTCTCGCGTTTCCGGTTCCTCTCCACCGAACAAAAACGAAAATGACGCGAGCACGGCTGACAACAAGAACGGCGGACTGCTCAACTTGAATGGCGGACAAGAGCAAGCAGTAGAGGAGGTTGACTTTCAGACTCTGCTGTATGAGCGTTGTCCAGGTCGTGCATCGCTTGAAAACCGGGACCTTCAATTCATGCATTCACGTCTGCTTTTTGCCTTTTCCACCATTTTGGACCCCTCTGTTGGCGTGCCGATCGAAGTGCTGAATTTCGCATTAGACATATTTGCCTCTCGGAACAAAGACGACGACGATGAGCAAGGAGATGGAAGTGCTTATGTTAAGGCTCAACTTTCAATGGTCATTGGAGTTGGTCACTGAGATCGAAGAGGCGACCCCTTGAGAGAACAGGGGAAAACGAAGGGAAAGGGGAGAGCTTTGAAGAGGGTCCCTTCCGTTCAGAGTCAGTGACCATCGAAGGCTGAGCTTTAATTATGATGGGCAGGCAAAATCTGGTGGAGGTCTCTGGCAGATGTTTGGAAGGAGTAAAAAGAGTACAGAACAAAAAGCAGGAGTACAACTAGTGCCAAGAAATGACGACCCTGGTCCGACAATCGATAGTACACACATCGAGCACATTCTCCAGATCGTGATGGTTGGACAGGAGTGTCTCTTGTTTGGCAGCGAAAAATTCTCACTCTCAGCTCAGGATGTAGCGGACAATCGCGAAGTGGCGCGAGTTAGCAGGACTATGACTTCTACTACTTCTTCGGGAAATGTCCTCGGTGCTGGAGGAGGAAGCATACTTCAGAATATTCTTGCAGCTAGCACAGAGGAAGTTTCTGAGGCGGAGTTGATGGAGGAGCGGCGGCAGGAAGCAAGATTTTTTCGTCTCCGCGAAAAAGTGAATATCTGCGTCTACTGCTTGCAAAGACTGAAAGCCGACGGACGCCTTCTACTTCGTGCTTTGCTTTGTTTAAAGCATTTGTTGGATTTGGAGTTTAGAGGAGAAGGCAGTGCGACGATGGACGCGGAAAAAATAGCTGATGGGGGGTCTAGTACTACTTTTGCGGCGCCAGTGATAGAGGAAGTGTTCCGTACCAACCTTGTTCTGGATCAACACGTTCGATCCTATGGATTCTGGCGGCATTTAGGCAACCACATGCGCGTATTGGAATGTGTGGAGCTACGGCCATGCGTCGCCGCCTTCTTCGCCCTTCTGAGCTATGATCGGGACATTTTGAGCACCGTTTTGCAGATTTTAGACTTGTACCCTCACGATCGCAAGCTGCAGGCAGCGGCATTGGCGATCTCGATGAAGCTTCTAGTCGTTTTCGACCATCTGCGACGCGCTGTGCACCACGTCGAGCTGCTCGCCCGTGCAGAGACAGAGCGTCGCCACGCATCACTACAACTCGGTGTTGGTCTGCCCTCAAAATCGGGTTTCGGGACGGAAACTGGAGGTAATGAACGAGGAATGTTTGACAGAGCAGCAGCGACGCAGCAATCTGAGCATCTTCGAGGAAAAGTAGGCAAGGGCGCGGCATCATCGGGAGACGCTGAGGGAACCTCAGAGGAGAGTCTTCGTGCTCTTGGTGTCTCGTTCCAGTTCGGACAGGACACTCCGATAATCGGTGAGGATGGCGAAGAGATAGATGCGGAACAGTACATGTATGACGATGACGGCGATATTCTACGATCACAGGGTCGTGCGAGAAATAAAGGCAAAAATGTTAATTAAGGCTTGCCGTAATTCATCTTAAGAGGCATCTTTGGGCACGATTTCAAGGGGAATTCACTTCAAAGATGCACTTTAAGATGAATATGGATAAGGTCTAAATTAAAGCAGAAGATGATGCAGGCACTGCAAACAGTGAAGATAAACGAAGCACGCAAGCACAACAGTTAGAGGCTAAGAATGCTGTGGTGGACCTCGTTGTGGATGCTGCGGAGAAAAACACGGACATGCTGAGACGGACATCTTCTACTGCAAAGAAGAAGGAAAAGGCAAAGGCTGTTTCTACAAGACCTTCTGCTGGTGTAGAAGATTCAGACAGCGACGCCGACGACGAGCTGCTTGCTGGAGGCGGTCAGAATAGCAAGATTAACGGAGGCAGTGCTAGAGGCTCAGGTATTCTTGCCGCGGTAGGAGACTTCATCTCGCAAGTCATGTCAGGTGGAAAGCAGAGCACAAGAGGTCCTGAAATGCGCAGGCGGTCTTCGACGGGATCTCGAGCTGAGCCCCCTGCGCGAATCCATGTGCGGGAACTCATGCGACAGGCGCCAACCCGATCTTATTTCTTCCGTAGTCCTGACGATATGGGAGATCTGAGGCGCGACGTGGTACAGTTTTTGCACGCTTCCCGAGGAACTGGCTCAGATGGATGCGCGGCAACTCTGCTGCGAGGATACACTAGTTATTTGAAGAATGTCACTCGGCTTGTGAGCCTCGCACAACAGCGTTTTGCGAATTCGAAAACTATTGCAGAGTGCTACTTATTTTTGCATCTCCATTTCGACGATTTCCTTGTAGCGAATGGCACAACGACCGTGTTAGATATTTTGCGGGAGTTCGGCAACCGCATCGACCAAGCTGCACACTTGACTGGTCGGACGGTGAGTGGCGTAACGGCCTCGCGCAGTCTCAATCCGCTAGTTTTGATGTGTTTGCGCGTGCTGGCGCGGTCCTTCGAGCTGCACCCGCGGGTACGGCGCATTGCCGGCTTACACAACTACAGCGGAGGCGTCGTGTTCAACCAAGCGGCTATGTTTCGCGCCACGATGCTTGTTCTCGACGACCAATCTACGAACATGAACTCTCCTCCGCCACGAACGAACAACAACATGCAGAGTGAAGATGGTAAAACTGGTTCTAGCAAAAAAGTTGCAGACGCTGAAAACAACAACGAAGAGAATGCTGGAGGGAAGGAGACAGCTTCGTCGAAGGAGATGGACAAAGAAGCGAGGGGAATACTCAAGGAAGCGATGGCGCTGTTTGGCTATGGTGAAAAAGCTGAGACATCATCAGATAGAGGTCCTGTACAAGCTGTAGCTGTGGCAGCATCCCGATCTGTGATGAAAAAACCGGATTATCAAGCCTCCTCTGATAGTACGAAGCATGAACATGAAGCAGCACTGTTGCGTCGTCATGGCTTTTCCCCGAAGAAACCAGGAGAGGGCTTTGCTAGTCCCTTCGCGGTTGCATTCTCGAATCTATTGGCCACCGGTAGTCTAGCCTCAGCACCACAAAAGGATGACCATGAAATGTTCGAGCAGGATCACGGACGTGCAGACGGCACGTTGGTGGAGCGCGCTCTAGCGGCTTTGCAGTACGATCCACAGGCGCGCGCTCTGTTGGGCAAAGTTAAGGCTACTTAGTTGAAATCACTATAATCCTGTGTGAAGAGGGATCTTTTATCCTGAGTGGAGAAGTTTTTCTTGATTTAAAGGGGAAACTACGGGGCAAAAAGGGAACTCACTCGTCTACCAGGGACAAAAGTGAAAAACTAGCGCTAACAAGGAAGTCGCGTTTCGGGAAACGTACGAGCGCAAAGAGCGAGAGCGTTTGGTCAAGGAAACCGCTGAGATCGAGGCGAACCGGGAGGACCCTTTTGGGCCAGGGTTTCTGGACCACCTGAGTGCCATAGTGTTTGGAGAGAATGATGGCCGAGAGCAATCCAGTGTACTGCAGCGGCTGTCACGGGCTGTTGGAGGTGGTGTGGAAGAATCATCAGGTGGTGTGGCCGCACGCAGAGCTGCACAGGTGGGTGAGTATATCGGTCTACCGATCGGTGGCGAGGGTGTGGCTGCTGTGGCCGCACGCAAAGCCGCAGAAGTGGGGCGATATATGGGTCTAGGAGCTGGTGCAGGGGCGCCCGGTGCGAGGCTCGAGGCTGTGCTCGAGGCACGATACAACGCTTTGCGGGGGTTCTATGTCCGTTGCTGGCGTAACTTCTTGGACGATTCGGAGTTTGCGCTCTCGAAAGCATTGAAAGCGCATCGAGACAGCTACGTCGCCGCGGGTCATCGCCTGGGCGAGCCCATGCCTGATGTGGAGGAGGGTGCGCGCTACCGCGAGTTGCGTGACGAGGTGCGCAAGAGCCGAGGCTCTGCCGCTGATGCGCCCTTTGCGCGTCCTACCAATTACACCGCAGAAAAGCTGGCGCAGCATCAAGGAAGCCCTGAAGTTGCCTCAAGTAGTGATGATGAGCCAGTGGAGATGCTGGATGGACAATTTTTCAGCATCAAAAACACTCGTGGTTCTACTTCTGCGTCTACTTCAGATCAAAGGACCTCCAGACGGACGCACCAAGAAGATATTGTCTCTCCCGAGCTCCTTAGCAAGCAGGCCAGATACATCGAAATGCGAAGAGCACAAGGTGGAAGTGCACTAAAAGTAGGACAGGATGAACTTGCCTCTAGTGCTTCTACTTCTTCCAGCCCTCTTGTGCCTCGCGTGGATTTGTTTGGGCAGATGTCCCGATTGGACCGCCGCCATGAGGATTTACTTCGAAACGAGGAAATCGAGTCGAGCGAATCCCTCCACGATAGCGAAAATCCTCAAGCATCGGTGACGGTTCTAGGACTAGGAGGACAGCGAAGACGACGAAGAAGAGGGAGTATGGACGAGCTCGATGCCCTCGATTACACCAAGGATGCTGCTTACTACGCAGAGTCACGCTCTGTACTTCACGCAGTGCCGCATTCCTTGTCTTCGTGGCCACATCCGGGTGACGGGCATCTGCAAAGGGTCTTCGTGACCGCCTTGCTGCTGGTGGTGAAGCGCTTTTTCCGAGACAATCGACTGGTCATTTACTCGTTGTTGATGCTGTTCGAGATCCAGAAGCACGACAAGTTAGGTCGTTTTCAGCTGCAGGATGCAGGCTTTGACGTGGTGCTGATTGCTCTGCTTAGGGACCGATTGAAAGATTTGAAGCGAACGCGCGCAGATCGAGAACGTCGGCGCAAACGCTATAATATGGCCTCGAGAAGACAACAACAGTCCGATTTAGCTTCCAAAAATCTTCCGAATCCGATGGGAAATAATAGTACGTCATCTGCTATGCCTATGAAGGTTGACCCTATTACCGGACGGCCTACCAAAGTGAAGGACCTGTATCGCAATCACGGTCGATCCGACACTTTTGCTGGTTTTGAGGAGGAAGTATTATTATCATCAGCTAGTAATACTGGAACTGGAAGTGGTGGAAGTAGGCTGAAGAAGATGGGTCAGTTTGAACGCGATTTTGGCGATAGGGTCTCGCTTCTTCGGAATCTGGCTATGGAGGACGAAGCGAGTATTCCCGGTTCGAACTTCTTTTTTGAGACAAGGTATTTGCTACTCTTGACACTCAATTTCCTCCTACATCTGCTTTCGCCGTCTCCGCTGAGCGGGGAAAGTGACGAAAACGCTGGACGAGGTGTGGTCGAGGAGGAGAAAGGCGGTGCAACATCAACTGAAGACGCTGTTAAAGAAAAAGCAAATGCAGAAGAGGAGGCCGAGAAGGAGAGAAAGAGACGAGAAGACCCTAATTTTGATCCTTTGCTTGAAGAAATGCTGACGGAGGAAGCTGAGAACCGCAAGAAGGAGAAAGAGGCTGCAAAGATTAAGGGGCTTCACATGATTGCATCCTGCACTAGTACCATTCTTGACTTCACTTTCCCAATAGAAAAGGAGTCAAGGAGGACGATGCGGAGAATGCAATGGCGCAACCTTCAAGAAGAGGCCAGAAACAGTAGATCCGAAAAAACGACTAGAGCAGAATGAAGAGGACATTTTTGCTGCCACTCTGTTCAAGGAGAGCCACAATAGTAATAAGGGAAAAAGTAAATATGTAGCGGAGCAACGGCTACGACTCACCTACCGCGAGCAGATCGCTCGTCACAATTTTGGTGAGGAGCGTGGCGTGGAATTGTGTATGGAGCTGTTATGACAAGAAAAAGCGTACTCATCCATAGAAAGTTAGCTACTTTTCCACTTAAATCCTAGCTAATTTCTTGAGAGTGAGCTGCACACTTTTTCCTTTCATAGCTGTTGAAGGAGTTTTATGGCGAAGGAAACTTTACCTCCATCGAATTCGTACTCGCAGTTCTCGGCAACGCAGTGACTGGCCCTCGCGAATTTTTGCGCTACACGTCAAAGGCGTTGCAAACGATTGAGGGCAACGCGAAGTACGGCACGCTGTTGCGCGCAGTTCTGGAGGGGTACGAGACACGAGCCTTGTACGCAACGATGAACAAGATGTTTTTACGATCAGACATTGAAGATCGCCTCCGACGCATCTTGTGTATTGCGGACTACGACCCTGTCGAGATGGACAAAATGATCAACCAGGCTGCAGAAAAGAGTCAACTCATGGCGCTCCTGAAGCAGCACGATGAAGAAATGGCGAAGGCTAAAACCGACACAGGTCTTTCCGAAAGGAAAAAGCGAAAGCTAGAAAAGCGAAAGCGTGACGCTGAAGAACTACTTATGATCAGCCGCGTTTATTCAATTCTCTCAGCGTCTCGGTGCCCTCTCGTCCCCATAGAACTACAATCAGTACAGATGAAATAGAACAATAGAGAAAGGGACGAGAGGCACCAAGATGGGAGATGAGGACCTGGATGGATTCTAGCACACTCTAAACTGCGGAAAAAAATTCGCGGTGGCTTCCAGGATGAACTTGTTCGTCAGGCCCGAACGGAGAGGCGCGAACAAGAAGACAGATTTCCTAGAAACAAACAAATGCAGTCTTTTTTGTTGGTGGATCTCTAAAGACATTTCGATGAAATCTTGATAAAGTGACATTGCTTATAATACATTTCGATGAAATCTTGATAAAGTGACATTGCTTACATTTCGATGAAATAGAAATCTCGATGAAGTTACATTGCTTAAATTCCAATTTGTAGCTGAACGGATGCCAGCAGTTGCGTGCAACAAGAATAGAGAAGAATAGTTTTCACAAGTAAGTATTAGATTATTGCATTTGTTTATTTAGCTGTGTTAAAACGAACCTCAGTAGCACCATATGCTTTGACGACTTGTCTTCGAGAATTTACGCACAGAAGCCCACGAAATTTCTAGTCTTTCTGGGAAAAGCGCGTCCACAGTTGCTGGCCCGAAACGACCACTGGGGTGTCGGTTCACAGAGAAGGAGAGGAGCTGTGAATCGCTTCGGCCGCGGCCGTTGCCTAGGTCCATCGATCGCTGTCGCTCGATTTGTCCTTGTTATTACTCTCTAGTACTTCTACTTAGTCCTCCTTGCCTACAATCAAAGTTCCAACACGTAAATAAAAGAGCTTGCGTCTGAAGATTGCTCATATTTAACGTCGCAGTCAACGAACATGGCAATGAAGTTCAATTGTGTTTCTTTTTCTAGTTGGTGCCATACAAGGTAACGCGGCGGTTGAATTCAAGGTTGTGACTTGTAGTTTCTGAAAGGATGTCGTGTAGCCAGTCGTTATTGACTGGCTACAACTGCTTCGGTGAAGACATTAGCGAGGCAGCGTCCCATCTTGCATTTGCAGAAGGCGTGTTGCTTGCGCGATCAGGTATCCAGCATAGCAGTAAGCTGACTGCTAGTGACGTGCTAAATCGTGGACGTGGAGAAACTACTGGTACGAGCGAAAATGCAACTTCGTCATCCGGCAACAATGTGACGACGAGCGAGATCCCGTTGCAAACCTTGCATTATCTTCGTGCGGCGAAGCGCGTCGTAGACGTCTATAATAACGTCGTGACACGATTCTTGGTGCAGTATGTGGGACAGCTACTGCCGTTTCGACTTTTTACCGCTTTTTTCGTCGACCTGCCTCTCCACTCTGCGCGACTCAGTTTGTCTTTAACAAGACGGACAGCGGCAGAAGAGCTCGGTGGCACGTCCGAACGCGTGCAAAGCGCATTAGCGATGGCTGAAGAGTACTTGCGCAGACTCGATAGTGTGGATCCGACCTCGGAAATACAGGCTGTTTTTCGACCGTCGAGGAGTGTTTCGTCAAGCAGTTCTTCTGGCGCAGACGATCCATCGTCATTAGACGATGGTCCGACCTTGCGCATTTCGAGTAAGCGGTACGGCAACATCGGATCCGGGAGTTACTTGCGGTGGCAGCACCCCAGAGGCATGTGGCATGAGTTCTTCGGGACGATGGACGTGGTTGTGGCGACGTTGGAGCGACTCTTAGGGAGCTTTGTTCGAGCATTGATTCCTCCGAGACATTTATTCCGAGGAGCAGGCAGGGGGACGAGCGATAAAAATGTTAATGTTATTTATCAGGAACAGCAGATGTCCATGTCCTCGACGGTGCATTTAAAAACAACGGCTCTGTATAGTCCGCATGTTGTTGTACGAACTAAAAAGATTTCGAGGCAGAGGAATAGCATTTCTCACTTTCTATGACTACTTATACGAACATTAATCATGCCATTCTGTGGCACTAACTATTGCTTGATGATGTCTTTACAGAGTCCAGTTTCGGTTGTTCTCAAAATGTCTTTGGGTGAGTGGGAAGTCGAAAAGTTGAGAGAAATATTTTTGCACGAATGTGATGTGATTGCAACGTGCATACCTTTTCTAAGGTAAAAACCAAAAATCAAACCATGGAGTGAGTGTTCAAAAATACTCTGCTTCTATTATAAGTGAAATAATGAGGTGCACTAACATACAAGAAGAGAAGACTTTCACAAAGATGCAACTCTGGTGGCTTTTTTTGAAAAGCCTCAACTTGCAGTCTAAATAAAGAAGGGAACGACCTTCTTTCACTCTTTATTGGGTTTCAAGAACCTAGAGACGGCCTTCTTCTGAAGATGTCACGTCTGAAGTCTTCTGAAGATGTCACGTCTGAAGATGTGAGATAGGAAAAAATGTCGTCTTTCTTGCTTGCCTTCGTGGGTGGCTGGCCACAGAATGGATCGATCAATGCCAAACACTGCGCGTCCATCGCGATACTCCTTTACATCGCTAGAGAGTGTTTCTATCCAGCGCTACACGCTAAACGACATGCAGCGGTGAGGCTTCCTCGCCTGAATCAAGGTATTATTCGACTTAGAGCGACGCCGTCGTCCAGATCTAGTGATGCTGATGTGGCTGGTGACCAACCTGAGTCGGCTTTACACTCTCGAGGAGTGCCCTCGACGGCTACTGCTGCTTCTTCGAAAGAGGAGGGTCAGCCGTATCATCCCGCTGATATTGCCGCCGTTGCTCCTGAGGAAGATTCATCCTCTTCTTCTGGACAAAACCGACCGCGTGTAGAGGGTCTATATGGTGCGAAAACAGCGGACTCGAGCATCTCCGCTGCACATCCAGGAGTACAACCCTCCGAAAGTAGGTCCAAGTTAGAGCAACTTTCGGAGGGTTCCAAATCAGACAAGAACGAGAAGAAGAGTACCTCTTCTGTACTAGCAACAACATCACCATCTCAAGAAGTTACTAGCACAGCACAGGTTGGTCCCCGATGGAGGCAATTTGAAACTGTGGAAAATATGCTCCCAGAGAATTTACGCGATGCTGCGTTTGCGGCACTGCAGGAAAAGACGAATGTAAAAGGCGATGATCATCATGATCTCCATAGTATTCCTTCTAATAATATGCATGATAACTATAGTCTCCCTCCCTCGTCTTCTTCCTCCAACGTTGGTCCAACTAAGCTTCCGACACGGGACCGAAGGAAACTTGGGTACATGATAATCACAGGGTGTAATCGCTTTCCAGTGATCGCAGACCAAGTAGAGCAACTCGCGAGGATGCAGGTAAAGCGATCCGACATTTGGATTATGTTAAGGCCAAAAGTTTACGTTTAGTTGTTCAGTAGAAATTAATCATACACTTCTAATTTTCACTACTAGAAGCTCAGCTTACCAGCAAGCTCAGCTACGGGAGTGATTATTGCACAAAAAAACAACGATACTGCAAAGATGATAGACGAAGAAGCACGCTAGTGCTGTCCTAAAATTATTTGTTGTTAGCCAATAATCTCACCCTCCTCACTCCAGTGTGTGCGTTTATGATTAGCTTATCTAACTGCGAGGTAAGTGAAGTTAAATGGCAGACAATCTAAACCAGTCACCATTATTACGATAAATAGTGTGAGCTACTAGGCTTCTACTCCTTCCTCTAAGTACGCTCACGAGGTGTCAAGGTGAAGGGATAATTGCTGCAAGTGACTCTGTGTGCGACAGGCTACATGGGGTAAACGTGGTGTCCTTCCTCGAGGACGACCGGTTCCAAGACCTCGCAGGCACAAAAGCCTGGAAGGTTGAACAAGATAAGAAGGCACAGCAAGCAAAGAATAAGGAGGCTGAAATGGCGGAACAAGATAAAGTCCTTGCTGGAGGTGGGGCGCGTTATTTTGCTCCTGGTGCGGGTGCTGGAAGTCGGTCAAATAGTGCTGGTGCCAATAATATTAAGGCCGAAGATGATCTTCAATATAGTAGTAGAGTCGTAAGAAAACGCAAAGGTACTAGTGATGGAGGCGATGCGACGACTTCTAAGAGCACAATCACAGTACAGCATCCTTCGTCAACATCCAGTGACACTCAGGACATAAGCACGGCTGAGGCACAACAGGAGCTGAAAACAACAACAACTCCTTCACCCCAAATGGTGGCACAGCGACAGTTGTTTGCGCCACGCTTGCCTGCAAATCGACAGTTGTTTGCGCCTCCGCAGCGCCGGCGGCTGCAGGCGACGCGCACAGTGACGGCGAATGGCAGACGATATGCGGTTGTGAATAATCGCGTTGGCCCAGCAGCTCCAGGGACGTCGAGGTACGCTACTAGCATGTCTGGCTTATCCAACAGTGGCTTTGTGATTAAGGCTACCGCTCAAGCATCCTTTGCGCCACCCTTGGCCCTTTTTCTACTTGAAAAGCTGGCCAAGAAGGATGCAGTGAGGGATGCTAACGGGGTAGCTCTAATGTGAGGCCAAATTTTGGGGGATCGTCTAGCAGTCACTACATCTACCAAAGCCCGGCTGGTGTGCACCCTTTCCAACACAGAGCACCTGAGGCGATTGCACAACAGAGTAGAAACGGTCCGTCGGCCGCCGTCGTTGAGCAAATTCTTAGGGGACGTGGTGCTGTTGCGAACACTCGTCCAAGGATCGGCAGCGCACCTGCCGGCCGATCGGCGATCACATTTGCTGGACGCGCGCGGCTGAGGGGTGCGCCAGTCTTCGAGTCGTTAGCACTGCAGAATCATCAAGAGAATCCCTGTAGACGCTTTCGCATCATCAAAAATGCATCGGCTAAGCGCCTTTTTCCAGTTTTCAACCAAGAATATTGGAACGGGCAAGACGATGGCTTTTATCACCTTGTTCACGCAGAATTGTACGGGCCGCAGCCTCAGGAGCAAGCACGCGAACCTGCGGTACTAGAGAGTGCCCATCATGATGCATCACCTGTCGAGCAAAGTCCTCATCATGATGCAGCACCTGTGGTAACGGGAACAGCTGGAACGACTGGGGATACTAGTACGCAAGTTCTTGATAGTACACTTGTTCCCCTTGATGTACACACGAGGACCACGACTCCGGGAACGAGTGTGGAATCAACTCCGGGAACAAGCGGCATCAACAAGGGTGCAAGCGATAGCAGCGTGACCACTGGAGCAGCTCCTGGAACAAGTGTGGAATACAGTACAAGTGAGGGAGCAGCAGCGAGTTCGACACTAGAGCACGAGCACGATTCGACACTAGAACACGAGCACGATTCTACACTGCACGACTCCACACTAGAACACGAGGACGGAGCACCAGCAGAGGAAAAAACCGCAAAAGTTTTGGATGCTTTGTCCGCAACAATACAAACTAGAAATCAAACTTCCGCAGCGGGGACAGACAGTACTCTTATGGGAAACAGAAAAAGATTATGATTTACAGAATTTTTTTTGAGAGTAATAATCACATGAACTACGGCGTTACTGTTTAGACCTACTTCAAGGGAAGAAGAGCCTAGAGTGAAGATCTCTGGTAGCATGAAGAAGACCTCCTAGACATCAACAGTGTGCTTAAGGGTAGGCTAAAGGTGCTTTTGTTACCGTTTGTTATGGCTCTCCTAAGGGGGACAGCCATAACAAGCGGGATAAACGAACACCAAAAGCCTACCTCTAAGGTGCTACGATGGATGTAAAACCTCACAAGACCTACAGCCTCAACACTGTTCATAGTCCTCAGAGGGAATCAAGACACAGCGGTCAGCCCTCCGAAGAGAGTGCACTGGGATACCATTCACGTGCGATTGATGACCTATTACATGTGGGCTTTTGGTTTCCTCTTCCTCTTCTACGAGCACGTGGGAATTCTAGAGGACGATTTGGACCTGAGTCCTGAGATTCACCGGTACTTCTCCGCAATGACCGAGGCGATGGAGAAAGACAAGTCGGTTCTCAGTATTAAGGCTTGTTGCAACCCAACCCTAAGTAATGCTATAATTCATCTTAGGAAGCTGATTATACTCACCTGTGGCATTTCCCACGTAGGGAACCTCTAACAGCATTTCAGCCTGGAGTGACAACGGGCACGAGCGGTCACGCAAGATCGAGCACGTTTTGGCGGAAAATGATCAGAGTCTCCGACAAAATTACTTCCATCCACGAACATCTTCAACTTCGTCTCCACATCAGATGAAGAAGGTACTTCTAAGCGAAGATGAGGGAAAGAAAGAGCAGTTGCGACGGCTGACTAGTATTGAGGACGAGCATGCGGTTAATAGCGTTGAGGCCTCTTCTAGTAGTATGCTCCTGAAGGGGGCTAATAATATACGGAGAGAAGATGGAGATGTTGTACCAGTTCCGGTGGCGAAGGAAGAGTCAGTCCAGCGTGCTTCTTCAAAGGTGGCAGCCGCGGAAAAGCTTGGACGCGCAGTCGTGCGAGAGCAAGATGCCAACTCTTTTTCTAGAGCAGGTCGAGCGAACAGTGCCGACCTCAACATGCAACAACATATGGTGGCTCGTTCAACTGAGACAGCAGGAAATATGCATCAACATGAATCTTCTGCTGCAAAGGTGGCGCAAAGCGGATATCAACTTCCAGGCACAAGCAGTCAGCAAAGCGTTTCTACCTTTGAAAAGAATGGCCAGTCTCAGCCAACATCAGGATCGACGGGGTGGAATGTAGTACCAGTCGGATCTCCAAACGGATCTAAAGATGAGCTGCCAGCACATCAACCAGTTCAAACCGCAGCATCCTCAGTACAATCGGCAGTCAGCGTCCAAACCACAACGCCCTCAGGGGACAGAAGACCAGGCGATACTAATCCAGCTGGCGATCACGGTCAGCCTTCTGCAGTACATCATGCTGTCGCGGCTCTTCTTGTTCCTCTTCCTTCTGTTCCCGCTGCAGCTGTGCTGCCTTCTACGCATGAGCCAGTGCCTTCCGCACATGTGGGTACAACTGTCCCTATTAAAGTCGAAAAAAAAGCTGCCTCGACCGTGGCTAAAGGTGCCTCGACTGTAGTACCTGATGCGGCACATGTTGCTACGGAGTCGCCAGTTCCAGCACCTGCTCCAAGCGAATCCGCTGCGCTAATTATAAGCGAATCCGCTCCATCGAACGATCCATCTAAACTTCTAGAACAATCCATTTATCCAGTGGTTGCCACTGCTCCTGCACCTGTGCTGTTCCCGCAGCCTGCCGCTCTGCCTGCTGCTGCTCGCGAGGAGACAGTTTATGTCTTACGAGCGAACCACTTTGGAGGCCTCGGATGGATGACCTCGCGTAGGGTATTCTACTTAAGGCCAGTCAATCATATTTATCTGTGGTGGGCTATGGCAATGGCTATGCTGGGTGGATTCTCGTTGTACTAAATAATTCAAGGGGAGCAACAAGCTGTTAGGGGAAGAACGGAGGCACTCCACGCAACCACGGATAGCGATTGCTTAGCGTTAATCTACGAGTACTTTGTTCCGTATATGACCGTGGACCGCATGGGGATGGGGTGGGACACTATCGTTTCCTTTCTCACAGACAAGCTTGTTGTAGACGCCAGAACAGGGAAACCGCTTACGAGGAACACGGCTAGAGGTGCTAGTCCAAATACTAAACAAGAGGATCGAATCTTTATTAATAAAGGTAGTTCTTCCACCTCCAGTAGTTTTACTAGAAGTACCACTGTTGAACAAGAGAAGATGGACATCGATCGAGATGGCAAGAGAAATCAACAAAGTGCACAGCAGGACGAATTGCCGCGAAGACTGTACGCTGATGAAGAAAATTGGCTCTACCTGCCGGAACAAGTAATGCTCTCACCTGCGGAGCGAACTGCGCAGATGAAGTTACTCGAAGCAAAAGCAAAGTCTACAGCAATAGATGCTGACTTGCTGCGGAGAGCAGAGATGTTTTGGAATTTACGAGGGTATAACTTTCACGAGTTCAACATTTCCCCCTCCACGTCGTTCACTACGTCAATGGATTCCACTAGCACAGATCCTACGCGTGTGTGTTCCCTCTATCCGACTGTTGGTTTGACGCACCACCGCACCACAACTACCGGGATTTCGATAAAGACTAGTCAAAGCGCGCGTGAGCTGGATCGACTTGCCTTCTGGACCGAGGAAGCCCAACGGCGCAACACTCCGATAGATTGGAAGGCGACACTGCCAAATCTGATGGCTTGGTCCTACGACACGTACCTAGAACGCCTCGTCGGTTTGCGCGTCGGCCCGGGCAATAAGCCTCCTCCTAGTGTCCTGCAGGGACTACAGGGAAGAGAAAGTAAGACTAAGACTCCAGAAGTACAAGTTGTAGAAGATTTTTGGAGAGATGCTTATCGAAAAGTGACGTACACGGTGCAAAACGCCAACTTTTACTGTCTCTACAACGCCTTTGGAGACGGAGACAGTGACGCATGGATGTGGATGCGCAAGACCTTTCGAATGTTCGGCACCGGATGGGGCGAGACACCACGTGGAGGTTATAAATTATGAAAAATATGATGGCGCAGGCGCATCAGATAAACTGATCATCATCATCAGCATCATCATCATCGTCATCATATGACTCAAATGCAGATAGAGGAGTAGCTGTAGAATAGATCATTTGGATGTATTAACAACTCCTCTCTTCTCAACATGCTCCTTCTCATCTTGCTTCTAACATTCGGCACGGTATTGGTGTACAAGCGCGGTTACTGGCACTGGGTCATTGCGCGATACAGTCCGTATTATCCTTTGCTCTGTTCACTCTGCGATGCCGGTCAGAGTTCTGAGATGGTGAAGGCAGTCCGACTAGTACAAGAGGAAAGAAGCGGTACGTATCTGATGAGCCATTTTCCACTCGTGAAGATCGTTGAGAATCGAGTCACTAAGCCGCTTCTTTCCAACCCGGGAGCGGCACGGGTGGGGCCTGGGGCAGCTGTTGTTGCTCTTCCTATGAGCCTGCCTCCATACTGCGTGAAGGTACCGCCGCGGCGTGCGCGAAAATCGCTCTCTAGAGGCGCTCCGAGGGTTGCCAATAGTAGGTAGTTGTAGTTTATAGTAATGTAATTGGAGCAGTTCGCTATTCGCAAGTCATGTAATTGGAGTGCTGCTGGTTGTAGTTGCGGATGTTGTTGTGATGGTTGCAAGACGCAAAAAAAAAAAACTCTACGGGTGCTACGGACAGCACTAGCAGAGACGCACACATGACATAGTGTCTGGTAGTGGTAATGGTTGTGAGGCTATCCAGTACCTCTACTCGTGGTTCTAGCTGCTACTCGATCGTTCAGTGGTCCTGTGCTAGTGCTTGCAATGATTGTAGCCACAACTTGATCATTCACAGTTATCCTTTGTTGTGACTATACATTTACTAACGACGGGTATTTTTGATCTGTTCACCGATAATACTAGGAAGTGGTCTTCCTAGTACACTATAATTTTGATCCCATTTCGTCAGCAACTGCTTCTGCGTTTTCTCGACATTTGTACACTTTGGGTTTGCGTGAACGTCTTGGCAAAAATCAATACTGTTTTTGTGGAACAACTCACTTTGCCTGTGGGTTTTTTCTAGCTACTTCCACTACGAGGTCTAACGGTAAGATTGTTGTGGCTATCTTCATCTAGTACTATTCACAAGGCTAATTAGACGCCTTGTCCCTAATTCATCGCAATCTTGTCAATTGAGGCGTTGTGAGAAGAACCGATGTCAGCTTCGTTATGCCATGCAGCTGGATGATGGTATGTTAGGATGAAACTCAGGACCTCTCAGCATTTCTTGGGTTCCTCGCGCATACGAGGGGACGCACCAATCTGAGGCAGTCCTCTCTTTCAGAGCTCTCGCTCTCCACCTCTTATTGTTTACTCACTTTGCTCTCGTTGGTTTAAATACAAGCGTCTACTCTTTTGTGGATCGACTTGTCACATCGATTCATCCTCCGTGTAGGTGCTACGTGCCTATTAGGGATGCACAGATTAGAATAGGTCAATTTGTCCCGCCAACCACATGAGAATGCGGATTCGACGATAGCTGATTTTTGCTGGTATTGATGATATCCATTGAATTTGGTTGCACTTGCACAGTAGAAGATAGCAGAATCAGCTCAGACTGTTGACATTTAATCGACTGCTTTCCAACTCTAACATGATGAAATTGTCGGTTGCTGAGAATGATGCAGTTGAAAAACGAGTTAGAGTTCGACCAAAATGATCGGTATAAAATCGGTGTGCTATTTGGACGTAAGTTTTGAAGTAAGCGGAAGTCGGTCGTCTCTGTTCGGTTAAAAGTACATTCAGAGCACTCTCAAGTGAACACATCGGTTCCAGATATTATGGTTCCCAGATATCATGGTCCCCAGCTCAAGCACAGCTCGGTCTAGTGAAGTAGATTCTTTTTCGGCGTTTTCATAGTCGTGAACGCTCAGCACTCCGAGGCGAGCCATATCCTATCCTATCCTATCCTATCCTATCCTATCCTATCCTATCCTATCCATATGAGTTCCCACAATGCAAACATTTCATGTGATGAATCTCCGAAAACGAACTTGTAGTTTTGAAGAGCAAGAATGGCTACAACATACTAGATAGAACAGTAGTTGCATTTCTGCCTTTTCTCAAGATCTTTTACGTAACGATAACGTCACCATAAGAATCACGACAATCTCGATGTGTGCTGAACAGGAGAAAGGACCTCCTGTGGCCGCACACGCCACGAAGAACACCAATACGCGCATCCTGAAGAAGATGTCTACTCACGAGATGAAGAACATCTTCAAGATGCCTCGACCTCGTTCAACATCCTGCTTCGGATTGAAAATGCTGTTCTTCTTCTCATTTGCCCCTACGCTTACGCTCGCGATGCAGGAGGCAATGGAAATCATAGTCGCGGAAGAAAGTGAGGGACCTAAGGCATTGTCCTATGCCATTACGGTACCTGTCACCAGCGCCACTGCTCCAGGACTGCTTGGTGGCAGCGCAACTGCGAGTGAGGAGAGCTTCCGCTGCAGCTTGCCGGGTTTCATCACGGGCGATCCATCTTAAGGCTCATGATATTTGCTGTACTAACTGCTTTTGGCTCACAGATAATTATGTTCTGCTTTTATTTGCTCATTTTTTTCTACTGTTGAAATGAAATGCATTTATAAGATGTACATCTAGATCATGAATTTTTATCATCTTTTAAAAGCTCTACCTCAACCTCTAACCATCGTCAAAAGAAGCCACGGTCGCATCTCCGCAGCCTGTCCAGCCTTTTACGGATTTGCAGGGTGAATATCTGCGGAGCAACACGATCGCGGTCGGACCGGGACAGGCTTCAACCGACACAACCAAGCGTGCGGCGTTCCTGTACCACGCACGGCCGCGACGCGTCATCGCAGAGCCCTCTCCGGTCTTGGGCGCTGCAGGGGAACTCTTTCCGAGTATCTTCGATTTGCTCCCGAGAGTGGTTGGTGACACGAAGAGTTCGGACGTGGATTCTAAGGTTGAAGCCGTGTGCGCAGTGCATCGCGTTGGTCAAGTTAGGGTTTAGGGTTCTAACTACTTAGTACACATGATTATAGTATTACCTCCTCCCATAGCAGGAATAAGTTTTTTTCCCCTTTGTATAAGTACGAGGTTGTGCTGCAATTCTTGGTTGGCTTTTGCCCGTAAAACGGCGAAGGTTTAGGTCCAGCGACGCTCAAAGCACTAAATAAAACAACCGGTTAGTTTTTACCTCCAAAACCTAGGCTCCCATGAAGCAAATTATTATTTGTATTTCATCGATCTTTAACTGCAAGAGAATGTAGTGTTCTTGTATCCTTGAAAAGGAAATTATGCTGGCTGAGAAGTATCTCCCTTTGAAGTGAGGATACTCATTTTCAACAAGGATGCAGTTGGAAGATGAACTACAAAGACAAAGATTGACCAGTCTTCTAATGGTAGTTCAGCAGGAGCCTCCTCTACTACATCTTCTGAGCACGCTTCCACGTCGTATCTGGTTGGTGTATCGTGCCGCACGCCATTGTTTGGCGAGCAAGCGTCTGGCAACGTGGCGGATGCAGAGTTGGGCGACAAGGGGTTTGCGTTGTACGAAATTGCCGAAACTGTTGAAGACAGCCGCAACTTGCAGCCACACCAAGAGTTCGAATCTGTGCAGCCAGTGCGAGCAGTGCAGAACGAGCAGGAATGCAATGAGAAGTTGCGACTCGCGGCCATCAATTCCGGCAAATCGACGACATCGACGTCTGAGCTTTGCAGTCGGGTTTTTCGCACTGCAGCCAAAGCAGATGCAACAGCTGCTGGTTCGGCTGTGTCGACCGCGCTGTTGGAGACGGTGGAGACACGCGTGGCGGTTGCACAATGGCGAGCGCGCTTGCACTTCGGTCTGGATCTCAAAGGGCCTCTGAGCGGCGACCCAACCAAACGACCCGAAGAAAGCGCAATCTTTCCTCCTTTTGATTATGGCAGAATAGAACTAAGTACTTTATAATATTGTTGTAGAAGTTCTGATGATGTAAGAACCTCCTAGTAATACTTACTTAGACGCCACTCCGTTTGATGATCGTGTTAATCCTAATGATACAGTACATCACGTACGTCTACGTTTTCAATTGTTCTCTCCTCTAACCTGCAACCCGAAGTGTCGTTTTTGTCGAGGCAGCGTCGAAGGAGGGCTCGGGCTCGAGCGTACCAGACGAAGTCCGCTATCACAATCCCGTTTTGATCAGCCATCCTTGCTTTGGGTTGCAAAACGCCAACCTCTTTCAAGCTCGCCTCAGTCGCAAGCGCTTTCAGGAGGCTCAGGCAGCTGGATCGATTCCTACGCCAGATTCAGCGGAGCGCCTAAAGGAGTACTGGACAGAGGATGCTGCAGCGGCAGTTAAGGCTCAATATCAAACAGAAGCAAACTTTTCGATTATTAAGTATGAGTACTTTTTTTTTGTTTGATGCTTCTCCTTAAACATAGAGATAGAGGACTAGGAATTTTTCAAAAGGTAAATTTGAAATATTTAGATTTATGGTTATGATCATTACTAGGGGATGAATGTTGTATTAATAAATTGTGAGGTCTTAGTTTTTACCTCTATATTCAGGTCACGTATTCATCCTCGGAGTCAAGCCAGGTGCCGGGAGGCTTCGATGTGCAGGATTCACAACCTAACCTAACCTCTATAGGCTTATCCCTTCAAACAATGTTTTAATAAATTGTGAGTTCATCATCTAAAGCACCTTCTCCTTGGCTCGGCGACGCAGCGCTGGTTTTGCCGGGAGGTAAGAGCTTGGCTCCGGGAACGACTGGAGAGGAGAACAAGGACGCGGATGCGTTCAAGGGTGTCGATGGAACGAGCGTCGACGAATTTGAATTGAGTCGAGGCGTCGCGCCCCTGGGTGAAGCTGGTTGTACGGTTGCGCAATTCGAGGAGTCCTTGTTGGCTTCCTGGAATCTGCGCGCGCCTGCTTCGTTCCGCGTGGCCGCCGGTGCTAAGGGCTTTGAGTCTCTCTTTGGCCACCTACGTCCAGGAGACTTCGTGAAGCAGGTGGAGGCTGTGCATGCTTTGCCTATGCTTCTTTTAAGGGTAGGTTAAAGGTGCTTTTCTTGCCGCTTTTTATGCGAATCTCCTAAGGGAGAAAGAAAAAAAGCGGGGTAAGCGAGCACCAAAAACCTACCTCTAATTCTTCCGAGTGCGGGTGGTCTTGTCGTGACCGGAGAAAAGGGTGTCACCGATGCGGAGCGGGAGGAACCGATGCAGCGATATGAGCACAAAATCGAAGAGGACCAGGCTCAATGCGCCAAAGCCACCTACGCTCGTCTATTTTCCACTAGGTTGGAGCAGACGGCAGTCACGGCAGCTCATCCCGATATTCTGCCGGCTGCCAAGGACACACAACAACTGCTTCGACGTTGTAAGAAGACCGACTCGCTTGCAACCTGTACGGGAGGCGTGTCCTCGGACAAGGACAAGCCATCTGGAGGATGGTTTTCCTCTCCGTCTGCTGCGAAAGGACACGTGGACTTCCATGATGCACTTGCAAACCAGGTATCGCCGACGCTGTTCGTAACGGTACGCACGCACTATGCACCGCGTGAAGTTTCGCGCTGGGAAAAAATGATGGGCCCGGTGCTGATTCGCAAGGACGAACACGGAGTACAACACTCACTTCCGACGGACGTCGTGCTAGGTTAAGGCTGCCGCGAATGTAATCCACCATCTTCAGAAGATTATTGATAGTACATCTTGGAAGAGCTCCTGTCGTCTCTTATATATAGAAAGAACCGACGGCACGAAGATGCCTGATCTGATCTGAGGATGGATACAATCAAGGGTCGTGAGCTCTAAGTAGACCTGCGTGCGAGGAAAATCCATACGCTCATCTTCTACTTCGGGTTCCAGAAGTGCCCGTGTTGCCGCAAATTGGGTCCAAAGGTTGTTGAATGGTACAACAACAAGGAGAAGAACCTACCTGGTACGGAAATCATCTTCGTCAGCTTCGACAAAACGCAAGCACTAAGCGAGGAATATTACGGTCATATTCCCTGGCCTCGGTTGCCGTTTCACGAAAGCTGGAGCAAACGGGGCAAAACCATGCGTGCGGAAGGAGGCACTTGCCCGAAGTGTCCAAAAGTACAACTCTAAAGGTTGTGACCAACGTAGTTTTTGGAATTTGAAAGTCTAGAAACAGGAGGACTTATAACGAATGCCAATCAATGTGCATTTATCTTTGAAATGATAGATTGGAGAAATATCTAGATTGGTGGAGAAACATCTAGTAATGTGTGTGTGACTTCACCTCCTCCGAAATAACTCCAAAACACACAGGTGACTCTTAGATCATGAGGAACAACTTTTATTGATAAATATCAAATCAAACAGGTGACTCGGTATCCTACGTTGCTCGTTGTCGACGCACGAACTGCGGAGTTCAAAGCCAAGTTTGTCGGTGATGGCACAACACTGGTAAATCTGCAAGACCAGCTCCCCGATGGCGCACTGGAAGACGGAAATATCGTCGAAGAGGGCCTTGAGTATCAAGAGATGGGGGAGGAAGACTTCGTAGAAGAAATGGCCCTCAAGATACACGGCAAGAAAAGTTCGGCTTCTGTTAAGGCTTTGACGTTCTTCACAACTAGGTAGCATCGATTGTACTAGTCCGTGGTAATAATTTCGACATTTTTTAAGTAGTGGAATGAAATTTGAGTAGCATCTTCATGTTTGTATCATCGGAGGTTTGTCGAAGATACGGATCCATCAAGAAATAAATGTTGGTTCATCACGCTCTCCTATCTAGCAAGATGAACAGTGTCCTGGAACGAGAAGAATCTGTTCTAACTCGAGGGCAGGAAAGGAGACACCTAAAAACGAGGAGGCGGTTGAGGCGAAGGTGGCTGAAAAGAAGGACGTTGTGCGAGTGAAACTGCTGACCCTGGCTTCGCCGTCATCTGGAGTGCGAACAGACTCATCTTCGGGAGCAACTGACGTGGTTCCTTGGGGAGCATTGCTGCCTCGCAACGAGTTTCGCGTCACCACAGAGCATTCCGCTTGGTTACCGCGAACGAGTTTTTTCTTGGACAATGCAGGAGGAACTTCTTCTGTATCTCCATTACAACGCGTGATCAACTGGTCGTCGCAGTCGCTTTTTGGGACGTCGCGACTAGACGAGATTGAATGCCTACTGCACTTCCAAGATGGAACTGTCAACTTCTGCACCACGACTGCGAAAGCCAGTGGTTCTGGATGGGTCTCGCACTTGTTTGGTGGTGGCGGAAGTGCGGTCGACTTTGCAAATGTGGTTCGGGTTTCGCTCCGCGCGTTCTCGCTAGTATCTTCTACAAAGAGTGGTGGTCATGGAGGTCATCCGGCAAAGTACGCCAATTTCCGGCTGCACCCTTTCGCAGAGGGCACGTCCAAAGGGATTGGAAGCGGGCTCATCGGTCGAAGGTCCCTCGCCGCAAGGCAGGCGACGCGCACGGTGGAGCAGACCGCACGGCTTTGCCGGGCAGCGTTTGGGCTATTGCCGGAGCATAAGGAAGCGGTCCCTGGCGACGCTAAGGCGAGCAAGATGATGTACTCTCCCTCGACTGACCTGGTTGCTACCGCGGGGGACGCGTCTCTGCTGGACGCGACGGCCAGTCTTCCAGCTGTGCAGATCGTGGTTGCCGCGCAGGGAAAGCTGCTGTCAGCAGTGGAGACGCGGCACAGCTGCGCAAAGCCGAAAGATCGCCTTGACGACTGCGGACATGAGGTCTTTCAGGCGATTGAAGGAGGACCCGGAATTAGCAGCGCTTCTTCCGACCACGAACGACTTATGTCGTATCGAACTGCCGTATCCAGTGACCTCGTTTGCGATATGAAGTACGACGACCGGAGCGCCTTTGGCATTGACGATCTACTCCACTTGCAGGGCTTGCCTGTGGAAATCCTCGCTCCTCTCGAGAAACAACAAGATCGACAAGGTACTATCGTCGGCACGGAGAAGACTACGAAAAATGTCGAGGTTAAGGCTATATTTTTAATTTGTAGAACATCCTTGTTAGCATGTGGAGTCTGATCGGTAATGATCCAGGTACAGCGGTTCCGCAGTATCTCGGATCACATGCTAAGAACATCCACCTTATAGCATGATCGCCCTTGGCTCTTTTTCTACTTGTGAAAAAGAAGCCAAGCAGGAAGATGGTCTCAGGGATGGGGCTAGCTCTAACGAGGGGAGAGTGCTGCGACAGGTTTCGTTCCCGGCACTGCGGATCTCACGCGCACTAGTGGAGGGCTCGTATTTCGACCTCCAAGCTCACTGGCTTGCCCACGTGCAGGGTTTATGGGGAGCGTTGCCGGTTGCTGGGGATGCAGGTCCTATTAAACCTCGCGTCGACATGGCTTCCCTTCAGTCTTTGCAGCAGCAGCTACGACAGGCGGGAACGACGAGCACTGATTAAGGCTTATACATAGCAATTTACAGGTTAAAAATGACAGCTTAAGCATAGACTAAATAAAACAACCGGTTAGTTTTTACCTCTAGCGTTTAGCCCTTCCAACGAACTATATTAGTTTTCTATAGCTTTTAAATAGTTTCTCTATGAAGAAGCTTTCTTCAGTATGATCCTAGCGTGAAAGTGAACTTCGTTCTTAAAAAGATTGATGTGAGGACAGCGGAACCTCAAGCTCCAATTTGATGCAGGCGCAGACGGGTGGCAAGACACGGTGAAAAAGGTAATCGCCTTGCAGAAGGAGGGTAAGACAGGTAACAAAGGAGCACATCATCATGATCAGAAGATCGTTCTTCCCATTGTTGTCCGGGTCTACGAGTCCCACGCTGCCCATGGCGGCCAAAGCGGCATCCTAGACCAAGGTGGCATCCACGTGGCCATACAACGTCGCCACTTGCAGCTTGAGGGCAGTTTGCGGACATCAAGTGAAGACTCGGCTGCAGTTGCGAAAGCGGACGCCCTATTCAGGTTGCGATCCTGGTCGTTGCCGAGTTTCTCGCAGGGAGGAGGAGGACCGCACGGTTTGCTAGATTTTCCGCTCGCCCACGGCAAGCTCGAGGTTGGTGCACAGCTTCATCTTAGCACGACTCAGATCGGCTACCTTTCGAGCGGACGCTTTGCTGTGCACTTGCTGGCGAAGAAGCAGGAGGATCGCGTTGCATCTTCTAGCATCTCTCAGTCTCAGCTCTCCTCATCCTCGTTGCTCAGCTCTGACGCAGTGTACACGTGCTGGCCTGGACGAGTGCAGATTCCGCTGTTGCAATACCGATCAGTCGAGGCTGGAGATCTAGACGAGTGCTTGGCTGTCCTGGACGCAGAGAATGCTCGTGGCGATGGTGAAGCTGGAACAAGCATGCAAATTGTGTACCACGCGACGTCTGACATCTATCACGGAAAAGTGGATGAGGATGATGCGAAGTCTACTACGAACACAGCTTTTGGTACAACCACTACCTCCACAGTGTCCAACTCGCAGATGAAGGTCTTGAGCCCATCGGATTTCATCGCAGGCAAGCAGAGTACTTCATCTAGTTCTAAAAGCGAAACTGGACGAACTACAACAGCACAGCAGTTTTTTCCGATGGTCACACTGCAACATCATGGCCGCTTAGTGCCAGCGTACCTGGATATCCAGGTAACCACAGCAGCTGGATCTACTGCAGGCGCAACTACGTGGACGGTCCCATCGCATTTGCTACTCCAGATGTGGTCTCTTGAGGATTTCCGGCTGCAGGTGATGATGCGGCACGTGCTGCCAATGTTAAGGGTTGAAACATTTCATATTTGTACGCTGTATTTGACACCTGTCAAGACGAAATATGTCAAATATGTAAGACAAATATGAATTGTTTCAACCTTTAACAATGCGTTCTGCTGCTCATCAAGGAGGTTCGAGTCGGGTTCCCGCAACGGACTCCCTACTGAACGCCGGCCAGGACGTGCTGGAGAAAGGTCTGCAAATTGGGCTACGGCAGAAGAACGGAGGAGGCGACTTCGTTGGTGGCAGCTTGTTGTCGGATGCTTCATGGTATGAAACGGTGCGTGCTGTGGCAGATCGCACTACTCTGCAATTACTGGCAGCAGGTGCGCTCGCTCCGGACGACGTGACAACTGTGGAGGGCATGAAATCAAGTGCGAAAACGACTGCAGAAGCGGGAAAATACGCGTCGCTGGAATTAGCGGTTATCGCTGACGTGAACGTGTTGTTGCAGCCTTTGCCGTCAGAGCATCATGCTGAACGTTCTTCATCTTCTTCGTCCGCGCATCACCAGACTGCTGTGCACACGTCGCATACGAAGCCGGCGCACGCAGCAGTTGTTCGTCCCCATAATGCAGGGGAATCCGAGCCCGAGGAGCTACAGCCTGCACAACCGGCAACGGAAGTTTCTTTAGGACATCTTTGTTCAGCACTTTCCAACTAGACATTAGCTAAAAGATGCGGTCGTGAGAGAGGGGTTGACGGTTGTAACCTTAAAGGTGAAGAAGAAGAGAGAAAATCGTGCGAATTTGTTGAAAACTAACCTGAATATTTCTAATCAATCCGGGAGCAAATAAGGCTGAGCGTCCATGTTCGACGACTGAGGTTCTCTGCGCATCAATCTTTTTTGGTCTGCTCGCCTATCTGGTTACCCGCTTAATTCTGGCTGCGCTGGCGCGACTCCGCGATCGGAACAAGGCGCGGGAGAACAACCAAACTTACGGGCTAGTTGTACTGCCATGACTTTGACTTATAATCACAGTATCATGTTGTAGGACTCAACTGCCTTTGACAGCAAAGGATTCTCTTTGTATGTCTTTTTTCAAACGAAGTAGTACTTATACTTGCGCTTAATGGGTAACAACAAGACTACGAAGTTACCACAACCGTGGCCATCCATCTTCTAAGAAAAGTGGCCATTGGAGTCTCCTCTTTCTGACAACAAGAATCGCAACTTATCTGCGAACTACACTCCCGCGAAGAGTCTAGGGTTTTACGGCTACAGTGAGGACAGGCCGAACGACAGGGATGACTGGCGAAGTTCGTTCACCGGTTTTGGTGGGTGGTTGACAGAAGGAGAAGATCCGGAGGACGACGCAAGTGAGAGGGCAAGGCTTTTGTAATAATAAGGGAATCTATGTATAGGAAATGCTTCATAGGGGGAGAATGAAGTAGAGGTAAGTAGACTAGCACTAGGGCGGATTAGATAAAGAGGATGGGGTCCTCTACATTTATTAGGACGTGGTTGTGATTTCAAAGTTTTTATCTTCATACCGTACCGGGAAGAACAAAAGAACTACGGTATCTGAGGGAGTATCAGAACTACTGAAATAGCCGAGTTAATTCGAAAACATTTTTTGCATGTTCAACACAATTATTCATGATCTACTTCGCAAGTTTATTTCGACCTCACTATCTGCACAGGTATTCATTAGATGTCTCATCACAATATCCCAGTGAAAAAGTTCAAGAAGCAGTTGTTTATGCATCCATAGCGTTAGCATATTCCATCGTATGAAATTTAGCAGAAAAAGCAATTACTGAATTTGAACAGTTACAGCATCCAACATCGCAAATATTAGGATTACTACATAGGTACTCACGTTCACCACGCACGGCTTCCATCACATCAAAGTAAATAGGCATGCAAATCGGATACTCATACTATGAAATTGCATGATGGAGAATGAAGATGAAAAAGCAGTACTACCCGCCGCACCTCCACGACCCTTCAGCTGTGTTTGCTATCACTCGAAGAAAGTAAAACTGTAAAGTTTAGTCGTTAGAATTTATTCACCTCGCTGACCATATTTCAACATCCTTAAGATCGACCTAGAGCTGTTATCCTCATTCTGTTCTTCACCTCACAACAATAGCATGTTTGGAATTCTCCAGAGAACAATTGTCATGAACGCTATACCCGACATGAAGAAGAACTACCTTACCATTCAAATCACGATTGACATTGAGCTCAACCCGAACCACCGTAGGACACATACTAACGTACCAAGTAGCTGAGTTTCTGTATTAAATTGACGTAGCTTTTTGAGTCTTTGCTTACCACGTAGAACAAGTAGAAGTGCCGAAGCTTTGCGCTCTCCCCATATCCCGGCACCTTCGCAGATGAGCAGGATTCTAGATTTCGAGTTTTTCAAGGAACAACACCACGCCGAATAAAAGCAGGAACGAATCTAGATTTTGCGTTTTTCAAGGAACAACAACACGCCGAATATTGTGAAATTAGGCACGTAGAACAAGAATCCCCACCTTATTGTGATCCTTATGATAATTTATCGTGCTAAAAAACGAGGACGAGTATTAACCCTATTATGCAAGAACCAGAAGAATGTACTCGCTTGTAACAAGAGAATGGGTATGTAGAAAACTGAACTCACACATCATGTCCTGAAAGAGAATAGCCAGTACGTAGTGTGTTCCTCTAGAAGCCTTCAGACTGTGACGAGAGTATTCAACCAAGACAAGCTGTGCAGGAGTAAAAAGTGCCTGGAAGTAGTTAGCGTGTAGCTAAGGAGTTAAGCTACCGCAGGAGAGCGTTCTAAAAATCACCTCAAGGAAGTCGAGGAACCAGAACCACATAAACAGGACACTACGAGTGAGATGCTTTTTTTTGAGGGCTGACTGAGTCAACTACTAAGAAGAACGAGATGCGATTGCAGATTTTTTTTTCGTCGTGCTTCGTTTCCTCTAATATGTTTCTCCCGTGTTCTTCTACTTCTCATCATGAGATGAATCTCTGAAAGCATTAACGAGAGACGAATAAAGCAAGAGGATACTTCTTGGAAAAAATGAATGATTAATTTTTTTTTGAGGTTCTAGAATCAAACACTTTCATCTCTGTTTAGTCCAAGTCTAAGATCTCATTTGGTGTTACTTATTTTGATAAACTTGATCGTTGTCGTTCTCTCTGATACATAAACTTCTACAACACAGGATAATTCAAGTTTTATAGTTTCTTTCACGTCGACTAAGATCCATATTTATCTTTAGCTTTGATGATCAGACTTCAGTATTCATATTTATACTAAGATTTCTTTCATGCTCAATAGTTATCATTCCTACAACTTTCTGTTTCTTTCCTATTCCTACCTATTGATTCTTTCCTACCACCTACATCAACAACCTTTCCTACCTACACCAACAACCTCTCCTAGTGTTTTTTTGTAGTACGTTGTAAGAGGTTCTTTGAGAAGTGGCCCCCAGCCGCACCCATCAAAAGATATTCTTGTTCAATTGCCCCGCAACGGCATCGATCCTTGAATTTGACCTGTATTTGTGAAGTTCTTGTAGTCCAAAATGGTGAGGCCTGAGCCAAATGTCACGGTCGCGGATGGCGACGTCAAGAAGGTACTGACTGACTCTTTTAGTTGTTTGGTCCATCCAGTTGTATGAGTAGCAGTCTACTGCCATATTTTTTTTGAAAGAGAATGAAACAGAAACTTCTTCTAGTTCTCAGAATAGAATGTTCTCTCACTCACACCTCACATCAAGAATGTTTGACTAATAAACATCCTCATCTTGCTGCTGCATCAACAATACAACCCTATACCAAAACCAATGGTGCAACTTCTCTTTCTCCAACAGGGCGCCAAGATTTTCAAGAGTAAGTGTTCCCAGTGCCACACAGTGGATGCGGGAGGCGCATCGAAGTCTGGACCGAATCTCCACCAAATCTTCGGCCGAACGAGCGGAACAACTCCCGGATATCAGTAATACTAAGAGCATGACTTCTTGGTTCCTTTATAATCCGCCAAGAATGATTATGATCTCTCTTTATGTGTTCATCATGTCCACCATTACCATCTACTAGGTACTCCGAAGCCAACAAAGGTGCCGAAATTATCTGGAGTGAGAAACACATGGACCAATTCTTGGTGAACCCGAAGGAATACCTGCCAGGAACGAAGATGGTACTTCTTTTTTCCTGTTGTCGATTTTGGATTACCTAACCTGCGAAGTAATGCATTCGATTCTCTCTCTCTTCGAAGATAAGGATGTCGCACTGACTCTAACTCTACTAGCCTAAGTACCTAGCAATTGAATTCTTCATTTCTTATCGTGATTCCTCAGGTCTTCGCTGGTATGAAGAAGGAGAAGGAACGCGCTGATTGCATTGCTTGGATGAAGCAGGCTACTTCCTAAAGGCCGTTTTCAAAACCGCAGGAAATGTATCATCCCGCCGATGGCTAAGTATAGTCGTTTGGGATGCAGTATGATGATGATGAGCCATTGCTCTTGTCGCTTTGGTAGAGTTAATGTCCAGACTAATTTTCCGATAGAGTTAGAGAAAAGGCAACACTATCAAGAACTCTTGGTTCTCTTAAGAGGATTAATAATGCTTAATAGATGTTGAATCAACATCATGTTCATTATTATTATTGAAGAACATGTTTATTGCCTCTTTCTTCATCTTCTTCAAGTAAATTTTCTTCCCATGATCTTCTCGTTGTAATTATTGTAGTTTACTAGAATTCAACAGCGTAGTTATTCGTCTTATTTGGGATCTAGATCTAGAAAATCAAAATGTTTGTTCGCAACTACTATTTGATATGAATCGTAATAGTTATTTATTACCGTAGTTCGAAGGAGTACTACTACTACAACTACTAGGTGGGTCTAGTTTATTACCGTTAGAAGGAGTATCCTATCCTATCCTAACTAGGGTGCACAGCAGGAGTAAAAGCACCGGTAGCAGCGGAAGGTACGAAGCAGAACAACATTTGCATTTTCGTCAGCACTAAAGACTTATGAAAACTTCAGGTTCAGCAAGAAGATATTTTTTTATACTTACAGAGAATAGATACTACTTTCAATATCTATGACAACATCATTTTCGTATTTGAATCATCCTTGACATTTTTTTTTCTCTTGTAGCAACGAAAAGCAGAATATTCAATAGAAGTATAACTGATTATCTTAGAAGCGATGTATATTTTGAACGATGGATCTTCTTCCAGAGGAGCACGTTGCATAATTAATTAGTTACTTCTAATGTATGGCCTCTTCTTGCTGCAAGAGCAAGGGTGGACTCCATATAATTGACTGGTCGTTCGTCGTGGACAGATTTGTATTTTTGAAAGTCCAGCATTGAAGGAAAAGATAGAAGATGTAGTATTATCTTCGAAAATAGGAGGAAACAAAAGACTTTGATTTCCTTCTGAGTTTCCACCACCGTAGTCGTGCATCTGCTTCTTCTTCGTTCGATAGACAACATAATTATTATCGGACACTGAACAAGAACATCTTCTTGCTCTCTCTGGTGATGCTTCGTGAAAAACCATTATTTTGCTTCTAATAGAGTCCAGGTGGGTCCAACATTAACAAATATAACGAAGGAACTTGTTCCGACATCTTCACGAAGATCACAACGTGTGGCTTCACTGCAGTTGTCACTGTGGCGCAGCATCAAGACCAATTCGTAGTGTTCACCGCAGACATCCGAATTCAGTCTATGTGAAATGTGGGTACAACTTTCTTGTCAACATCAGCGTTCGAGAATGACAATTTTCTCAGATGTTGAAGCCCAAAAAATCTTATAGTCTTATACGAAAGACGGATTTCTTCATCGCACGAAAAGCCTCAGAATTCGACCCATTCTTACAGTGATTATAAGTGTAAATGCATGGACTAATTTTACTCAAAGATTCAGAAGGACGAACAATCAGACCAAAAAAATGTTGCTGTTTTCTGCCGAGGAGCACTTACGGTTGCGCAAGCAGAGGCGCCTCGTGGGAACAGAGATTGGTACGCTTCCAACGAATCCGCAACAGAATTCCCAACTTGGTCCTCCCTTTTATTTTTTCGATGGCGCTGCTTCTGAGACTGCAACAGTCGAGCCAAAATTTGCTACTGAACAGTCGAGCCAAAATGGCGCTGCTTCTGATCCAAAATTTGCTACAGTCGAGGGAAGCAAAAAAGCTACGTCGATATTAGAGGCCTTGCGAGATCGTGTGTATGCAGACCTAGTAGCGGCGAAGTTTTTTGTTCGGAGTGCTGTCGCTTCTCACGGCGTGGATTTTGTCTGCTATCCCTCCGACCCGGTCGCCGCACACGCTTATCTGCTTGTGAAGTGTGTGGTGGACAAGAGATCAATTGCACCGCGAGATCTCCTAGCGTGGACACGGGTAGCCCAGGGAGTCAAGAAAGACGTGTACCTCGCTTCATTCTCACCCGATGAAGACGTGGAGTCTGCTGCAACGGCATCTGGAAGTAGATTCGTAGGCGCAACTGAAGAGTCTGCTGCAACGGCATCTGGAAGTGGATTCGTAGGCGCAACTGAAGAGTCTGCTGCAACGGCATCTGGAAGTAGATTCGTATGCGAACCTGAAGCTAGTAGGAGAGTAGAAGAGGCTGAGGTTCTTGCTGAAAAAAGTGGAGATCTTCACACCTATGGTTTGCGGATATCCTATCGTAAGCTGGAAATTCTGGGCAATTATCTCTGAGAATGGCTGGCCAGTTTTGAGAACAGGCAGACATGGAGCCCAAAAATTGTATGGCCGCCAGATGCTCGTATCATGGTGCGCTTGGCGACGCGTGTACGTGACTTCTACAGCGCGACGAGCTTCGGTCCAGGACTGTTTGTCGATGGGCTTTCCTACTGGTCACTGGACTGGGGTGAGAGCAAGAAAAATCGTCCGCCACGGGATTCGAACCCGCGTTCTCAGCCCTGATACTGTCGCGGACGGGCTTTTCGCCGCGCGGCGCTGTCGCGTGAACTGCCGAAGCAGGGAAGCCAGCCTATGGCCGAACCACTAGACCAGACGGACAAGACTGCTGGCCAGACGGACAAGACCAGACGGACAAGCTTTGGTTTCGGCATGAGTTCGATTTATTAGGAAAGAGACGAAAAAAATTGACGACGGAGGTAGAAAATCCGACAAATGTACAAGCGACAACTTTGCGGAAATGTCTAGAGTAACAGCAACCTCAGTTACCCTTTCTCGCTGCGTTTCCTAGAGCATCACAGCATCGAGGAGAGCCGATGTGGCTAAACATCAGTCGAATGGTGGGAGCTTCTTGTCTGACATTGAATTTATACATGGAGATCCACCTTTGATATTGTCAAATATGAGCTTCTTTGAATTTGCCGTTCGAGTCATTGGTGTACATTTTCCATTGTCACGACCAGCAATCATTGACGTACATCAAAGATCAATGTCTCTGAGATCAATCGCTCAAAAGAAAAGAACGATCCGTTGACTACCGAAGATCCAACATGAGAGGACACCTTTTCTAGCTTTGTTGCGTTGGACCAAGAAAGTTATTGCGCAAAGGATCCTCCAGAAATCCTCCAGAAGATTCCCAAAGAGAGTAGGCACACTAGAGCGATCTACTTTAGAAGTATAAACTGCTGCAACGGAAAATACAACGATCCTTCGTAGTGATTTCACTTAGAGAACAAGTGACCTGTTGAAAATTTGCAAATTGCACTAACCCCTCCAGTTTTCCCACCAGGACTTCATCTTCAACATAAGTATTATATTTTGGAACTTTATACTTAGCATTTAGTTGTACTCAATACCCGCTGTAGTTCGTCGTCTTCTGCTACATGAAAACGCGCATTTGGACTTTGTTCATTTAGTGCAGACTTTGTTCATTTTGACTTCTTTGTCTTTGACTCTTTCTGTTTGTTGGGAAGAATGGAGGACGACAGATCATTGACCGACCATGTCGTGGGGAACAGATCTACTAGCTCCAGTTCAGCACCCTCGGCAGAGAAAGGGGAAATGGAGGATGACAGATCATTGACCGACCATGTTTCACAGGATGGAGGAGCCATGGAAACTGTACGTTCTCTGACTAAGTCGCTCGAATTAGCGCCAATGTTGGACGTAACGACACGTGAATTCAGATACTTCTTGCGCCTATTGACCAGGAGAATGACAAATTGGACGGAGATGGTAGTGGACAAAACCATCCTCCACGCGTCGGACTTAGACCAACATCTGGGATACTGCGAAGCGGAAAACCCACTTGTTTTTATGAAGAGGACTCAAGTGTGTTCTATCTTTTGTTTAACGCCGTTCATACTTCTTGGCTCTTATCTCCTGCTTACCAGTTATTATCATAGAAATACTGTCAGACCACGTCTCTACGGTCATCATGGACGATGGTAACCAGGACAATTGCATGCATGAGGGCCAGAGGACTTGTGAGTAAGAAAATTATAGCGTTAATACTTGATTCTTTTTCCCGCCTCCATCGAAGATCTCAACCCTCACCTACATTTACTCTCTACTCCCCAATCCTCTTTCATACTGTTGCAGATCGGCGGCAACGATCCTGAGAGTTGTGCCCGTGCTTCCGAGATTGCGTGGCGACAGTATGGGTACAAAGAGGTCAATCTCAACGTGGGCTGTCCTTCCGACCGAGTCTCCGGAAAAGGCGAGTTTGGCGCAGTCTTGATGCTGAAGAAAGATATCGTTTTCAATGTGGTTTCTGCGATCCGAGAAAGATGTGGCGGCTTTGCTGGCGCAAATCTTGACCAGGAAAGCACTTCTGGTGCTTCCCCTTCTTCTACTTCGCGTTCAGATGCAGTTGCAACTTCGGGTTCAGATGCAGTTGCAACGTCGCGTTCAGATGCAGTTGCAACTTCGCGTTCGGATGCAGTTCTTGCAAAGGATAATTGTTCCTTGGAGGGATTGCGTGTCTCTGTGAAGACGCGTATTGGCGTCGATCACGCAGATAGCTACGAATTTCTAGAGGCGTTCATAGACCGCTTGCGTCCAGTGTGCAAGAGGTTCATCCTGCACGCACGCAAATGCATCTTGAAGGGGCTCACGCCTGCACAGAATCGGAACATTCCTCCCTTGAATTACGAGCGCGTATTTCGCATCTGCGAACGGTTTCCTGACTGTGAGTTTCTCCTCAATGGAGGAATTAAGACGTTGGTGGACGCACGGCGTCTGGCGTACGGAACAAAGCTGTCGAGGGAACTTTCTTCCTCTGCTTCGTCATCTGCTTCTCCGGCGCTTAGTAGAGGACCGGAGGAGAGCAGGACATATGAGTCCACAACTGCTACTAATGGATCATGCGGTCGTCCTCAAGAAAATGCAACTTCGTCAACTTCTAAGGTTTCGGAACACGGTAGTGAGACTTTGACGAAAGAAGAGCCCGCGGCTACTTCCTCAGCAGCACCAGAGAGTACAGAAAATCTTCAAGTAGAGGCTGCGAAACCACGAGAAGGTGAAGGAAGCGAAGCACATCACCGACACGAGGAGTGGCCCTCCTGTTGTACGTGTGTTGTTAATGACGATGGGGAAGGTTCATCAGGTTCGTCTACAGCCTTACCAGCGACGACCATGTCAAAACAGCAACAGAGGCTCCTGCAGAAGCAGAAAGCTCTAGCGGGTCCGCTCCCAGTAGCGCAGGTCGAGCCACGTGTCGTAGCTCCGCCGAATCTCGTTGGTGTGATGCTGGGCAGAGCCGCGATGGACAGCCCTGCGATTTTCGCAGACGTGGATAGGTTTTTCTACGGGGAAGCGACCAATCCGTGTCGGACGCGACGTGAAGTATTGGAAAAATACAGTGAGTATCTTGCTCGACTCTACCCAGCGCAGTGTGGTCCAGGATGTTGTCCGGTGTGTGGTAGACAAGACGACACAAACGATCATCAACATCAAAGCGTCGAAGTCAAAGTTTTATCTGGTAGTTCTAGCGACGTTGTGGTGCTCAAAGATGATAGCGCGATGGAGGAAGGTGCTCCTTCCACGGAACCAAGAAGTGCAGCGGCGGCAGAACCTTCTGCTTCCAGTACCAGTACTACGGCTTCCGAAATGTTATCACATCAGGGGACGTCAACGAAGAGACGGCGCGCCCGTGGTCAAAACGCCGATCATGTGCTCATATCCACCGGGGTAGTTGGCAGATGTACAAAGCCAGTTCTGGGACTTTTTTGGAAGATGGCGGGCAACAGGCAGTTTCGAAGGGACCTAGACACTTTCAGTCGCGACCTCAGTATCAGGAACTGCGGACCTGGGTACATTCTACGACGCGCGGTAGGGAATCTTCCAGACGACGTTTTAGACTTAAGGGTAGGTTAAAGGTGCTTTTCTTACCGCTTTTTATGCCTCTCCTAAGGGAGAAAGGCATAAAAAGCGGGGTAAGCAAGCACCAAAAACCTACCTCTAAAATACATGCCGTTCGAGCAGGTTGAGGATGTGGAAGTGGAAAGGACACAGGAACCACCGAAGGAAGCGGCTGTTCCTGAGACGAAAACAGATGATACAGCAGATGTCAACGCTGCCTCTGCCTCTTCCGGAAGCGAAGACCTGCAGCATCTGAGCAGTAGTATGCAGATGTGTAGCATGAAGGAGATAACAGAGAATCATGAAGAAGAAGCTAAAAAGCGTAAAGTCTCTCCAGACTGCTTGGGAGGATCCTAGCGTTGACCGACACGATTGCCACTCTCCCATTAATTGTTACCATTGTTACCTCCCACCTCAGACGACATGTTGATGTTCCCCTGAAACCATTTGGAATGAGAAGCATGCACCTAACAGCTTGATGTTACAAATTGATGTGACAACTACAATCTTCATAAAAAATGGTTGCGTCTATGACAACTACACGTAATCTTCATAGAAAGTGGCTGCGTCTAAGTAAGTACAACGCACCGAGTTGCAAGTAAAGGCGACAAAAGTGCCGAATTGTCTTTCGATTTGTGTTGAGAATCTGAACGCCGTTTATCTTCGGTTGTGTCTGTTGTATCTCCTTGTCCGATACCGATCCTGCATACACGTGAAGGAATATTCTTCATTTGTCCTCCTGCTAAATCTAGTTGAAGAAGCAAAAGTGTCCTCCGATGTTGATCCACATGGTGCTTCTTTTGCGAAGATGATCTTATACTGCGACATCCTGTGACTGATCTCACCGCCTTCGGAAAGTGGCTCCATCTGTCACAGCTGCTGTAAGAAGGATCTTTGGAAAGTATAGCTGGTAGGCTTAGATTTGTCAAGGACTAGAACAAGAGTATCCACCTCCCTTATCGTCTAAAACGGGTAATGGAAATACTAATTCACTAGAAGATGAAGCCGCGCTTTTGAAAACAGAAGTTGCTTATTTGATGCAGTTTTCCTTGTTCACTACGAAGAACCTCGATGCTTGTTCACTACGAAGAACCTCTATTCTAGCCTTGTTTATTTCCATCAAATTCCATAAAACGTCAACACTTTGGCAGGCCACGCGTAAGTCATTTTGTACTGCAGGAGCCGAGCGTGAGACAGTGTCGGTTTGGCTAGGACCATGATAAGTAGTGTAGTGATCTTCTTTCGGTTAGCGTCAAATGATTGTTGATTGTTTCCGCGCAATGTGATTGATTAATCAGTAGAAAACGGAGTACTACATGAAAGTACTACATTTTAATAATTTTTTTTGAACTTGGACCACCAACAGGTCCCACTAATACTGTCCCAATAACAAAGATATTTATGTTCTTATTGATCTGTTTTATGAAATATCCTGTCTTTGGTCTTCCTCGGTTTCTCAACATTAATATTGATTCAGTTATGCTCTTATTGATTGATTGTATGAGACAAAATGGACGATATTTTCAACAAGGCGTTTGCGACTGCGAGTGGCGGCAGTGGGGAGTTCGACCTCAGTGCCACTCTCTCCAGCATCCAAAATGCGGCAGCACAGATGGTCAACTCACAGCATGGCACAGAGGCGGTTGCCAAGGCTCTTCAGAGTAGCCCTTTATTAAGCAATCTCATAGGCACGTCAGGGAGTGGAGCACCAGCAGCAGCATCTTCGATGGCTCCCGCATCTTTGGCGCCATCCTCGGGCGGAGCCCCGGGTCCACCGCAGATGCAGCTGGTAAGCAACTTGAGTGCGCCTGCGGCGGACCTATCAGCAGGTCCAAGTTTTGCAGAACAGATGTCATCGGATGGCTTCGGTGCGTCGTATCATGAGAATTATGGACAAAATATAGGTGGCTTTTTAAATTCAAAATAATGATACACAACTAGAGTTAATAAAATAATGAAGTTCGTTGAAAAACTGTGCCTAAAATGTAACCGCAAAGTAGTGAATGTAACAACACAGTGATACATGTTCTAAGTCCAGCAGCAAGAGGAGGTAGAAGTTAGACCGCCAGAAACAAGAGCAGCACGGCGCGTTGACCTAGAGGCTGGCACAGAGTTTCGCGTGCTGGTGGATGACAAACTCCACTTATGAAGACATATATAAAGATACTAAGTAATATGCATAGAATTGAATTCAATATTGGAATTAGACTGATAGCGCCGCTAGAAGCTGGCGCCTCCGCTCAAACCTTGTGGGTCGTCTGCTTCGTTTTTCATAACTACCTTGGTGGTTGGTCATCTTACGCAATTCTTAATTCAAAACAAGCGTTAGCCTGCTACTCTAAAATCTGAGCCAGTGACTGTCAGAGTGTGTATGCCTGATCGCGGTACCACTGCAGGTGAAGACATATCGAAGAAGACAGTGGAGCTCTTCGGAAAGGAGTTGGTATTTTTTCGCTTTTTTTGGTAGAAATCCCAAAAATTTCGACTACCTATATTTCAGTTACTCTGACTTACTCGACGAGGCTGGACATCAAACGTTTAATTTAACTACATGACGCCCTGGACATCAAACGTTTAATTTAACTACGTCGTTGCATCTACGTAAACGTACTACTACTACTACACTTACATCATTCATCATTCCATCTGCAGTAAATCAACTCCACTTGCTAATACATATTAGTCTAGTATCCCTCACCACCACATCCACCACAGTGCCTCGAGCAAGAGGCACTGTGGTGGATGTGGTAGACAGCGACGGGCCTCCGATAATCTGACTTCGTAGCGACTAGCTCATCGTCGACTTCCTTTGTCTCTCTTCTTTGTCTTTTACCTTTGTCAAAGCCTCAAAAGTCTCTCCGTCTAGGCCCATCTTTAGGCCAAGATATAAAGGAAAAAAATGCAGTATACCGTGGCGCAAGAAAGAAAAATGACGAGCGTCGACTTTCGTTCTAGCTTATACGAGATACTATCCCTCACCACCACATCCACCACAGTGCCTCGAGCAAGAGTACCCGATAATGCCGGGATCTCGATGCGGTTTCTTCACTTGGAAGGGTTGCACGCTGTCGATCTCCGGACCCACAGTTCAGGAATTCTTAAGGCGGAAAATCACTTGTCACCTCAACATGAGTTCTCCTTTCGTGGTAAAAGTGGACAGCTAAAGTACAGGAAGCCATTTATGACTAGACAGAATCACTACTCCTACTTCTAATACCTGCAGCTGCGAATTCGCAGATGAGTGTCTATGCGGCTTGTGCAGCGGTAATAGAGCGCAGACGACAGAGGGCATTGGAAGTTGGAGCGGCTGCGCCTAGGGTAATGGTGTGTGGGTCGGATGGTAGTGGGAAATCAGTATTGGGCGAGACGCTCTGGCACTACGCCATAAGGAGAGGCAGGATGCCTATTTATGACCAACCGTCATTTGACTTTCCGTATATTTTCGCAGGAGATGGTAAGAGTAAGTGTCATTTGCTATCTCGTTTACTAGAAGCAGAAGGAGAAGTTTTACTTTTCTTCTATTTCTAGAATTTATAATATCCCAAGCAAGCTGCTAGGGCGATAATTTTCAAGAAGAGTATACTAATGAATTTCTACAACTCCAGGTCCAGTCGCAATAAAATGATTTCCAGTCCTACCATCTCTGGAATTCAACGTACTTACAAAATAGAAATACAACACCTGTTTATCCGAAAAGAAAGAGAAAGTGCGTCCTTCATTCCCCTTTCGTCGATGCCGATTGCCGGTATACTGCTAGCGTGTCGCAGTGTTTGCAAGGGCTGCCTGGTTGTGTGCATGCCACGATAGGCGACTACTTGGAGGATGACAAGAGCAAGAGGATAACCTTTTTCTATGGACACCTACATTGGCGAGACAACCCAGCTCTCTACGAACAGGTCTGCCAGCGATTGAGCATGGTCGTCAATAAGAAGCTTGCTTTAGCAGTACTAGGGAATCAATCGGACATGGAGCAAATGCGTGGGGACACTAGGTCAACTGGGGAGAAAGGGGAAGGTATTCTAACTGACATATTTTTTTGCTTGAGAACCAGGTGTACTGCATCTTCTTCTGAGAATGGTTATAATTCTAACGAGTTGTGTCCACACACTATAATTCTTGTGCCCAGTCCTTCCACCCAATTTTGTTGTGCCCAGACGATGAAAAGAATCCTTGATGTCCTTCCATCTCCTATTAACAACATCAACACATCGTCCACAAACTAACACGGTGATACAGATAGCAAGCGAGTAGCTCAGTCGGGTTTGATTCTCAACGCGCCAGCGGCACCTTCCGTAGACATACTAGCGACATTGGCGAAGCAGTTTTACATCGACACAATTATCTGCCTGGATGACGCTAGACTCGCGGAAGAACTGAAAACGGCTTTTGAGGTAATATCGTCATGGTCACCACCTTGTTGTATGTTATACAGATCTTGAAGTAGTACAAAAAGGCTGAAGGACCTCTTTACTACTTGACCACGAAGTGCCTGAGGTAACATGACATGACATAGTACAACTTAGTAGAAGTCAGTTTCTTGACCCGCACATCTTAAAACTCACAGGCGGACAACGTAGATGTTGTCCTTTTAGAGAAAACGGATGGCGCGTTTCTCGAAGACCAGCAAACTCTTCGAATGCAGCGCCATCAGAGAATTTACGGTCACGGATAAGTTTCAGCATCAGTTTGCGAGTATCAAGATCCTTACTAGAGTCTTTAGAGTAGACTTTGACAGAAGCGTCCAGGAGAAGCTTAACGCAACTTTGAGTAGATAGCTAGACGATTCTTCGTTCTTGTGAGATCACGAACCAATAGCCTCGTGAGCAGCCTTGTTTATTTCATTCTACTTTGGTAAATTATGGATGCTGATGTTCAATGTATGTGTGTCTCCATCATGGTTGTTTAAGTTTTGGTGACTATAATGGATAGTTGTCCCATCCTGCCTCCCTCTTTCATTGCCAGCGAGACTACTTCCAGGGTGTGAGTCCAATATCGAACGGCTTTCCCATCGGCGACAATGGAAAACCGAAGAGAAATTTCGGGTTGACGTATTTTTCTCCGCTAACCGCCTACCATGCGTCTTTTCCACTGCATCAAATCAACCTACTGCAGTATGGAATCCAGTTACACTATAGAGCGGACGAGCACGGACACATTCGGTCGATTCCGCAACTAAGTACTACTGAATCGCGACAGCTATTTGTTTTCCATTTACTACGGCCAGGAAGCTGGTCCAGGCCTAAAAATGCGAATGATTTCTGGGGCTCTTACTGGTCTACCGCGTCGGAGTGGAGCTGGAGCGCAACAAGGGGCGCGTGTTTGCGTGCATGCTTTGCGGCAGCAGTTGCAGAGCGGCGGCGCCTGCTTGCTTGTTAGTCTTTGCGCGGTATGCCTCGGCGACTCCGCCAGCCGCATTCCCCCGGTGCTACTCAGCGCCAGCGCGAGACGAGGCGGCAGCAGGCGCGCGCCGTAAGTCTTACGCCCCAGGCAGCTAGGAAGCAAGCAGGGGCCACCAGAGGGGGACCTCGGTGCGCGCGGCTTGGCGTTCATCTTGGTCGCGCCTTGCCTCTTCTGGGTTTTCCATCGAGGCTCGTAGCTACTTAAGCTCAGGAGAGGCCCTGCAGCTATTAGGCCCCGCAGCGGTGGAGACTGTTGGGGCAGCTGGGTGCCAGCAGGCGAGAGGTATTGACTCCAGGGCGGCACCCTCTAGGCCCAAGCCTCTCCCAAGCTGCCTGAGGCGATGGACTTGGTCTCCCGCGCTGGAGCTATTGGCGCTCTGCGCCTGGTCTTAGTGTGCAGATTAATTTCAACGAGGTTCTTCGATCCTATTACTTGTTGACAAGGAGCACACTCGCCGGCGTTGTTATGGAGCCGATGGATCCCATTGCAATGCAACCAATTCACTTTTTCGCAACTGTGACACGATGGACGCGCTTACTGATATTCGCAAGAAGGCGCCGGCATTCGAAGGCCCCGCCGAGGGCGCCCGCAGTCTCGCCCTCCGCGTCGGCGCCGAGGTCATTTTTGACGTGCTAACCAATGCTGCCACTCCAGTGTCGACGCCGCAGGGAACGAAGGGCCGCGCCTAGTCTACAGCCATTGCCTTAGGTGAGGCGGTTCGCATATTTTTCGCCAACCCCAACGGACGCAATGCGAGTGCGGTCATGGCTGGCAGAGAGCGCTATGGGGATGGGCTTCGAGTGGAAGGCAGCAGCGGAGCGGACTATCGCTGGCTACCTTCTGCGATTGGGTCGGGTGTGGGTGCGTTTGTCTTATATAGTGCGCGCGTTTTAGAATACCACGGCGCAAGCCTGGCGTGGTGTTTTCAATGGGGGCCGTCGCGTGCGGGCATGATGCGGCAGCAGTTCGACTATTTAGCGCCATTCTGCGCATGTGATCGCAGCGGGGCTCTGCGCGTTTTTGGGCGTTTAAAAACGGGTGACGTGGAGCATGTAGCTTAGCCACCATCGCCACGAGATCCAAGCGACTAGGCGCTTGCGTTGGTTTGGTGGCCAGGCAGGGTGATGCATTTGCATAGCGTGGCCGCGGTCAGGGTGGAGGGGGTGCCGATAGCTTGGCGTGGGTTGCAATTTTGCAGCGGGTGAAGCTGGTGGCGTGTTTCTGGGGGGGTCTCTACCGCCAGGCGCAAGAATTTGGCGGCGGGTGCATTCGGGGGACTACGTGGGCAAGAACGTGGGCGGGGGAGGGTTTTCGAGGTGAGTGGAGGGCGCAAAGCCGTCCGCGAGCTGTGGGCAGCCGGAGCAACTGTCTGGAGGACAGGGCGAAAGCCTCGGGGAAGCGGCGCGCAACACCAAAGCGGGCGCGCCCGCAAGGAGATGAGTGCATTGCTGCTGGTCGGTGTCTTCCCGGCTGTCTGAGCAGGCGGGCTGTGTGCCTGGGTGGGGCGCCTTCGCCCACAGGCGGAAGGGCCCGCTCGCTGCAGGTTGTGCGGGCGCAAGGATGGAATTTCAGGCTCTTCTAGTATGGTGTAGCCCTTGCCGCGCGGAAGCTGTCGTGTTTGTTAGTTCTTCTAGTCGTGCTCCTAGAAGTTTGTAACTAGTCGCTGCAGTAGTTTCCTCTTCTGTTTCTTTTTCATTTCGATTGAATTCGTTGAGTCTTTTTTTGTTTGTAGTGCTAGCGAGTTCTGATAAATCAAAACCTACCTGCGCACTTTCCGCGTGGGTACCGGCATGAGGGAGAGTGGAATTCTCGAAATTATCCATGGCATCGGCGTATTGGTAACAAGTTTGTTAATTTAAAGTAGTGGCAATCGAATCATCTTCTACTCTTTCTCTTCAGCAACGAGTGTCTTCGACCGCTCTCGGCTAAGCGAGCTGATCTACACGGCTTTGGCTGTTATTCGCGCTACTTCGGAGGAAGATCTGCAGTACATGCAGGTCGCCGGGTTCCTTCTAGTAACGGGGATCGATCTAGAGCAGGGTATTTTGCACGTCGCTATGCCTGACGTCCCACCGCTACCCTCAAACTACTTCCTCGTTCCCTCCGACATTCGAAATATGACTTTTCTCGACGCGCTTGGCTGAGCACATGGCATTGTAAAAACTGCGTGGATGGAGAGTCTTTCATGTCTGTGTGCCAGGTTTTTGAGCACCACAACGGAACAACGCTCTTCACATCCCACCTACTTCACGACCAACGACCCTTCCCCTGCGCCTTATTCCCTAGTTATAACTATCCTCAAACTCAATGTCTCAAAGCCACAAGGAGCTGTCCCGTGTATGACAGTTTCACAAGATGAGGCACTCTTTCTTGTGAGTTGCGCAATTGCTTGAGGTGTTCATCACAGGTCAAGGCTTTCAATCCACTGTCTATTCCTGTGTGCGGGAGAAACCGCTAGTCGTGTCACTACTTGATCACCTTCGAAGCAGGGATCATGATCAGTGTATAATACACTCATCCTCTTTCTATCGGTTCTTGTGTCGCTTAGATGGATCCGGTACTTTTCTCTCTAGTAGTATAATATACTATATTATTTTAGTCTGAAATGATATAGTTATAGACTAAAATAAAGTTTTGACAAGCGTTTTCGATTCGTGATTGTTGTGCGTAAGTAATCTACTACGTACTTCTTACTAGCTTTTTCTAATGATCTAACGGACTGGCTTAACAAGATGATAGCATTTTGTTTCATCTAGAAATTGTGTTTCATCTAGAAAATGTTAGGAACAAGTATTCCACAAGGCTCCATCTCCGGAGGTCTTCGAGGAGCGGTGACGCGCTCGAAAGTAGGACGTCTTTCACGAACAAATCAACGACGCCGTGCCTTTACGACTTTCGGAGTGCTGGGTCGGGATGAACGGGGCACCGAAATAAAAACGCACTCGTGGCAAAGTGACCGGGAGTTCGCTGCATATTTGAGACACTTGACTTAAGGCTTATAGTTATAAAGTGCGATTAAATGGTAACTAATGGTTATTTCACCACACTTCTAGTGATAGTGTCTGTCAGCACAGGATGAAGTAGTAGAACTACCAGTGATGAAGAATATTCGTGCAATTCGTGTTGTAACCGCTAAGAAATACACGGAAAGACGAAAACAAGCGGTAACAAAGGCCTCGATCACCTTCTAGACCCGAAAGCTGTTGGGCTAACCAATGCACGTCAATCAGAGTCAACTCCTGCTCAAAAACAGGAGGTGACATCTACTGCGGAGAATATAATTAAGGCTAGTTTATCACTATCGCATTCGCATGTGAAGTATGCTGAGAATGGGCTCCCCCTTGCTTTAATAGAGGGGGAAAGAGGGAACCCACTCAGCCAGGGAACAAAGTGAAGAACTTGTGCAGCTAAGAACAATGCAACAGTTGAGACGAGTGAACAAATCAAGGCTTTTGCTTCGGGGCAGAGCCAGGAGTCTTCACAGGCCAAGAAACCGATAAATGAGCGAAATGCATTTTTTGCCGTTTTGTTGAAGAAACTCTGTAGTGGTAGTAGTCCGCACACCTCCACTGCCGAAGGAGCGGAACAGCAAACCGGCTATGCGACACGGGCACTAGCAATCGTTCGCAGTGAGCTATCAGCCTCGAAGTTCGCGCAGTTCGTAGAGGCATGCGATCACAGTGGCATGCAGGAGCCGTGGCTTCGCGAGGCAATCGCTCTCTGTCCGGCTATCATACAGCTCCACCAGAAGTCCTCCACTACTACAGGTTCATCTTCTGAAAATTTTTTTCACAATATTCTGCGCGCAGCTGCTGTTTTCGGACGAAACAACTTGTATCCAGGAGACGTGCTAGATTTTGTGACCCAGGAACACATGTCGTTGGGTCCTTTGGAAATGTCGCTTTTGCTGCAAGAGACCGGACGCCACGGGTTGCGAGCGAAGCATCTAGCTGATAGTGTTGTGCACCGAGCGGCAGAGCTGGTCAGAACAAGGCAAATGACGGATTTACGAGAGGTTCTGCGGTGTTGCGAGGGGCTGTGTCGATTCACGCGAGATTGGCAGATATTTTTTCACTCTTCGGCGCCTCTGGTTCGCTCGAACTTGTTGCGATTGGATACGAAGGACCTGCTCTTAGTCCTACGGTTTTCGAGGGAGTTGCGACAGACGGTTCCGTTGTTCCTAGAATTGCAAAGAGATGCGTGCTCTTTGCTCAAGGAAAAAACGACGTCCGAAACTGCGAGGTTGAAGTGCCTAAGCAGTGAGGCGGCTGATGGAAAAGACCTTGGTGAAGACATGAGAATATCGATTGTTAAGGCAACAACATCAAGACCACTATATTAATAGCAACAACGTCGAGCACGACCACCTTATAACTAAGTATAAGTTTAACTTGGTACTAACAATTTTCGCATGCTACTCAAGCACTCTAAAAATAGCAACAAATGGTGCATCTTTCCAGTCAAAGACGTCGTCCTGAGTACTCATAGAAGGTTTTCTACTCTAGTACACACTTGAAAAGCCTGAGAAGTGAATGCACTTACTCTTACTCTAATGTTGCGGATGCAATCCGGTCTCTGCAAGACGTGCCTTTTGACAAGCGGTTCGCACGCAGTGTGGGCGACTACGTTTGTGCGGTCGAGGAGTTGCTGTTTAGTTATACACAGGGAAAGAGCCTAGTCTTAAGGAGCAGGCAGTAGCAGTTGTTTCACCATAGGGTACTAAGTGCTTTCGATATCATCTCAACGATTGAGACCTTCATGCTGAAGCTGACTACGTACGTACATTCAGTCAAAGTTTGATTTATCTTTTCGATGTCATCTCGATGAAGATGGACATTTTGCTTCACGCTGACTATAACACGCAGTGGCTCTACTAAATCAAAGTTCAGATGCACCACCACAAATACGTAAGTAGACGTAGCAAGCATTCTTGAATGAACATCATGTAGTTAGGTACTCGCTAATCTTAGAGGATTTAGACCGAGATCCGAATTTTGGGAACACAGTCGATCTCGTTCGTGCATTCGATGCTCTTACTAGCTGGTCGGCTGGTACATCTACGTCTGCAGAAGGACTTGAAGCTTCTGAAGGGGGTGGGGAGGCATCGTCATCATCTGGAGCACCAGGAGTAGGCAAGATAGAAGACCAAGACTCCTCCGAACATCAAATTCAAATATCAACAACACAAGAATCACCCTGCTCTAGAAGACATGCGGTCCAGCATTTTTTTGGATCGCTCTTCGCACATCGAATTGCAGAGATCAAATATTCAGCCAACGTTTCTCTCTTCCAGTCGATCACGCAGTCCTTGAGTCGAGTTGGCCACTTTCACCAAGAGTGGATGGAAGCGCTTACTCCTGTAGTGCGAGACAAGTACATGCTGGATCGCATCTCCTTCTTTCAGCAGTGCACCTTGCTCGCTAGTCTGGCGAAGTTATGGTTTGCTGTAGCTGTCAATGTCATAATGAAGCTTATTAAATCGAGAAAGATTAAATGTCTAGTAGATAAAGATCTAAGTCATTGTTGAGTACTAGCATGGTCAGGTTCTTGTTGACGTTATCGGCTTGTCTTTTTGCCAAGGGCAACCTTGGCAACGGTAAGTGCTCTCTTCTATCACTCAGATATTCATGAAAAGAGTTAGAGTGAGATGATTTTGCTTTCATTGTTCCTGCGATTCCGCGATGACGAGACGTATGAATCGTTGGCCTTCATGCTGTGGCAGGAGAAGGAGCTCTTCAAGGAAATCGAGCACATTTCGCCAGTCGTGTGGAGCCTATGCCTAGTGCATGTGGAGAGTCTTTTGCACGCCAAGAATTCACCGCTCGAGCATCTCTCTGTACAGGGGGACCGCTCTCATGCGCAAGCAGGTTGTACTAGCACGACTTCGGTGGAAGAAATCGCACGTTTATTGGAGGAAAAAACACTTCTTTTGCCGTGTGAAGATGATCCTACTACTGAAGATACTTCTAGTTCTTGTGCGTCTTCCTCTGAAGCCACAAGACCGAGTGAGAAAGAGATTTTCTCTTCTTCGCCTCAACAAGCGGCATTGTTTGACTTCGCTTTAGACTTCGTTTATTCCCGAATGGCGGCTCTACGATCGGCTTCAAACAGCATCAAGACAAGGCATCAAAACAAAGGCTCACCGTCATCGATGTCCCAAGTCTCTTTCATCGCACTAACTCAATGTTGTTGGAGCTTCGTTCTCGCCGGTTATCATCGTAGTGCTGCGTCACAACGACAGCAAAAGACTTGCGAATTGCTGGACGCTGTTTTCACGAGACAGATAATGCGGGATGATCCGTACAGTTCGCAAGCACCGAAATTAGAAAGACTGAGCCAAATTGCGCACTTACTTCATGCCGAGGGACAAGGAGCTAGCCACGACGACTCGGACGCCGTTACTGGACTTCTCTCATCTGCGGGTCAAGAAAGACTAAAAATGCACCTAGGTGGCGGTGCGACTGAGGAGCCGCGAAACATGAAACTCCAACATGAAACTCCAACGTCAGACGAGACCAAGAACAGTTTTCGCTTAGTGGGTGAGGGCGTTGTGGTGCGTGGTGTAAAATGCGACTTGCTGTTCGTTGCACAAGAAGATGGGGAGAATACCAAAACCAAAGATGCTAGCTCGAACTCCAACCGTTATTATGCCGTTTTTCGCAAAGCGCCAGACGCACATCAGGCTTTTTCCCGACGGATTTTGGCAGCACATGGAATCGATTCACGACACGTCGAAATCGGTAGTAAATGACGAGGATGTGACGGTATCTACACGAGGTGGACTAGGACGTAAATGACGAGTATGTGACGGTATCTACACGAGGTGCACTAGGATGTAAATGACGAGGATGTGACGGTATCTCCAATAGGCTGCCACATAGTTGAACGCATGTCTACCATCTACACGAAGACTAGGACTAGGAGAACGAAAAATGATATCGGGAGTATTTTTGTAGGTAAACGCAAAGTTGTGATTCGAAAGAGATAAAGGAAATGAACACAAGCAGAGTTCGCAGATCGTGAATTTTAAGATGAATGAAATGAACAAGTGATGATCAGCTACGCCCAGAATGAAGATGATGATCTAGTGAATGATGCCTATGATGAATGGTACCCATAAGGCAGGATCTCTGCGGGAGTTCAATTGCTATAAAACAAATAAAAAGACAACTAGATCATCTTGCCTATACTATAAGTCTTGCATGTGAGAACAAGAAGTCGATCTCCACCAGGAGAAAGGAGGATAAAAATGTCCTCAACTGAGTAGACCTCTTGCCAGGCACATCAGTCAATCAATCAGTCAATCAATCAATCTTGAGCCATCTACTTTCATCATCATACGTGCTTGGGTTATTGCTGGTTTTCGTCAGTTTTGATAAGTGAACAGGCCAACGCCTAAACCACTAAGCCAAATGCGCAGTTGGCTTAGTGGTTTAGGCGTTGGCCTGTTCACTTATCAAGTTTCTTAACAGGAGTGGGGTGTGAGCGTACTCAATTTTATGGCGTCATAATTGCAAAAAGTCAGAGTGAAAACATATTTTCTCGTAGAGAATCTTCACCAAAAACAAATTTTTTCCACAAACGGCAATCAGGCAGGGTTACTACCTAGACAACCTCCACTACTCGTAGAGGAAAACCTAGCCGAAACGATTCTTGACAAGTATGTAGAACATCATCATTAGAACATCAAATATTGATTTTTATAGTCCATTATGCAAAACGAAAACCTTCGTATGATGATCTATTTGGACAAGCATCGCAATTTGACGCCGTATGATCTATTTGAAGTCGTTGAGAACAAGCATCGCAATGCCTATCTTCAGTGAAAGATCGTACTATATTGAAATTTGAAAATTCTTACGCCAATCATCTTGAATTTTTTTATCCCCAAGAAGTTTCGACTAGGAAGAGATCTTGAATTTTGATTTTTTCTTTCTAATCAAACTCAAAGTAGTCTACGTATTTTCTTATGGTAATACTACAGTCGAAAATGGCACGCTTTTCTAGTCTTTCTTTGACGTTGGCCTTGACGTTGCTTTGGGCGGACAACGCTTTTTTGCTCGAGGGTCGGGCCTCGAATCTTGGAGTTGGGGCTACGCGTTTCGGTTCTTTCCGAAAACTTCGAAGTGATCCAGCCGCCAATTATAGGCATCTGCTGGAAGAAGAAGGCGAAGAGGACGACACTGCCAGGGAAGGAATTGCCAGAGCAGCGGTAACAACCACAGCTACCAGCGCACAAGAAGCTACAGCTACCAGCGCACAAAGAGCTACAGCTACCGGCGCAAGTGCGAGGACCAGTGAAGAACTTGCCTCCCCCGTAGAAGAAGTGCCATGCAAAGGGACTGAAGAAGGGCAAGAGCGAGATGCTTGCGACTGTGCAATCTGTTTCGAGTCGTTACCACGACCACGACTTCTGAACGCGGACGATTGCGATACGTCCAACGAGATTCTTTCTAGTACAAGAAACGACACCCGGAGGACGCAAATAAAGGTTTCCGCAACCACTACAAAAGCAAAGCTGCCTACTTCAGCATCTTCATCTAGTACAAATCAATGGCAAGCTTTCCTTGATAGAAGGTGTGCTGGCCTTCTTGATAGAAGACGAGGTACTAAGCGCAACATCTTGAAGGAACAAGAAGGAGTGTCTCATCTCGAATGCGGGCATCGGTTTCACGCATGTTGCCTTTTACCTCACCTTGTGAAGCAACTCCAGGATGCTTGTAAGAAATACGATTCTCAGGGACCAAGTGAAGACGAACGACAGCGCCGTTATTTGTTCGAAGACGATCAGCGACTCGTTTCTTCTCATTTGTCCGTGTCTAGTACGTTCCCTCTTTTTTGTGTGGAGAAAACGCCGCAACGTACTACGAGAAGAGATTCTTCATCTTCTGCAACAGCTAGAGCTAGTAGCAGCTTTTCATCTACTTTCACCGAAACTAATATTGATCAAGGAGGTCACCTCCTCACGGAAGTAGCTCAAGATGCGCATTATTTTTACCCATCATGTGAGGCTTTTTTCGACAAGTGGGATCAAGATCAAGAGATGGAGGAGACTCTAAAGAGAACCAAAAATAAAGCAGGTCTAACTCTTGCAAGAGAAGCCAAGCCGCAAGAAGAACAGGTCGTGCATGAGTTGCTTCGGAAATATTCGATTTTCACCTGTTATGAAAGGAAAAAGTGCACTCACACTCAACAAATTGACTAAGATTCAAGTGGGAAAGGAGCTACTTTCTTGAGTGTGAGTGCACTTTTTCCTTCCATACCTGTCCGACATGCCGCCAAAGGATTGGGCATGATACTATTCAAAAAGAGGTGATGCGAAAGATGCCTGCCCTGATGAAGGATATGCGACTATTTGCACAACAACGTTCTGGTTCTTCTCACGAACATGTTGTTCGTCATCGACATGTTGTTCATGGAGGAAAGGTGCGAACAAAGATTGCGAAGCCGAAGGATGCACACCCGTGCAGTGGAGGGGACTGTCCCTATCGTCATCTTTTCGATCCTCTCCTGCACAGTAGACAACGTCGAGAAAGTACTACTTCTACTAGTAATGCAAGAGAACAAGAAACTCCTAGTAGTTCTAGTACTAGTGCAATGGAACAACAAGGTCCTAATAGTGCTTATGCTTCCACCGCTCAACATCTTGCTGAAGCTGCAGAGAATCCTTCTCAACATCTTGCTGAAACCGGACAGGGAAATCTTGCTGGGAGCCTTTGTCAGTGCGACGCTGCGCAACTGAAGGAGCTCATTGATCCTATAAAAAGCGACTTTGGACGCTGGCGTAGACTCTCGAGTTCTCGTCATGGACGATCTATCGAGTGTTGCTGCAGGACACATTCTGGGCTTTCCTTTCCGCTCGTACATTTCCTCGAAGAGTTCCAACATGATTTGCGCTTGTGCCGACGCACTGCTCGTCGCGAGATACGAGTTAAGAGAAAGTATAAATATTCAGTCCATTCATTTAAGTATTTCGCTTCATCTTTTTTCCAATCAATCAACCAAGAAAAGTTTATTTACCTTCACAAGAATAAAAACCAAGAAGTGAAGATATCAAGAAGTAGTGCGTTGTTTTGAAGATTGCAACTGCAACCTATTCAAATTTGGTGTCGGGACTCGGAAGGACCAGAACTACAACTAGACAACTGTGTACAAAGTTGTGTTTAAGAAGTGTGCTTTTAAATGATACTGCCGCGTCATTTAGCACCAGCTGCAGCTCTAAGAACTACAATTTGTCTGACGAAGCAACAAGCCGAGCTGTAAACCTCGAGAAGGAAAAAGGCGTATTCGACGTTGCTTGCGATGCTTGTGATGGCGGAATTTCGATCGAAAAGGAGAAGGAGATCATGTCTTCTTCTGATTCAGCAGAAGACTCCTCTGACGACGCACTAGAAGGAGATGTGACCAAATTGGCTGAAGGTACTGAAGCTGGCTCACCGAGGAAGAGCATGGCGAAAGCGGACAGTGTCGCGAAAAAATGGAAGTCGGAAAGCATCATGAAAATGAAGCTGAGTGACAGGCTTCGTCGTGTTGGCGTGAGTGGAGCATATGACTTTGATGAGGATCAAATGAGCGAGGACGACGAGACAGACGAAGACGAACGTGAGCGTTCTGCACCCAAGAGTAGACCTCCACTACGGGAAGATAGGTGCGATCATGCACAGATGAAACGTCTAGCGTCACGACTTCGAGAGGCACTGGACCTAGGACCAGCATCAAGTGGCGGATCAGATGATATTTTAGCAGTCGTTAATCCAGAATTACAATTAGCACAAGACAGTTCAACAGGAGACGGAGCTGCTCAGCACCAAAAGGGAGGTTCCGTTTCTTCTACCTCGCCAGCAGAAGTAGGACGACAACAGGAGCACCAACAACAACAGCAGAATGCCGTGTTGTATTCACCAGCAGAAGTAGGACGATGGTTATGGTTATCTGCGTATCAGGAGGTCAGAGGAAAAAACTCGATGGCTTCCGACGGACAAAAAAGGAAGTCAGAGGAGGAAAAACCATGTCCTATAGTGGAGGACCTTCGACGACAGCTCAACGACATTGCGGTGTCGACGACAGGTCAGGAAAGCGCGTCATCAGGGGAGAGACCCCCGAGAGGCGCGAGAACGTCTCGTCCGCTGAAAATGTCGTTGGACGATAAGGGTCTTCTACAACCAGCATCTCGAGTACTAGACCTACACGAAAGTGGTCCTGCTTCCATAGACAAAAATCTTCCTTCTTCCGATGAGCTTCCCGCCGTACATTGTTCAAATGAGATGCCATTACTTTTAGCAGTGAGCAGCAGGAGGACTCAAAGTGAAGAAAGTGCTGCCTCTACCGGGTCCTCCACGGCATTGCAGTTACCGATAAATTCTCGAAGGGTCTCAAGCCCGGGTGCCGTTCGTCGTTTCCAAGATGCAGCTCTCTACAAAGGAGGTTCTGGCACTTCTAGTGCTGTGGATGATGCGAAGTCAGCAGGGGATGCGAAGTCGGCGGCAGGAAGTGGAAATGGAAATACAAAGTCTGGAGATAGAAAGGCATCGCTCTAGAAGAGCGGACTCTTGGCGTTACTAGAAGACTCTTTTTTTAACGGTGATCCTAGGTGAGGCTGGATCTGGATTGCGGAGCAAGTTCTTCTACCTACTTGTTGGATAGATGACTCCTCTATATCTACATATTAGTGTTAGTCAAGCATCCGAGTCCTCTCATATTAATCTCCAGGATCCATGGACTACTTTTCTCTTCTCTTATTCCATTCACCTGGTTCATGCATGAATTCGGATTCTGGTGGAGCAGCGTTGTGTGGCTTATCATTTTCATCTTGTGCTTTTAAACATTACTTATGCACTCGTTTAAATAGTTAAACTATGTGCGTTCTTCTATCGATTAAGTAGCCTGGGAGCACATAAGGGGTATTAAAACAACTGTGTGTCGAATTCAATGGACATCTGCTGTATACCTCTTTTTATCTTTTTTTTTTGAGCTTCAGCTCCTCTTCATACATGGCATGAGAGTGTTCCTGGCGACCTTCATTATAGCATGGCTACATCTTCTGCAACTATTTCAAATAATCTATCGTAGCACACTAATTGATCGCACAAGGTACACCATGTTGTTGCGGCCTTTTCAGAAACCCCCACCACCATCATGTTCACTAGAGCTTCAAGAATGAATGTGGGAAGTATAGAATCTACTCATATGCGATGCATATACCACTCAGTAAGATTCATGGCTGTACTAGTACTTGATAGGAATTGAATTGAATGATCGAAGTAGATTGCAATTCAGGGAGTACCACAAACGTATACAACACTAACACTTTATACACTGTTTATGGAGCGCGAGGACACGGATGCGCCGTGCGGGTCGTGTGCGATAATTTCGTGACCGTCCGTGGTGGAGCAAACCCACATAACATCGATTCATCACGAGGAACAGGGGTGCCCTTTAAGGTGGAGGGCATACTGTCTTAACTACAACACCTCTGCAACTACCACTATATGTTTTATTTTTGTGTTGCTGGACGAGTATAGCTACACATCAGATGTTCTTGCAACAGTCGCGGGACTGGCATTAGCAAACAAAGAGGATTTCACGTCGAAGGAAATGTCTCAACTATGAATATTTTCGGGAGTTTATCTTCTCTCTTTGTTTTTTTCTGCTAGGCAGTTACTACACAAAATGTCTTCAGGGGCGGACGCATTTCGTTGTCTCCGCCTGTCTGCTGTTTGTGAAACGAATCTCGCCCCTGTGGCTGGCCAGAAATTTTTCTGAAGTCTCCAAATCCAAAAAAAACCCTTGTGAGCAGACTTGTGCTAAGTGATTTTCGCTATGAGCGGGCAATGGACGAGCAGGACGCTGTCACAGTCTGTCTATGTCATAGTCTGTCTAGGGACAGTGACACCATCACTATGTTGAGAGAGACTTCTTCTGACATTATAAAGGGACAACTGACATGGGAGAGACCGGAATTTCAAGAGTGGACCTGCTATAATGATTGTGCCAAACAATCTAACGTCCTTGCCTTGTCGAAGAGATGTTCATACTGATAGACGACTAGTGTTGTCTTGGCAAATTTTAGTACAGAATTTTGATGACTTTCTCTCTCTCTAAGAAAAAGATGAAGTATTTCAGTCTCCTGCTCTCCATTTTGCTGCACTTGGCCTCCCACAACAGTTCCCTGGTTTCGTGTGCCTTCTTGCCGTCAAGAAGAAATCAGTACTATGCACGACTCTATCCACGCTTTAGTGTCGCGGATAGGCAAGCAACGTCTCCGACAGCCGATGCGGAAGCCGATGATCGTATGGAGGAAGTTGGAGTGGTTGGGGACGAGGAAGTAGTAGGCGTAGAAGAGCAACATCTTCAAGGTATGGAAGTTGAAGTTGGAGACGAGGAAGTAGTAGGCGTAGAAGAGCAACATCTTCAAGGTATGGAAGTTGAAGTTGGGGACGAGGAAGTAGAAGAGCAACATAGGTTTGAGACGATTAGGCTAGCCGTCTCAAATGTAATTGTCTCAAACCTACAACATCAAGAAGAAGATCAATATCAAGATCAAGTAGAAGAAGAAGGACCTGTGCTGGACGAACACAGACGAGGAAATCCCGCACCACGACTAGCTCAGCGTGATAAGTGTGCAATCTGTCTTCGCACGCTGAGGCAATTGTTGCCTGCAGATGAAGACTTCGTGACCACAGAAGACCAGGATGAAGAACAGGATGAAGCAGATCCAGCACAAAGCAACTGCTTAATATCGACAAGAATGAGTGGATTGCGATTGCACCCAGAAGAATTGTCGAATCTCAATGGTGGCACGACCACGACGACTGGTTCAGATCCACATAGAACGGTAGGCGAGTCTTCATCGTCCAAGAATAGGGCAAGAGCTAGTTGTACGCCTACTGGAGAACAAAGGGATGGAGAAGGAGGAGTGTCTCTTCTCGAGTCGTCGTCGGGTTCGCTTGGGGCATCCTCCACAGTGTCATCTAACCCTGCCGGTTCGAAACTCTTCTGCCTCAAGTCGACGGATGGGGTAACTGCAACGACGACGGGTTGTGGGCATGTTTTTTTACGTAGCTGATGAAATCAGCGATTACTGACTACAGTTTGGAACTACTACTTCTAACACATAGTACAATACGTAGATGAAAGTGGGACAAGCAGTTGACTTCTAACACACCTATGGCTATGTCATACAATACGTAGATGAAAGTGCGACAAGCAGTTGACTTCTAACACAGTTATGTCATACAATGCGTAGATGAAAGTGCGACAAGCAGCAGTTGCGATTGTAGAATACTGAGTGGAGATGAGATTGGCCATGACCACTACTAGATCTTGATGTTTTTACATCATTAAATGAACAGCTGTTGTCATTTTTCTGCTAAGTCCTCACGTCACCTGTCTGTGGCGTTGGATGGCCACCCGAATGGTTGCGACAGACGGACGCTTACCGGACTGTCCGGTGTGTCGCGCTACGATTCCCGCCCGTATGTGTCAAGAAATCATGGAGGAAGCTCTTGCGGGAAGCGAGCCGTCGTCAGCTAAGGCTCGAGTAAGTACATTGCTCCTGCGTACTTACACTGAAGAAACGGCTACACCCAGGACATCTCTTTTTGTAGAATCTTGCGTTTTTGCAAATTGCATCTTTTGCGTGGCATCTAGACTCTCATTACTTGAAAGCCTCTAACTCTCCGAATGAATGGCGTGCGCGGGGATGGATCCGTGCCTATGATCGTCGACTACGTGGAGTACCACCTTTAAATCCTTCAAATTTATTGAAAGTTGCTAGTTCGGATGTCCTCAGTTCCTATGAAACTCACAGAATGCTGAGAGTAAATGTCCTTGTTACAACCCTACTTCTCCCTCGTCCTTCTCGGCAGGTACAACAACAACAGCGCCACACCAGCCGGTTACATGCACATGTGATAAATGAAGACAACCTCGGTTTCGGGGAATGCTGCGCTTGTTGGTTAGCTGTAACGGGCATAAGTGATTGCTGTTCGGCTGTAGTGAGCCACTTTTACGGCTTTCGCTATGCAAGAACAAGTGAGATCTAACACAACTGATCTTGTAATTGTACTTGCTCTAGTACTACATCTACTTCCATCATGAGTCGAAAACCTTATTTAGTATCTCTACCAAGATCAAGAATAAATTACGATTAGATTCATGATCTCCTGTTGTTGATGTTCTAATCCTGTCTAGTCCATTCATCTGATCCTGTCTAGTCCATTCATCTAGTCCTGTCTACTTAGTCCATTCATCTAATCCTGTCTAGTCCATTCTAATCACTTCGGATCGAGCGACCTTGTTCTTCCTTTATAGCGGGTTGTCGCAGCGCATGGACCGGCTCATCGGTTGTGCCAGCAACGCTTCATGAAGGCGCTTCGGAAGTTACCTTCGTTCATCGCAATGAGCGGCTAGAGCTTGAGCGGGGCCGAGCGGAACTGCGACTTCCGGATGCGGATCCTGGAAGAACTCGCACTGAGCGGTGTTGTGCTTGTATATCACGGTTTTGCAGTGACGCAAGAAGCGCGCTACGCTCCTGCTGCGAGTTCCTTGAGGTGTTCGTCCGAGCGTTGACGTATTGCGCGGTGATGGTATTTGCAAATCCAGTGTGTATGTGCATTTTATTCTTTGCGGCAATGGGAGGCTTGAAGCAAGACCAGCATGCAGAGCAGGTAGCGTTGATTCGAGACCGCACGATATGCCTGCGCACCTTCTTTCCCCACTACTGGCCCAAGTCCGAGGCGGTTACCGTCGAATACGATATCCTGTCGGAAATAGACTTAAGAAAAACAGTCATGATTTTTACATGTTCAGCATATACCTTTCTCAAACATTTGCATTCATCCCTAAACCCTATGTATCCTTCTTATATATTCAAGGCAGTTCGCAAGAGCCCCTATACCTCATCGACCCGTAGGCTCCCCTAAAGACTTCATCATGTAGAGTAGTCCATCTTCTGTGTTCGTTCCCTCTTCTTCCAAAACACCTCTTAGGAAAAGCAGAATGCTGAGAGCTTCTCAACTTCATCAACAAGATCGTTAAATCAATGCCTCATACTCTTTGGCTTTAAAGTTATTTTCCTCTCAGCATCTTCTTCTTCATCTTCGCTTTGACGTCTATTGTTCTGCCTGGAAGGAATGGCGTAAAGAATTGCTGAAGACAAGATGAACCTTTCTCAAACAAGAAGTGCATTCAGTCCTAAACCCTATCCTGCTAATTCAAGGCAGTTCGCAAGAGCCGTGGGATCGGATGGAGGGATTCATGAAGGGCAAGATCTCTTTCCTGGTGTATGATCCCAGCGATGAAGATAGTGTACCTACGAGAACGAAATGGAAATGGAATGCTAGTGTTATGGGTACCGTCTACCCAACCTGATCGCATCTTTTACAACATCTTTTAGCCGGTTCCTTCTTGGAATGATGTACTGAAAGATGTTCTACCAGGTGGGTGGTCGTTGGTAGTACCTCTAATAGAAATAGTACTTCTGATGTTGGTCCAGGTCCAGCACACCAACGAGAACGACACCTGCAGGAAAGCGACGAAGGGTTGCTTGAAGATGCAATATTAGAGCAGGACATCAAGGACGACTTGGATCTTCATAATCGACGGCTAAAAGGAGCTCGCAGACGAGTCGTGTCACCTGTTGACCTGATGCAGAATGGAGGAGTCTACGTGACCAACGAGGAGGCGATGCGCAACATGCACCCTTACCTGCGACACATCTTGGATTATGGTTCTCAATCTTTTAGTTTTACAAGTAGAGCATAAGATCACTTACCACTTGGGTTCACAACTTGAAATATATATGTTTTACTTTTTTACAACCTGCCACTTAAGCCTAACCTTTGTGTATGAAATGTAGGTACTATAGGCTCAAGCACCAAATCTTGGCTTCTTCCCTTCTTATAGGGTCGAGGTTTAGGTCCAGCGGCGCTCAAAGCACTAAATAAAACAGCCGGTTAGTTTTAACCTCTAAACCTTAGGTTTATCCCATGAAACGATATACAGAAGATGATGTGAGTGAAGATAAGTGCCCTTCTTGTTGATCACCTCCTTGAAGTCACTTCTAAGACCGACTCATGTTTTCGGGAAAGGGAGAGGGAGACGAGTTGCGACCATCACACGCATTACTTACCTGTCTGGAAGATCCGAAGCTGGAGAAGATCAAGCTCCTCTTCCAGAACCTAGGTTACAGCAAGAACACACGACTAAAACTAGGAGCTGGAGTGGTTAGTCGACGGGCAGTAAAAGATGATGACAATCACAAAGCATCGTCCCCAGCAGAAGATCCACATGAAGATGATACGAGGGACAAACACAAAGCGAAAAGCTCGCCAACAGTAGATCCACATGATGTAGATGATCAGAATACGGTCACGGAGATTGTAGTAGATCATACGAGAGAGAAGGACGGAGAAAGTCGAGACGATCATGTTGAGAAGAGAAAATTAGGAGAAACTCCAGTCGCGGCAAGTGATGTTGGCAGGGTAGTAGAAGAGGCAGAGTGGATGGAGCATGAGAGGGAACAGCAAGAGATGACGCCTGGTGCTTTGATCACACCTGCACCTGGTGCCACAGCAAAGCAAGCGTTTTTAAGACGGCGATTTTGATGTGGTAGCTTTCAATTAGTTGCACTGAGTCTGAGACGAAGGTAGGGGAATATCAATATGAATAGACCACAAGAACCGGTAGACGTCTACACTGGGAAAAACTCGATTGAGAATAAAGTTGAAAACATACTTACTACATTCTATGACCTCCATAGCTGCGTTGCAACAGTCAGTCTGACAAAAAACAAAGATATTCTTGTAACATTGAGAAACACATGGAATATACAGGCTGTGTTGCAACAGTCTGACAAAACACAAAGATATTCTTGTAATAAATTTATTGAGAAACACAAGAAGTATACAGGACAGCTTGACACCTGAAGTCTGCAAGCCTCTTCATTTCATCCTCCCTATGATGATTATATCAAGCATGCGTCTCGTATGTGCTTCTGCATAACAGATGCGCTAATTATTTGAAGAAGTAACGCACCAGATCCAGAAACTGCATTGACATAGAATTTACGGGAGAGACTCTGGTATCCACCTGTGCTTGCGTCGTTGAAATTGCAAGGGTCCGGAAAGCATGTTCAGATGGAGAGGCTAGCTGGAGAGGAAATGGACACTGGCATATTCTTTGAGTGGGAACTTTGAGTGGAGGAATCAAGAAAGCATGTGCGATGAGAGAGAAGCTGTCGTGTGGCTATTTTGAAACCCTATAATAGTTCCTCTAAGTACTTACAGGTAGAAGTACCAACATGTTGCATCGCAATTAAATCCTGCATTATACTAGTACACTTTCAGCACATGATGATTAAGTACTCTCGACCTCTATCCCGTTGTGGTGGTTCCACTCGTCTCCATTCTCGTCTATTTGGTGCTTCTATTGCTTAGATTTTGCAGAAAGATCCACAGGAATCCCACAGGAATCCATCCTTTAGTCTCGTCAACAAGCAAATAAGAAAAACATGTCGATATTGACGTCTCATAAGAATATTGATTCATCTTGCTCTTCTTGCACACGAGCACGACATCACATGCGGTCTGTTCCTGTTACGCCCCGCCTATTATCGTGGTCATCATGTGTCCTTGTATTGCAAGAGTTCTTGAATCTCGGATGTACCGCTTTCGCAAAGCGAAGCTATCCAGCACCTTGGGCAGCGCCGAGTCCGATGCACATGCTCGACAGCCCAACGCCTCCAGTTCCTGAAGAAGACGAGGGAGACGAGGTGGACAGGCCGATAGGCAGTGAAGGTTCGTCCGGTCTACGCCTACCATGGAGGGAACGCGAAGTAGATGCGGAGACTATAAGTAGGACCATGGTGATGTCGTGTGGTTGATCATCCTATTTCTTTGGTCTGTGTTTCACCTGGACCCGAGCATAGTACTTGCTGTAATAAGGATGCTCCTTGTGCAGCTTCTTTCATTCTTTGAGTCATATAAAATGATATTCCACTCAAGTCATGATTTGAGAAAATTTTCAGTCTTTGTTGAATAAGTTCTGTCTCTAACTTCCGCCACGAAGAGAGCAGCATAGGCAGTCCATCAGCTCCTGAGGCCGCTTCACGCCGAGTCCTGTTCGCACCGCAGGAAAGCAGTGATGCTGTGGGAACTCCCGAAGGCGATCCCGAGACTCTCATTAAGAATTAAGGCTTGCCCTTCTCCATCTTCTGAGGCATCCTGAAGAGGCTTTTCAAGGGGAAAAAGCACCCAGGATGCGCCTCATTACAGAAGATGGACTGTACATTTTGGGTGAGCTCGAAAAGAAGCGGACGGCTTTATTTGAGATATTCTCGCGGAAACACTGCAACTCCAGGAGGAGGAGGAGCGACTACCCCAGGAGGAGTCGCAGGGACAATGAATGGTCTTCAGCAACACACAGCGCTAGGGCTTCTCGCAGGACGAGTGGGCAGAGGTCTAGGATCTGCGGGTCTCTCCACATCAGCCGCCCTGACAGACGAGGCACTCCTATCAGCTAGCCGAGCTACGTCATTCGCTGCGAGTGGTGCTCCTGCAGGTGGGCTGCGACTAGCTGGGAGTGTGTCGGACAGTACGATCCACGCAGATCCTTATGGAATGGGGATTTTGCACATGGGGATCGATGTGAACCTGTTCTGAAAAAAAAATTTTTTTTGGGAATTCACTAGGTAGTTAAGTAACTGTAGGTTAAGTAGCTAGTTAAATTAGCTAGTAAGGAGGCAAGTGGTCTGGAAGGATCGCGGCAGCTGGAGATTGCAGGCAGCGGGAGCGTGGGCTTCAGAAAGACAGCTGGCGCATCCTGCTGAGATACATGACAACCTTTTGTTGCTCTTTGTGATGTCCCGGGTCAAAACGCTGAACCCTCAGCAGAGAGCTGCATAACGATATCTTGTGCTGTCGGTGTTGTTTTTTGCGATGTAGAAGTCAAAGAAATGGTTGATTCTTGATGGTGAAGACGAAGAAGATCGTGTTCTACAAGGTCGCGTCGTTTTTTTTGCAGAGGAACTGTTTTTTCGAAGAAGCCGAGAGATGCTGACGAGAGGCGAGTTGTTTTATTCGTTCGGATCCTTCGACTGATGGCACAACGGTTCAAATTTCTTTCCCTGGTCGCTGGTCGTTTGTTTGCTCGATCTGAGTGTCGAAATCAGTGGTTATATTGGACTTTACTTCTCATCTTCTTCTTCAATATCCTCAAAGCCTCCACTTCTCACAGCAAGTCACTTCCTCCACCCTTTTGCACCTTGTTCGACCATCGAGGCAAGAAACTAGAAAAATGAAGGCCTTTCAGGGAGAGATGCCAGACTTCTCGAAGGAAGAAGATAACGTTGTGACCCATGAAGATCGCAACTTGGTGCAGCGCCTGATGGGTCGCCTTCCCGCTCTATCTCGACGCATGCTTTGGGAGTTTGCGAAGGCTTGCCATACCCAGTACGCTTTGAAGAACAGCCAGAAGGCCAACTACGTGCGCAAGGAGGCGCTGAATGCTACCAAACTGAAGAAGGACGCAAACCCCAGTACTTCACGTTTTCAATGTAGGTCCAATGAGTCTTATGCTCCCAAATCTAAATGTATGGCGAATGATGTCGGCAGGGTGCTCCTCTAGACGAGTCCGTTCTTTATTGTCCAACCATCTCCATATAAACGAATATCCTTAACACCTTGCAGCTTGGCGTGCTATGGAATCGGTCAACCGTGTTGCCCTCTTGGCGTTCCTATTGCAATGCAATGAGGGAGAAGTTGATGGCGCGAAGGACAACCATTTTGCGGAGTTCGTTCATTGGCTTGGATACGAACCGGATAAGGCGGTATTAGTTTTCTCTTGCTATCAACCTGTCTCCTTCTTCATAATAAGAGCTTCAAGAAATTGCGGACACTTTCGCTCATATGAGAGCCGGAGTTTCATTTGTCTGGCTTGAGCAAACTGAAATAGCTAACCTTTCACTTTTTAGAGCATACAAACATCATCAACCCTCACTACAAGCACTCAACTGAATCTCTTAACATGCAGCTGCCGACGAACCAGAAGAAGATGCTGTCTCTGCGCGAACTCGCGACGCGAGTCGAGACGGCTTGTGTGACTCGTGGAGTGAGTCCGGAGATGCGCCGCACAGCACTCTTCAACATTATGGACGGCGTGTCCCTTCCTCCGATGAAGAGTATGGCGACTGTACTGGAGGAGGCGAAGACCAGCGAGAATAAGACAGGTGTGCAGGCTTCGTCTTCTGCATCTTCCTCTATATCCAAGCATGCTGCCGAGCTGAGTGCGGCTGTTGCTGCAGAGCGTGCTAAGAAAAGCCAGGAGGCGCTTGCCCTCATGGACAAGGCCACTTCCGTTGAGAAGGATGCTGAGCCGGACTGCATTGTCCTGGCGAATCCGCCGATGCCTCAAGCCGCAGGGCACGGCTTCTACAATCCAGCCGGCCTCATGCCGCAGGCAGCAAACAACACAATGCTCCCGATGATGCACATGGGTGCGATGAATCCAGCACTGATGATGAACAACATGGGAGGCATGGGCATGACTGGCGGAATGGGTCCTGGGTAATATATTTGGACTATTTAGGTTTTTGCTAGGATCCCGAGTAGTGTCATCTGGACTTCAATACAGGTTGTTCATGCAGATTTCTGAGAAGCTATAACCTCTTCTTCTACGTCTATGAAAATTCAACTCCTTCCACCTTCCCTACTAAAACCCAAGAGAAATACACAACGAATCACATAAATCCTCCTCTTCAGTTCTCCGACCGCTTCGTCGACTGAGAGTCAAGCCGCACAAATGCAGAACTACATGATCCAGTTGCAACAGCAGCAAAATGCTACCCGGATGCAGCAGCAGGCCATGATGTCCCAGATGGGTGCAAACTTGGGAGCGATGTCTCCACTGGGATCTATGGCCATGCCGCAGCCAAACACGACCTCGAACGCGGCTTTTCAAGCGGCTGGATCGCAGCTGGCGGCACCCACTACTGCAGGCTCGCCGGCTATGGGTGGTCACCATGTTCCGGCTCCGATGGCTATGCCTCCGGCAGATACCAGTCTACGCAGTCGCGCTGCTGCTGCAGCTGGTAACGTTTGTCTACAGGTTGTTTTAGATGTTGTGCGAACAGATTTCATTTGAGAAAATTCACGCTCCATCTTCATATCTACTTTTTCCGATTTTTCAACAAACTTCCTAGAGTGAAGATCTGGCGACCATGTAGTTTAGATGGATGTGCATACTCAAAAGAAATCATCTTTCACCAACTAAGTACCCCCTTCATAACGCTTTCACTACTATAGATCTCATATCTGTCACCTCTACCAACAGGCTCCAAAAACGCCGATCGCGAGCGCACTGACCGCCGTTCCACTGTTGCAGCGATTGCTGACTTTGATGCAGCCGCAGCCCTGTTCGCACAGATCGACGATGCCCCAGAAGAGAAGGGCGCTGCTGCCATAATGACCAAGGAGGAAAGTGACAACCTCTTTGATGAGGCAATGGCCAGCTTAGGCCTCGAGAGGCAGGAGTGAACTTGTCTGGTCAGTACATGATATGAGACTTACAGAATTTAGAATTATGAAGGAGTTTGAAGGTCTACGACGTGGCCGCAAAGTTGCCACGTTCTCTTTTGATGTAGGTAAATGCCGGCCATTTTCAATCACAGCATCGACGGGAAGTCTATCCTTGATTTAAGAAGTTTGAAGAAATGATGAAAGAAGCAGTTCAGAAAAGTTCATATTTAGAAGTAAGAAGAGCCAACGGATACAGGTCGAACAGCATGCAAGTAATTACTACAAGATTGAAAACATGAAGAAGAAGATAGTGGGATGAAGTACGACGACAACAAATTCAGCACCTTGGGAAGCAAGTACATATCGAACAAAAACTATTTCTGAACAATGAGGAAACACGATGAAGATGTGACAGTGACATAATACTAACTGCTTCTCCATTTGTCGGGGCTAGCCGCCTCGCATCGTTTCGCGCTTGTTTATCGTCGTATGAGAGACTCCGCTGTCGCTGAGAGATGAGGGGAGGCTTGAGGGAGTCGTGGCTTGAACTCGAAGCTGTCGATTGAGTCACCAAAAACGAGAAAAGGCTAAATTATGCTGGTGAATCGATCTAAGAAGTTGGCTCTTGTTATGCTTGGAAAAAGAAACGAAAAGAAGTTAGAACTCTGTTTGCGTGGCAAAGTGCTTCAGCTAAATAGTCATATCTCAAGAGACACCGTAAACATGTCTGATTATCGACGCCCTATCGCTTTCTTGAGGCGCCTGAACGTTCGCGATGTTCTCGCCAGTCGCAGCCTCGTCGCTAACTGGGACACACGAGTTTCCCCAGCTTGGGACGCTTTTCGACAGCCCATGGATCTTGATGAGGCTTCCATTATCGCTTCTGCAGATGGAAAAACGCTTACGCCTTTCGGCTTGGTACCTTCCAAGAAGCTTAGAAAGGAGGCACTGGCATATAGCCTTCCCTACTTGAACCAAGACGCATGCTAGGCATCTCCGTGCTGTTGGCAGCCATTGAGCAACTAGGCGCAAGAATCTAGTGAAGAATGTCCACCAAGTATGTCGCACTACACTGCGTTTTATGAAGATGAAGCAAACAATCCAAATCAAGAATCATTTACCTAATTGTCTGCTCATAACCACCTCCACCACAGGCATTATATCTCATCTTCGTGAAGACTCGCCTTGGGTTTGACGCGCTTCGGCCCCTTCCTTTTACCAAGATAGTCGAGTTTGACGTCGCAAATATCAACGAAATCCAATCGCAGACTGAGTTATGCTATAAGCCATGGGACTTGACTAAACAGCAGCAGAGGGAGCGTATATCGGTACTGGAGTATGACAGTTTAGGTTTTTAGATTCCACGCTTACGCGTCTTATGCACTTGGGGTAGAATCTAGCGCAGAAACATCAGTACAAAGCGAAGGCTTTGACTTCTAGGCTTGAACTTCATAAGCAGCATGAGGCCGAAGTCTTACGGTCACACTTTCTTTATCTCAGATCTGGCTGTCATCTCCACACCTTCAGGTTCAGGCAGCAGGATGCGCGGCAGCAGCGCGATTTGGTCTCCGGCACATCATAAACCCCAGCTTGATTTTGCCGGTTTCGGAGTCCGTCATTCGTTTTAAGTGGGGTGGAGGTATTACCCTCGGGATGGACGAGTCCAGCAAGTTCCGAACCAAGTGGCGATCTTGCAACGTATCGACCTAGACTCTAAACCTTTCAGCTTCGTTTGCAGTAGTTGTTCTTGTATGCATGACGTCGCACTTTTCTACTTCCCTCATCTCAAGACGGATCTACGTTGCGTGTTGTTCTTAGTCAAGTCAGCCTGATCCACGTCTGCTCATGACGGTAAGAGGCTTCACACTCTCCGACTGGAAAACTGACAGGTCATCTTGCACGATGGTCAGCAACAGAAGTTCGCGTCGCCAAACTTGATTGCGCTGCCTTATGTGGAAGT